CTCCAAGGGCTGCCGCGCGCTCCTGTGCCGTGGTCGATTGCTGTGCGCGGAAGGTAGTCGCGGAAGGGGAGCGAGCTAACTTTTTTCCAAAAACTTCAGGGAGGTCGTTCAGTTTTCTCTGTATTTGAATGACCTCCCTGAAGTTTTTGAAAAAAAGCGAAGGCGCTGGGCGATATATGACAAGGGTAGCGGTTGGAAGTTCGTTGGGGCGATTCGCTAGGGGTGGGCGCGTAGTGTCTTGCTGCGGATGTGGCTGGTGTACGTGAGTAGCCTACAAACTAACAGCCGCGAACACGTTAGCACGTTCTTGAAACTTTTGGACTCGTAGTACTAGCAAGGTCCTTAAGGGGCCGCTGTTATTAGCCCAAGTTTATAACAGCTTGTCCTTAAGGGACCTCCTTAAGGGAATTTTTTTCCTCTTAAGGAAAGTTATAATAACTTTTTATAATAAAAATTCCTTAAGGGAACTGATTTCCTTAAGGAAGCGCCTTAAGGAAGCTCCTTAAGGGAGCTCCTTAAGAGATTTCTGGGAATTGCTAATACTATAAATACTAATATTCATATAACACATAAATTATCGCCAGACAGACGACTATGAGTATGTAAATCTGTCATGCGAGTTAGTTGGAACTAAAAACTCTGGAAAGGAACGATGCGCGTCAAGGGGTGCGGCCGATGGATGGCTAACAAAAAAAATAAAAATTGAAATTTATGATCGAATACCTGTCGCGGTTTCCAGTGCAGAAATCCTAGCCAATCGTTCGGCTTTTTCCGCCGCAAAGTCCGCCCTTTCCCGCAAAAAGTTGCGATCTGCAAGCGCACGGGCTTGTTTGAACCGTCGCAGCTTCGAGGCAGCATCCTCCTTGTCATTACTCTTATTTAGAGTTTGAAGTTGCTAGAGAAGCCTATCAATCTTCAAAGTCTCAATTAAGGAGGTCGCAATAGTAGGAAAAGCAGCTCTAAAACTCTAGATCGTCCAAGCTGTCCGTCGTCTTCTGCCTCGTAGCCCCTCAAAACCTGATTCGCGTCGATTCGCCTCGTCACCTCAGAAAGTTTATTAGATGCGCTCAGCCTCAGCGTAAAGCTTTACAATAACAATTTAAGGTATGGTTTTAAGTTATCTTCTTTATAAGGAATGCACAGTAAAACAAGCGGAAGAAGGATACAGCATACATTATCCCACAAGATTTGATTCCTTAGAAGCAAACGACCCGATAAAACTTCTATATTTTGGCAAATCTTCTTGTTCATCTTCATGCGTCTTAAGATTGTTCTTGCCCGCTAGTTCAGCACGAAGCGCGAGAATTTCATCTGCAAGGCGAACAGCCTCTGGATCTCCGCATGCCTGTGCGTCCCGAACGGCATCGAAATCAATCACATCCTTCTGCGTGCTTCCGCGTGTCTCTGGAGAGCGTTCGAGATCGAGCTTCAATCTTCTCATTTTGGAAATTTCATCCAAAGTACGTAGTTGTAGAGGGAACTTCAAGTACTTATTTGTCCTTGTTGGACGAAATCGAAATGTCGTCTGGAGTCGAGAAATAGAATCTCCTCGAGTCAGCGACTAACAATATTCTGGACGCCAAAAGCAATAGCTCTTTTCTGGCGTCTTCATGCAAGAATGCTCAAAATCGCGACCTTTATCCCTCCGTCTTCTTGATGAATAGCGCTATTGTAAGTAATTCATATTCTAGCCCTGCTGCTTTTGAAGAGCTCAATATTGTATCACTATAAAAAAAACCGCAATTAGTAGTGCTTCAATGGATTCTACGGCTCGACGCCTACGCTCGGCCAAATCTGCAAAAATTTGCGACCATGTTCCATTCCTACAAGCCAGTGAGTTGCCGACTTCGGGTTCTGTGGCACTGGCGTTACTGCAAGGCAGAACCTTCTTCGCGAAGCGAGTATCAGTTTTCCTTTTTCTTTCATCCTTCCCTCCTCTCTCTATCAAGACCAAATCCCGAGAACCTTCATGACCATCATCAAATGCGAAAAGAACTTATTTTATTATTTGCAAGAAAATAAGTGGCAGCCTCAGTATTGGTCTTGGACTTGGTGAGTTGTCCTGATCAGTATTCCGAAACTGTCCGTTCCAAGCTACGGTATGGCGTTCCAACGCACTTACTTACAGCTTCCCCCAATTCATCCCTATAGGAATCCCGCAAGGATATGCCTCAATGTCTCTCTTGCATTGGGAAGGATACTGTTGAGGGATCTCTTTCTAGACAGGGATGGATTAATAGGGAAAGCCTTAACGCTCTCGTCAACAGAGACAGATTCATATAGTGCCTCGCATCCATGTTGCTCTTCCAAAACGCCTGCAAGTATCCAGTCGCCGCATTATGTTAATGGATGAAGGGAGCAAGAAGACGAGACTACAACCGAATTTACGGCATTCACGCGCATCCTTATTTTTCTCATGTGATGTCGACATCAAAATATCTCTCCAGGAACCGTGTCTACTCCGAGGATCTACACGGGAGAGGCCACGGCCATCGGTTCCTAGCGATCTCCGTCCCTCTATAACCAAAATCAACTTTTCGTACCTCCTGTTGATGAACATTAGCCACGGCAACTGCGACGAGGGGGCCGCATCACTGCTACTCCACATCGGTCTGACCATGAGTGAGGGAGAGCCTCCACCAGTCCACTCTTCACGTGAGAAGCACCACGTGGTCTCGTTTGTCTTGGCCTTCCCTATCCACTTGGCGTCTCCTCGCAGCTTGCTGCAAAAAGAAAGCAACGCCGTCTACTGTATCCACTCTAAATTAGAAGACGTGGTCTCTCATCTTCGCCTCGTCCTGAGTGGCGCCTTCAGGTTGAGTGATGCTCCTCTTCTTGATTGATTCTTGCGAGGAAAAAATACTAGCTGCCAATCAGTATCGACGTCCTTCATTCAGTGCGCACACAAATGTCTGCGTTGACTTTTCTTTTCGTTACTAGGAATAGATGCTACCTCCCTATTAATCAATTAAACAATTAGATAGTGCTGGGGCAGCATAAGACCAAAGCCAACGGCCATAAAAACTACAACTATCAGAGAGAACTATAAAAAAAAAGTGAGCAATGTTCACGCTGAGTTTCAACATCATACGTCTCAAATGTTCATTTGCCATCGGCGAGACAAGATAGCTCCTTCACAGTAAAGCTCCTGCCACGTAAGTGTAGAGCACCACCTCTTCACACAAGTACGACTCGAAGTTGAACTTTATGAATGAAGATGGAAAAATAACCCTAAGATAAGGTCGTTCCAAATCCCAAGTCCGACAAGGCCTCCAGTAAGCTAGAGAGATCAGCTTTTTCCAAACGTAACCTGGCAATCTCACGTCGGCACTGCACCAGCTGTTGCACTGCTTCCGCTACCTAGTACAAGAAGCATAATTGTTGAATTCTAGATCGTCCCACAAAAAGCAATTGAATTCTATATCGTCGCGCAAGCCAGCACATCGATGAAATGCAGAATCACTGTTCCCCAGTGGACAATCATGAAAGACCTAATCTTCTGTATCGGATCTTCGTTGCCGATTCCACCATATTTATAATGAGATTGAGAATGACAGAGACAGAGGGCCAAGTCCATTCTTAGACCGCAACTGCCTTCCCAATCCAATTTAAATCAAGAGAGACCTACCACAATATGAATCAATTAAACTACTAACCCCTTGTACAGCAATACGTACCACACAATAAGAAAGACGCAAAGTGGCTAGTATGTATTTGCCTCTTCCTCCCTCCGTTTTAGGCTTTTGCGACGCGCCGAGAGAACAATTAGCGTCGTGGACATATTATCTTATGGCACCTTCTGGTTGAAGTCAGTTGTACGAAGCGCTGAAAAAGAAACCGTGAAAGATTCTGTCCTCCATAACTCTTGCATTTGTCGTTGCCTGTGAGCCTTATGCCCTCTCGCCTGCTCGTCTTAGCGAAAACTGCGAAGTACAGTACAAAATATTGCGATCATTCATCAAGGAATACTAAGGACCACCGAAGTACAGTACAATACAACGCAATCCAATGCAACACATAATACAAAACGATGAGTTTCACACAAAAGATCCAGTATATTTCTAACGTAGGTAGCATCTTGTAAATCCCAGTTCGCAAAGCCTTATAATCTTCTGAATTCCAGGGAAAATATGGTCTTCTATAAACGTATGATCTTCTGTAAACGTTCCGCTAACGTACTATGATCATAATTCTCTCTGCTACGAAAAAATGGATTTCGCAAAGCCTTGATCCTCTCTGCTACGAAAAAATGGATTTCGCAAAGCCTTAATCTTCCCTGCTGGCGAGGTCAGCTCTTTCCTTAGAGTTTACCGCCAGGTCATATGCTGGGATCTTCCATCGCAACCTGGTTTTCAATTAAGACAGACGCACCAAGTTCATTCATTCACGCGCTCCGCCCGGGTTTTTTTTTTTTGGGACCTGGGTCTATATTCCTCGCAATAAGAACATTTAATTACCCTGCGAGAATCCTGAAGCACAACGGCCAGGCAGCTAAAAATACTAGACGATGAAGCACAACGGCCATCGCCGCAGAAAAGCTAGAGCCCAAGCCCCACGGGCATATTAGTCGACGGCTCATAAGTAAAACAATGATGGACCTTATCGGATGAACCCCGAGAGACAAGAACTAAACCCTTGAGGATCGAACACGGAAAGGGCTAGAACTTTGATGTGGCCACTTGCTAGCTAAGATCTGAAGCTGCAAGCTGTGGACACTCGGCACAGAGGGCGGCGCCACTACTGAGATCGAACTTTTTTAAAGTGAGACGGCCCGCGAATAATCGCTAAAATTTCTTCAGATACATCGTCGTATTGGTGGAGCTACTCTATACTAGGGTCAGCTTGCTCCTACTGGTTTCTTGAAGGTCTGCGGCCTTGGTTCGTTTGCGCTTCGTCGTCGGCCTATAAGCGTAGGCAGCTGCATGGCTAAATTTGGGAAATAGAAAGAATGAAGTCAATGGAGAGATAGGCGTAGGATGTACATAGGTCATAAAACAAAGAAAGTGGCGTAGTGGTGCTAGGACCTATGAGTAAAACCATAGCAAAAACTAAAGTGAGGGCTACTCTAAAATATCGGGGTTGCTGCGGGAGGTAAGATACAGTATCGGACGCGAGAAAGGGGCTTGGGGCTCCTTTCCCGATAATTATCTCTCCCACGACGGCGAAATCTCAAACGATAACAGAACGAAAGTACTCCACAGATCGAATGCTAACACAGGGCGGATGATCTTATAATCGGTAGTCTCTCAACATCACGAGGTCTAAAGGAACGACAGACGCACCAAGTTCATTCATTCACGCGCTCCGCCCGGGCTTTTTTTGGGGCCTGGGTCTATATTCCTCGCCATACGAACATTTAATTACCCTGCGAGAATCCTGAAGCACAACGGCCAGGCACCTAAAAATACTAGACGATGAAGCGCAACGGCCATCGCCGCAGAAAAGCTAGAGCCGAAACCCCACGGGCAAATTAATCAACGGCTCATAAGTAGAACAATCATGGAGCATATCTGATGAACCCCGCGAGCCAAGATCTAAACCCTGCAACAAAAGAACACGGAAAAAGCTAGAACTTTGATGTGGCCATTTGCTAGCTAGGATCTGAAGCTTCAAGCTGTGGACACTCGGCACAGAGGGCGGCGCCACTACTGAGACCGAACTTTTTTAAAGTGAGGCGGCCCGCGAATAATCACTGAGATATCTTCAGATACATCGTCGCATTGGTGGAGCTACTCTATACTAGGGTCTTCACGCTTCGCGCCATCGCTTCTCGACCACCTTGTTCCGCAAACACCATCGCCAAGAAATAAATATCCAAAAAGAAAAACTGAAACCGGAGGGATTACTCCTACCAAAGGGGCTACCTTATGCCTGCTAGCCACTTCTCTGCTAAGAGCGGGCGGGAGATAAAAGGATCGGCGAGGGAGAGCGATGGGACGCTCTCCCCCTTTTCAATTAAGCTGCGCGTAAGATCTGAAGTTTTTCTAGTCTTCCATCCTCTTGCTTTTTGTCCGTAAACAAGTCCGCGTCTCTCGACTCACTCATAACAGAGGTGGGAAACACTCTAGACCCCAATCAGTTTCCAAAAGGCTACTGGCGGGTCACCCAAATGCATAAAAGTCACCCAGGTAGGTAGGTGGCATTTATGCGTTTCGGTTTCACTCGACTCTCGACAGAAGTTGGCCGTTTAGCATTTTTTTTTTTTTTGGGACCTGGGTCTATATTCCTCGCCATACGAACATTTAATTACCCTGCCCGGGCCCACTTTTTTTTTTGTATGCCAAGACCGCCGGAAGGCGGCGACCCCAGTTTTATCCAGTTCGCAAACCGGCGGCAGGTGGAGTACACTAGCCTCCTTATATTACTGATGCACTAATTGCCTACGAGCCCGCCGATGATAAAAAACTAGGGGCAAATGAGTGGATTAGAGGCGATAGATAAACCGCCACCAGCTGCCAACCGTCCCACTCTTATGCGCGTGCCTACAAGGCACGAGGGCAGGGCCGCCAGCCCTGCTTACTCTTGACTAATGCGCAAGCAGCTGACAAGTGAACAACTAGAAGTAAATGCCTACTGGCGTAAGGCCCTAAGTACAACACGCTTTTCGTTGATGGGAGTGCACTAGTTTTTCTTATCTTCACTGCTTCGTGCTCCCTCCTTCGCCCTGTGCACCATCCTCAACCGCGTTCCGCAATCGCAATGAAATAACCAAAAAGAAAAACAGAAACCGGAGGGCTTACTCCAACCAAAGGGGTTACCTTATGCCTGAGAGCCACTACAATTTTCCGCGCTACGAGCATTTAATTACCCTGCGGGAAGCCTGAAGCACGACGGCCAGGCACTAGAGCGACGCAAACGATTAAGCACGACGGCAACCACTGTGAACGACCTACGGGCAGTATTCAACCGGCTAACGGGTTATAAGTTTTCAACCTCAAGGGGTTCGGGTTAACACAGTTAGCAGTAAGTATGCCCAAGAAAAGAAATTCATTTGGAAACTTAAAAATACGCTGACTGTTCTTGAAGATATTGTAGGTATTAACTACTCCAGAATATTGTGGTCCTGAAAGCCTAACTAGAAGAATCGCGGACAACATAACACAGACCTTCAGCAGTCAAAGCCAATAAATTTCTCTGGCCGATACTTTTTTGGTTCCTTTCTCTTCAATCATCTTTTCTCAGACCAGCACGACTAGTTCCTCTTCGAGGATGTATAATCAATGCTTGTTTGCAGACCACCTAGCCTTAATTTCATCTTCGACCTGGCATCGCCAGAGAGCGCGCTCACGCTCTAGCGCCTTCTCCGCACGTGCCTCGGCTTCTAAACTGTCAAGACATTCTTGCAACTGCTTTTGCTCTCGTTAGAGCTACCGCGGTTGCATCCCTGAGAGCATCCTTACCTTCTTTTTCACCTTCGGAGCAGTAGTAGTGTACCCAGTCTAGAGGTATAAAAGAGAGCAGTCTAGTTATGCAGAGGGCAAGGATGACGCTGAGGATGCTTGAGGGGCCGCCTTAATCTCGCAAGATTAGAAGACAAAACAATTTTCTCTGCCTCTTCTAAGTCTCCCATATACTGGATCATCTTCATCAGCAGGAATAAGAAGGATGATGGAATTGTTTAGATTGTAGGCGCTTGCATTAGATAGTTACTAATTCCTTCCTTGAGTAGAAGTTCAACGAGTTCCTTCATCAGCCGGAATAATTAAATCATAACCAGAGCTTCGTCCGCAGCGCAGTTCGCCATGCTCTTAACTGCGTGCGTCGCTGCTTCAGCGTGTCTTCAGATTCGACGATAGAATTAAGACCGTCTACCACAACGTCTTCTTGCTTGGCTTAGAATCAGAGCCAAGTAGAACCACCCCACTCAGTAGTACTACAATTCTTTGGATCGACATCCTCTTCCTTGGTTGGAAGACTTTCTAGTAACACTAGTAGCACTACTGCAGTTAGCTAATCATGGTAGCCTTTCTAGTAGTACTAGCGCCACCACTAGTATAATTAGTAGTTAGCCCCGTCCTGGGGTACAAGGTCTATTCGCGTCATGCAGCCTCAGACTCACTCGTCCACAGACGTAGAGTATTATTACTTCCACCGGCCTTAATCCTCCTGCTGTTGCTTGCCACCTTTAGAGGTTGCGACATTGCACTTCCTTAAGAAACACGACATTGCAATCCCTGACCCTTTTCTTACTGCCAAACAGTCAAGGATGTTAGTGAAGAATGCATTGTGGTATAACCCTTAACACCTTCAAGAGGCAATCCTTCGTCTGGCGGCTTTCCTTCGTCTGGCGGCTTTCCTTCGTCTGGCGGCTTTCCTTCGTCTGGCGGTCTCCTAGATAGAAATCGGACGGGTCGTTGGCTTCCACTTCCTCGAGCTCTTGGCGAGCTCTCCTTGCGAGAGGAAAACACTTGAGTTGCCATGTTGATGCTTCGATCAGATGCGAGTAGGATGATGAGATACCCAATTCAATGAAGAACGGGTGTAGCAGTATGAATATAGATGCGAGTAGTAGTAATAGTAGTAGCCGTGGTCAATCCAGCTGCGAGTAGGAGTAGTAGCAGCATTCTGTGGGTGAGTCCGATAAAACAGGGGAGAGAGAGAAAGAGAATCCTGCTTCGGGTCGGGGATTCCTCCCATGAGGAGAAAGAGGACCTCCGAGCCCCAATGAAAATTCATTCGTTCATCAGAAGATAGAAACTTTCTTGTTGTAAGACAGGAAAAATGATAGAAGATTAGACATTTATTTTAAAAGATATCCTACTAGTTGGACGAATCAACGTGAAAGAAGAGCACAAGCAAATCCAAAGATGAAAAACTTCACTAAGTTTGAAGTGGTTAAGAGATGGTTCCTTTCGAATTTCTCGCATCTTGCCGCGTTCCCATAAAACACCTTACAAATTCTCGCAAACTGCCGAAGCGGCGAAGACAAGAACGAGTACTTCGCTCTACTCTGCCTAGCACAGCATCTCTTTTTCCCTCTCTCTCTCTCTCTCTATCGTTCACTCATTCACCATGTTTACCGATCCTGTAGTAGCCTTGTTCTATCACTCCTTGAGTGGAACAAGGACACAACTTCGTAAAAATCAGTACTCATTTAGAGGGTCTACAGCGGAACGGTTCGAAGTTGTAATGGGTTCATCTGCTACTCTTCTAGTTCTTTGTGTGGATAGACAATGCTCTTGTTTGTTCTTGCATGGTAAACCATAGATATATTTATAAGTTCATTTTCGATGTTTTGGTGTGCATTTTTTGATCCTGGCGATCACGACCCTGGGCTGATAGTATTCTTCCGAAACCATCTGAAGACCTTATGCAATCATAAGTCTAAATACTCGTCTTAAATCTAAAAAAATACTCAAACCACCTGCGAAAATAAGATGATGCATGTGACTAAGTAAGAACGTCGACAGTTGATTTTGTTGTTCACTTCAGGCCGTCGAAAGTTCATTAGCTTTAGAAGCACGTCATCTAATGAAGGTTTTTTCCCTAGTAAAAAAGCAAATTATACCTTCCCAGAGTAGGAAATCCTATCCTCCCAGAGTAGGAAATCCTAGCCTTCCAGAGTGGCAAATACCTCCATGATAGAACCGCCACCCTTGTTTGAGCTTATCGACCCCTTGTTTATATTTGTACCCAAGAACGGGTGTCAAATTATACTTCACGATATATAACATAAGAACACCGTGCAGAATGAAGAAGAAGATACGTCGCAGTAGACTGAAAACAAGCTAAATCACATAGTATTCATTATGTAGTATGCAATTGACTAGGATTCGTTCACTTCTCCTGAGTACACTTGTCATGTGAGTGCCTCTGATATGGCCATCCGTGGCCACCGTAGAGACAAAATGGCAGCCGCCTTCGAGGTCGACTCCCACACCAACTGCCCAGCCTCAAACTCATTTTCATGATCATCTAGGGCAAGCTCCTAGTAGTACCTGGGTTAAGTTATAATAATAATCTTTGTTCTTCTTCATACAATTTCATGTTATTTAATATTAGTCGGCTACATAGCACAGCATCCTCTTTCAAGAAGTCAGATTTGACATATAAGTAATTGTTGTCATGATTTATCTTTTTTTACTCTCAATTGCGACATCGAAAAGAAGGTTGAGGGTGTTTTTTAACAAAAAAACTCGTTTACATGGTCGCCCGGGCGCGGATGATGGATTAGGATGCAGATGAGGGGGTCGTTTTAGAACAACGACGAAAAAAAAATCGAAATAAAAGAAAAAATAAATACTTCTATTATAAAGGACGAAAACGTACTCACTTGTTCACAGTAGCCCCGCGCAGGTGGCCGTCACTCAGCACTCCTTTGGGGCAAAGTGTAGGGCCGGAGCATGTCCTAAAATAGTCTTCAAATAAGTGCATAGTGGTGGTGTACGTAGGGTTGCTACGCGTCTGGGGTGGAGGAGCCATCTACTTTCGTCGAAGATACTTACTAGTTGTAAACTATCATTATCAGGATGTAGATGGCTGCCTTGTGAATCTGAGTTTGGAGCGCCGACTTCGCTCTCCACTTCAGACAATCATCCAGAGAAATAAGTACAGACTCAACCCCTCTTTTGCCTTTGCTTCTTCCTTCCTTTATTAGAGGCAGTACTTCATTAGGATAAGCTACGAAGAGGTGGGATCAGCTACGAAGAGATGAGCGCTCACGACTACAGAGGCTACAAACCTATAGCCGTGCTCCGCCACCTGAGAATTTGAGTAGGACAGGATAGGAGTGGGCTCACCTGCGAGGAGATGAGCGTTCGACGAGGCCATTGAAGAGCCAGAAAAGATGAAAGTGTGCTAGAGTCTATTCAGTTGCTCGCCCAACATTTCCCTGGCGGTGTCCTGTGCTCCGTCAGCACCTAATTCTACCTATACTTCGTTCATCTATGTTTGTCTTCATGGTGAGACTGCCGACATTCGAGCTCGAGAAGTCAAATCTTGATAGGAATAGCAGGATAGGACTTTCATAGGACGAAGACGATCTCGATCATGGGGTTGCTTATTAAGAAATAAAACAACATCACTAAGAGAAGCGAGATACAGTTAATGAGATACCTGGTACATTTTGAAAATAAACGAAGGAAAAAGAAAAATAAGTTAGTTAAAAAGCGACACTGAACATTTAAGACTTAAGATAGAACAAGAAAGACAAGACGACAAAGCAAATTCTACACTTTTCATCTTCCACTTAAGTCTGTAAATCGTCGAGGTGGGATACTACATATGATTAGGTCATCATAATCTGAAGAATGATTCTGAAAAAGAATATCATAAGAAGCTAGTACTTCCTAGTTGTAGCTAAAAAGGAGAGAAAGTCATAACAACACACTTCTAAAAATGTTTGTAGTGGGAAGGGACCTTTCAGAGACAATTGGCTTAATCCTGCCTTTTAGTACTAAAAGAAAATTGTATAAGTAAGTAGATAGAAGAAATAACAAGTTATATAATAGACGTGTTTCCAGGGACGGGCATAGGTCTTAGATGTGCTCATCTTAGCACTCCTGGACTAAGCTCTTAGCACATCATGGTCTTTTTAGCATTCGTGGAAGAGTGTCCACGTTTTGTACTTGCTTTGCAGAAGAACTATGTTGCACAGGATCTTTGGTATTTCTAGTGGGTAGCAAATACAGTTCTTGGGATATCAATATCACTTGTTAACGAGTTTGGGCTTTGGGATATCACTTGTTAATGAGTAACAGTCCGTATACCAGGTACTTGGGAAACCAGTTTTCAGAGACGAACGAGTGGTAAGAACCTCTCGATGTTGAGGCTATTCTCGATGTTGAGCTTACTTCGCTATGATGCTCCGCTGGTAGTACACCTAGAATTATATAGGTCGTGCCTACATTTTTAGGGGAAATGCAGCACCATTGAGGTTCTTCACATTTTCAGCATACAAGTACTCGTAAACAAGGTTGACTTTAGATTCCTCCTTCGGTCGACCAGGACCAGGTCATGATTCGAACCGCGAATAGTATCAACTCAACGCAAAATTGAGTTCGTTCTGCAATTGCGAGAAATATTCCTCGTTCTTTGCACGTGGCGTCCCATCGGAAGACATCACCGAAGGCGTTCCAAGAGCGCGGGGACCTGCGTGTGTGTGTGTGTGTGTGTGTCGTGTGTCACGATGATAGAAGGAAGAAAAAAAGGAAGGAGCTCATAGTCATAACTACTTACTACATGATGAATGTGAACCTTCTAGTACTAAAAATAGCAAGGTCTCTTATTCTATTTTTAATAACAAGAAGTCCATTCACTTATATATTTCACTTCAAAAAGGGGATGACGTGTACAACCTTTTGCTGTGTGAAGTACCTGACGAAGATGCGTTTCCTGTTCCAAGTGGCAGAGTGATCGTGGCAGGTTCTTGCTCAGAGTGATCCTCGTGGCAGGTTCTTACATCAGAAGCCACACCACCCGTTGATGTTGTGTCTTGAGCAGCTGGTCCAGCAAGCCCTGGAATACTAGCGGATAGAGAGATAGCCCGTGAGCGTGGTTTCGACTGCTCTGCGATGTCCTCCTCCTCGCGAGGCGTGCTACGACCAGAATGATCTGCCTTCTTAGAAGCATTGAGTTTCTCTTTCTTCTCAGTATCCTTATCCGGGTCATACAAAATGAAAGAGTAAGTGCGCGAGCCGTTGCGTCGTACCGCCGGAGTGCGCGCCGTGGGGGTTTTTTGACCTCCTGCTGCTGTGTTCTTTAACATCTGTGTAGTGGAGCTCCCCAATGATCCTGCTCTCAATTGCTGTTCTCGGTGCGTGATCGTGCCCGCAGGAAGCACTGGTCCAGACGCCCTGCAGGGTCTACGTGACTGCTCTTCCGCTACAGGTGGTAGAGCCACCGCTTCTTCAATATTCAGAAGTACGGGAGACCTTTTCATCCTCTTCTCTTCAACATCCTCAACAACAACTGCATGGTCTCCGTCTACCCGATCGCTGGCATCTAGATGTAAGAGTGAATTTTCTTGTACAACTTCCGGCGCGGCCGTCCCGGTGCAACTTGTAGAGGATGACGGCAGTATACTGGGAAAGCGCTCCCCACGCCCAGTGCCAACATAGCCATTAAGGAGCCTTGAGGACGACTCACCTACCTCCGTGCCAGTATGAAGCCTTGACTCAACCACCGGCAACCGCGCTGCTCCGTAGCGGCTTCCGCCGCCCACTTCACGCGATAAAGCGCCGTAAAGCGCATTTGCCGAGTCCCATTCCGGATACTCTTGCACGCTCATCCCGCGAGTGCGATCACTGCTGCCGCGTTGCAGGCAACGAGGAAGGGGTGGTGGTCCGAGCACATCCTCTTCCTCCTCCTCCTCTCCTTGTTCTCCATCCTCCTCTCCGTTTGAAGGTAAGACGAGAGGAGCATCTTCTGCGCTGCCTCGCGTCGAATTCAAACAAAGAATCTTGCCACGAGGACTAGGAGTTGTCACAACTACTGCATCGGCCACCACGATACCAGCATCCTCTACCTCATCTACTGAGCCAGCACCAGTCTTCACAGGGGTGTTGTTTCTTGCGCTTGTTGTTTCCTGCGTCGCAGATCGTTGTTGCAACGAGGCAGAACTCGAGGCAGCCCCCGCGGCTGCTTCTGTTGTTGTGGTCGTCGGCAGCGTTGTCGGGACCTGTAGCGTCGTGGTGCCCACACGGGACAGGGTTCCACTGAAATCTGAGTTCATTCGCCAGGAGCCGAGTTCTGAGGGCTCAATGCGCCATGTCGTAGTTTTCGTCAGACTTTCGACACTATACTGATTGCTGCGTCTACTATCGAGGAGATTATCCCCCGGCAAGTGATGATCTCCTCGCGGACGGGCTCCGGACGAAATCGAAGTAGCAGAGGCATTGTAATTATCAAAGTTTCCACCTCCACCTCCTCTAAGACTACTTGTACCAATTGTACCATTACCAGAAGCCTGATGAAACGAGCCACGTTGTCCCGTTGCAGATCCACCAGACACAGTCCTGGTCAGCGGCTGATGGTGCCGAGCACCTCGAGCAGAAGAGAGCACTCCCGACGTCCACCCACCTGTCGAACAACGGGAAAGCGAATTATCATCCATCGACGCACCAGAGTGGGAAGCACCACGCGATGCGGTGTGCTGACTTTGCTGCTGCGCCACTCCAACGCCATGTTGATTGGAGGTCGTAGCCGTAGTTGTGCTATGCTGATGATAAAGCTGCGAACTATTTCCGGGAGCAATGACATTCGTGTAATCGTCCACCACTCGGCCGATAGGTCCCGATGTATAATCTTTGCGTCGTGGAGCCGTAGAAGTGCTCTGGTGGATCCCAGAATAAGCTGCTGTTTGTCGGCGGTCTTGTGGCGGTCCCGGCTCGTTGATGTAACTGCTGTTTGTCGGCGGTCGCGTCTGGGTTCGATCCATAAAGCGAGTAGCGCCGCTGGTGCCAGTCGTGCTGTTGGGGCCGAAGCGACTTCGTGGGGCCACTGCATTCATCGCGGGGTACGGGTTGGAAGTGGTCGTGCCACTTGTGCCCCCATTCAGACTATCGTAGATCCGAGACGGAGCCGGCGCAGCGACGGGTGCGGGGACGACCGCGCCACCAGCTACTTCAACATCACCTGCTCCAAGTCCTAGGCTCAGCGAAAGCGACAAAGTGCGTCCGTGGTGGTCGCCCACGCTCGGTTGGCGTCGCTTCAGGAACTCGTGCTCAACCGAAATCGTGCGTATCGACTGGCTAGAAGATGAGCCGCGTCCTGCGACTGCTGGTGCCCCCGACGAGGAATGATCTTCTTCGACGCGCTCGGTGATGGACGGAAAGCTCTCGGCGGACGGCAAAAGATGGCTGCTGCTCTGGAAAAGAATCTTCTGCAAGCTCCCCTGTTGACGGCCTCCTGCAGAGGACGAAAAGCTCCTTTGGTGTGTCGTTCCTCGCTGGGCGAGCGGCGCAGAGTGGCTGGTGGCGGAAAATTCTCCCGCCTCCTCGTCCTCCTCTTCAGGGATCGCGCCTCCTCGCCACCTTGGATCGAGGCTCAGAGCCGTCCCAAAACTTTCACGTGTAGGCGCCAGCGCTGCCGCCCGCTGTCCACTCGGATATGCACTACTGCTAGCTGCTGTGGTCGCCCCCATCTGCGAATGGTGACCTCCACCCTTTGCAGGGTACTGTTGATGATCCGTCTGCGAAGAGGTAGGGGTCAAGAGCCGTGCAGCTGGCGTATGTCGCGCATCAGGTGGCCGGTAGTAGTGCGTACTGCCACTCAACGAGGCGGCTCTCTCCGGAGTGGCCGGAGGAATCTGCGACGAGATGCTCGGTGAGCCGGCTGGCTGAGAGGACGGCGTGTAGGACGATGTTGGCCATAGAAGAGTAGAGCCTGGAGGTGCTGCTTGTTCCTGATCTTCGGGTTCGAGCCCCGTAAGAACCATCTCCAGCTCCCCATTGGTTCTCATGCTGCCGTGCAGCTGGTCGACACTCGCTAAACCCTTGTGGCGCGGTGTAGCGCCCGGGCCGCCTCCGCCTCGGTGTGCACCTTTAGTTGTACTAGGACTCTTGCCCATACCAGGCGGCGGCGCAAGAGCTGCATAGACATTTGACGTCGAGGAATGTGTCCTCGACAACGTCGAAACTCTGTGGTGCTGCGCTCCGCTAATCGATGAAATCGAGGTCGTGGCCGACAAAAGCCCACCTGCGCGTGCCTGGTTTGGCGTCGGGAACGGACTATAACCACGGCCCGGGGATCGATAGCCGCGCCCAGAGTATGAGGCGGAGTTGTGACCAGAGTAAGAGGCGGAGTTGTGACCAGAGTAAGAGGCGGAGTTGTGACCAGAGTAAGAGGCGGAGTTGTGCCCAGAGTAAGACGTAGAGCTGTGACCAGAGTAAGAGGCGGAGTTGCTTCCATTGCTGTTTAGACCGCGCAACGCGTGTGGTCCGTCGTCGTACGCGTCACCGAAAAGCCGTGCGAGCACCCGCTTCGTGCTCCTTTGACAGTTGTGTCGGCGCAAGCGACGCTGGATCTGCGACAGCAAGAACTCCGACCTTCGCTTGTTTACTGGATTCGGCGTAAAGCAGTCATAATTTGCCAGCTTGGTGCGGTCGCGCGCCCGCGTGGTCTGCGGAGAACCGCCACAAGCTGCTGTATCCGCAAGTCCTCCGTTTCCGCTTCCCGTTGGCGTCGAGGCCGTACGCAAAACGTTTTTCTCCTTAGGGTGTCCGTCTGCTGTCACGTCTGTGGACGCCGACATGGGCTCTCCCTCTCCTTCATCTTGTTCCTGAGTCGCAGCCGCGTAGAGCAGGTGCAAAATCGAGCGCGTAGCTCTCTTCGTGTCCGACTTTCGGTCGCCACGACTTGTTGGTCCCGGTCCCTCAAGAAGATCATCCTCATGACCAAGATCGTGATGATGCATGCTGTAGGAGTTGCGCCGCTTGTGCGTCGAGGAATCCTCGAACTCCAAACCTCCGTTGACCGCGTTGTGGTCCTCTTCGACGATTCGCATAATGTCCGCCTCAATAGCTTGCAGTTGTGCAGAGTCAGGCTCCTCGCTAATGTGATGACCCAGACCTGCTCCGTTGCTCAAGGTCGTGGAGGAGGAGCCCTCGGCTGCACCGCGCAGTCGGAACGCCAGCTCCGCACAAAGCGCCTCGATGCCAGGAGTCTCGTCTTCGTCCACGACCTCAGTCGATTCGTCGAGCGCTGTGGCCGTGGCAAATATCTCGGAGGACGTCGAAGACGAAGGTAGAACAACTCCGGAAGATGAACCAGGTGGCGCTGGCGGATCGTAAGCCGGAGGAGGCGGTGGCGCGGTCGGCGGCGCACTTCGTAAGACGCTGCGACACTCGGATACCGGCACACCATCGTCACTCAGTAGAGCAATGCCAGAGGTGCTTCTAGGCGTAGCGCCACTCAGGTCCTTCTTCTGCTCAACAACACCTGACAAGTCTGCAGTTCCACTTCTAGTCAAGTTCGAGTCACTGGCCGTCGTCGGGGTGGTCTGTTCCCCATGCTTGTGCCTCGACACTCTTGGGCTACTCTTTCCCGAAATAGAAGTCTCTCGTCCATGCTGAGCGAAACTGTTCAGGAGGTCCAGGAGGGAGCCATCTTTCCATTCGTTTCCTCCCTTGGCAGATTGCGTTGATGAGGCTGCAGCAGTCGTGTCTGTGCTTCTCGTTGGTGTCGCGCCTGTGCTTCTCGTCATCCGAGAGCGTTCGTCCCCCTCTTCTTCCGCAACCGGCGAGCACTCACGCGCAAGCCAAAGCATCGGAGGAGGTGCTCCCGCCTCCTCCTGTGCAGATAAATCTGCTTTCGTCGTGGACAACTTGCTCTTCACGACTCCTTGTCGTGGTTTAGGAGCTTGTTCTTCACCGTGTCGTGGGGCTAGAGGATTCTTGTTACTATCTATTTCGGTAATCTTCGCGATAACTTCATGATCGTCCCAGGAGACACTGCGACTCTTCTGGCCTCGCAACAAGGTCAAACTTGGTTTACTCCCCTCGACAGAAGTTGAAGCACCTTCGTAGTAGTTCTGAACTTGTTCTTGTGCTTCGGGAGTTACTAGATCTCGAGATTCGGCTGATGAAGTGCCGGTGCGAGACCTCGGCTCCTGCAACACAGTTGCGATACTGTCAATCGTGGTGCTCATGTTGCTTCTCGTGTGCTCCTCATCCTCGTTCAATGTGAAACTCTCCTCCAACATGCCGTACGAAACTGCTGCGAGCTCCTCCTGCTCTCGTGATTCTCGCAGACTCTGCAAAGACACACGTGGCCGCAGCTCAGGACTCCCTTTTCTGACCGCCTCATGTGTTCCTCCTACCACGACACCAATTTTTGGTGTGGGCGTAGAAATTGTTATCGTGCCAGCAGTAGTAGATCGAGTTGTTGTACCAGTAGTTGTAGTTGTGAGCTGCACCTGCATCTTGTTCGTCGAATCCCCAGCTCCAGCGACATCGTTAACCCGGTCTTGCTCGACCACATCGAGAAGGCTTACATGGGTCTCTTCCGGACTGCGCTTCGACTGGCGACGCGCCGGCATGGTGCCGGAACTGCTGCAGCTGCTGACCAACTGTGACATCCCGCTGGGGAAGTTCGCGGTGCACCCGCTCTGGGGCATCGAAGATAGCCCCGAGCCTGGTGTGGACCCCCCGCAGGAAGAAGAGGCGGAACTGCCGCTGCGCTTTCTCAGGTGACGCCTTGCGGCCGCTGCCTGCTGGGATGCCGTGCGTGGCAATGGCGCACGTGGCTGCACTACTTGCCACGCGTTTTCGTCCGATGACCCTCCAGAAGATTTATTACCCCCTGCGACTTCAGCTTCCTCTTTACCCGACGTAGCGCTTTTGGCTTCCTGTAAGGCAGCACGCTGTTCTTGTTCTCGCTCCTTCCCGTCTTTATGCAATAATCCCCTATGGGATCCATGTTCATCATTTGGTGCGCCCTTCTTACTCTTCGCGGCTTTTTTCTTTGCCTGAGTTTGAAAATCGAAACTAAATATAATTTTCATGATCACGACATGCATGGTCGTTTACTATAACTGTAATACTTCTTGTTGTGTACTTGTCCTTAATTCAAACGTCGAAGCAGCTATGATATACTTAACTTCTCCTTTAGGTAGGTAGAAATGCTTAACATGCTTCAAATGGAAAATGAAAATTTCATATAAGCCACGTCGGGCTTCTGGGCGCGCTCGCGCCCTACGCTCTTCGAAGTCGAAACTTGTGGAACAAACCACGCGCCACACCAGGCGCGGGCCAACTCAGAGAGCCAACAACCGCCGAGAGCCGTCAAAGTCTTGCCGTCCGGGGAACCATCGAACCCCGAGAGGCAGGCGGGGGCGGCCTCTCGCCGCCGCTCGCTGTTGCTCGTTTCGAGCTTGCAACAGCCGGACCCTTTGCCGGCCTTCAATGACCTCGAGGGCGCTGGACATCCACGGGCCGTCACGCATAGATGCGCCAACATTCTGACCCGTGTCCTCCCCTATGCGGGGCGGGACGTGCTGCTTCGCACCAAAGACAAACAACCTGGGGCGAAACTGGGCGAAACTGGGAAGAAACGCGGACCGCGCCGGCGGTCGTCTTCAAAACAAACAAGCACCCCAAAGAATTTTCCGGCGGCCCTCCCTCGATGGATCTCCGAGTTGGCCCGCAGGCCTGGGGGGTCTCCCCAAGTCTGCACACCGGACGAGGCGAAGCAGCGCCGGGTGCGGGTTTACGCCTTTCGCTGGCCCTCGCCATGATCGTCCCCCAAGAGCATGAGCAGGCGGGCCACCCTTCGCAGCCTGCCTGCGGTCGCGTTTTGCGCCAAGCTTACGGGCACACGCAGCGCCCGCCGAACTGCCCGCGCGTCGCTTTGGACGAATGCGCGGCCCCAAGCCGGCGGGCCGTGCCTCTCTTTCTGCCTTCTGGCTGTCGCGCCTCTTTTGGGCTGCGCCGACTTCTTTGAGCCGCGTAGATTTGCCAGCGCGCGCACCTTGTCGCGACTTCGCTGGGCGCTTTTTGCGCTTGTTCGCCCCTGTCGGTCTTTGCCGACGGGGGGGACCTTGGTGACCCGGCATCGCCCCCCGGGAAGCCACGAGCATGCGCCCGCACGCGCGTCGCGGCTTATATACTAAGAAAGCAAGCTTTCAATCCTACATAAAAAACCTCCTCAAATGTCTTTCGATGATCATGTCTACTTTCATTTAGTTCAATCTTGATTGATTGATTGATTGACTGATTGATATATGTGCTCACTCTAGGGGTGTAAGTAGCATCTCTAATATGATAAGTCAGTAGCAGTACCTGCTCATCGTAGGATCGTGGCGAGTGCGTCATACATTCCCCGGACCTCGGAGAATCTTCAAACATTTCATGATTCTTCGTTGTTACATCTCCGGCGGAAGAAGATGCTAAGCCTCCGCTTGCGGCCATGGCTCGAGATTGAGAACTGCTGGTGCTGTTGGTACTACTGTTGGTACTACTGTTGGTACTACTGTTGGTACTCCTGCAAGAGGTCATGGATGCGAGGTGAAGCTCGCCAAGCTTCCACGCGCGCTGTCGCTGCGCACTCAACGACGATGGAATCGTTTGACGACGACGGGTACAAAAGAATTTCTTTGCTCGGTGTACCTGCCATTGCCACCACGCCGCCCAGGTATGATAGCTACCCCCGACAATGTGGTGAGAGCGGCTGCGCTGGCGACCCCCCGGGCAGCGACACTTCACCGCGGCGCACCAGCTTTGTTGCGTTCCTGGCGGCATCTCGTCTTGGTCCTTGTTCTGGTGCAGATGATAGTCCTTGTGCTCCCCCGCGAGCATAAGGTAAGTAGACCTCTACGAAGAGGATAACAAACTACTCGTTTACTCGCACCCCTTATTGTTGTATATGTATATATAATACCGCTAGTAGTAGTCAAATTAGTGACTATCTATTTAAGTTACGACTGGTATTCTATTTAATATTCTCGAATTCTTCCTTATTTTTCTAGTTCTTCTTTATTTGTGTAACGCAGTGGCAGCTTACCTCCGAATGAATAGTTCTCTCCTATGTACTGAAGCAGTAATAATCAGAAGCAAATATTTCTCGGAACGGCGTGCGATGAATTATTTATGTGTCAATACAAGTGCTGTGGATTTCAAACAAAGAAAACCTATGTATGACGAAATCGACTGGATTGATAATGATAACAATATTGAGGGGTTTGAAGAGGTTGTAAGGGAGTATATGAAGATACAGATACTCTAGGACTAAAACATGTTGAGGACTCTGATCTACGTGATTATTCGATAGCAACAGTGTCAGATTTTGAAGTGGTGGTCAGACTTTGAAGTAGATGTTGATTCAGTCGAGTAGATGAATGTAAGAAATGCGTGTAAAAATAATATCAAGGTGTAGTACTAAATAACAATCTAGCGCGTGCGCGGTAGACAATTAGAAACCTTAAGAGAAGCATAATGCTTATTGGCGTTGATTATTGTTTGTACACTTTTTTTAGATTCAACTCTCAGCTGATCAAGACAGCGACCTAGAGTTGCTCACGATTCGGTTCTTCAAACAACAAACTCACAAGACACTTTGTTTACTATAATTCCAGCTACGGGGTTGCCTTGTTCTTTTACACAATGAATGAGAATCAAATACCTTCTTTTACACAAAAATCGAGGGGCACAACCTGGCTTGGAGTTTGGGAGATACAAATACGAATCGCAATCGAATTATCATCTCCACTTCGAATTACTAGCCGCGTGCTGCAAGAATAAACTACTCTAAAGCTTCTACTCCTAGTACTGTTTGATGAATAAAAAAGAAAGGCAGCTAGGAGAGGTTGGTTTCAGGGAAACAGAATAAGGCTGGTAGTTCTGGTCTGGTATAGAAAAGGACAATCATCAATCTGAAAAGTTGAATGTCTCTCCTACTATCTGAAAAGTTGAATTTCCCTATTGTTCTACTAAACTTCCGTCAAGACACGAAGGAAAAACATGAAAAAGTTTAAACCTCTTTACTAGTGGTCATCTATCATTCAATGGTATTAAGTGCTCTATCGTTCATCAATGGGTGTAATTTATCACTTAGAAAGAAGAAAAAGCATTGAAAAAGACTCGCCAAAATAAATACGGTGCTACTCTTGCCACCCCTGTAGTAGCTGGTTTTTTTGTTGAAAGGTGCTGTCGGGAAACATGCTACCGATGTGGAAAACATGAGCTTCTACTTAGGTACTATAATGGATGAAGGGAGTAAGAAATCAGTTGGAGAAGAAGTATGTGGAAGAATAAATCCTTGGTGGAAGTGCTGCTGAAGGGCATGCGCCATCAGGGATCACTTTTTGCAAACTTTTCCATTCCATTTCATGAAGTCTAACGCTAGCAAACGCGGTAGCACCTGTAGACTAAACGATGCGCTGCACCGCCAGAAGGTAACTTGTTTTCATCTCCTTTTCACTCACACTCTCAGTTTTGATAGGAACTAAATCATCTCACAACTTCCTAGTGCAGGGGATCCGAATTCCGAGATCATGGTTGAGTCCGCATTCCAAGATCACGGTTTTTTTTTTCGACATGCACATAACTTAGTATGCAAATGCAACATTTTTGAATGATTTAGAAGAGATCGTTGCTGATCCATTTTGAGGGTGATCCAATTCTTGTAGCTGTGTGTGTCGATCTGAGGGACTACTCTTTTCAGAGAGAGTGCGATCCAGATAATACTTGGATTGTCAATCTGGTGAAGGATCTCTTTTCATTTCTCTTTTCGCCCTATATTAGCAGGAACTGTTGTTTTGTAGGAACTGTTTTATTGATGGAGATGGAACTGTTGTATTTTTCTATCCTGCCTAGTAAGATCTTCCTTAAGTCTGGATTATCGCAACTACAGGTGACTTCTAGTTCAGACAACTTAATGAGAACAGCTACAACATGGAGATTTCCGAGCATCAAGCAGCTCCTGTCTGCTTGAAGTTTTAAACTGTTAGTCCAGGTGGCAACCAGCATCCATAGTGAACACAACGTACAACAGGAGCACTTTCTCCAACCCTAGAACAGAAGGTGTGCCCAACTTCGTCATGGCAAATGAATTTCAAAAGGGTTAGGGATGAACTTGAACAAATTATTCATAAGAACAGTGTCATACACAGTATACTTCATGGTGGCGCAGAAGTACAACTGGTCTTCGCATATCCCACTTCCGACAAGCGTAAGTGGTCTCTGGTGTGGGAGCGAGGTGCGACAATAGCATACTCATGTTCACTGTATTTTATCGTAGACAAATATCTACACCAAGAGCAGGTCTCGTCGTTCCAGTGGCCGAACAAGCACAGTCCCTCGAGAAGCTCTGGCAGCTCATCCATCATTGTCGTCCTCACAAAAGACGCAGCTACGCCAGGTGCTTCGCATGGAATCGAATGTGATTTTCCAGGTGAGAGGAAACGAACCAATAGCTATGATCAAAGCCCTTGCGCAAGGCATACTCCAGCGGTTGTCCCGCAGACTTGCAGACTTCACCTTAGACGAGCTCAAGAAAATGTTTCTATAATTTCATTTCTTCCCTTCATTTCTCCCAAGATGAATCCTAAGAAGGAAATAATTTACGGAGAAAAAGAAATGCCTTGTTGTCGATGAAATGAAATATATTGAGCCGCCTTAATCAACTAGCGCCTCCGGCTGTAGCTGCTTGGTTTCGCCAGTATAAAAATCATCCGCGTCACCTTGGTCTACCAAGATCGGCTTCGGATGCTTTTTGCCGCTCTTTATAAGCTCACACGTGTCATACGCAGGCCCTTCATATTAGAGGCTCTCTCGTCAGGAGAGATATTGATGTTTGGCTTACAGGAGGCGCTCTCAAAGATATGAGTGAATGAATGAATCATTGTACACGACACTGCTCCAGGGATATAGAAGGTATAATTTTGCTTTGCGTTAATAAAAAGATCGGCAATGAATCTATCATAGATGGCTGAGAAACTCCGTCCTAATTAAAAAAAGTAGCTAGAAGATGAGAATGAGTCTTCAAATGAATCATAATCAGCTGCCGCGTCGTTGAGGTAACCTCCGAACGCCTTTTGACCCCACGCAGTTTGACACGGATTCACGATCGGACAGAACGCAGAAATCGACTTGTACCTATTTTATGATCAGTTACAGTTTGTTTGAAACCCATTTTGAATCATCATCATTATCTGGTCAGTTGTGATTTTCTGGGTTTAGAGTTACATACTTTTCTGGGTTTAGTTACTTTTCTTGGCTTAGTTATGTACTTCTCTGCGCTGAATATTTCTGCGCTTGATAGTAACTAGCTAGGGTAAGCACTTTTCTGGGTTTTTCAGTCCAATCGTCATAGCGCCGTGTCCTCCCATCGAATGGCCAGTGATCGAAATCTTGTCCGATGTATACCATGGAAACGCCGCTGCCATAACGCCTGGAAGCTCACTCGCCACATAGTCATACCTGGATTCATATTCGTCATTCATTCACTCATTTACTCCTTCGAGGGGTGTTGTCTAGAGCGAGGGGACGCAATTGTGGGTGATGTCATGTGTGTGCCGCATCTTTACATTTCCACAACTAGTGCCTCTACTGCAGTTTAGTTCCAAAGAGTACAAAAAAGTTCAAAAAATTGGATTGAGCTACATTATTGGCGCGAAGTATTTTTTTGGAGGAGAGCCTGGCTCTCGTTAGAATGATACTAAAAAAATAAGCATAATTACAACTGGTACTCGTCACCCGCTTACAAAATCAGTTGCACTTCTTAGTACATGTTGTAGTGCTTGCTCCACGGCTCTTTCGTTGCGTTCAGGTAGAAACCGGCGCCAGTACCAAAGTCGTAGCTATCGTTCTCAGTATTAGAGTCAGCTTCGGCCCATCTTGGTCCCCTTATCTCGACCCCTTTCCCCTTGTATTTCATGAGAATACAAGGCAAAAGGGGACCAAGATGCCGAGAAAGATGGATAAAAGCTGACCACCATAACAGTAGGGATTTCAGAATGTCCTCGTGGACTCGTATCTGGCATGACCATGGCAATGCCAAATTCTGACGCGTACTTGAATGCAATGCAGCCTTTCTGACTCACATTTTCGTCTGTGCAAGTGAGGCCCGAAAGGTAAAACAGAGTTGGCGTTTTATTTAGAGCTCGTCTTCACCATAATTCTAAACGCACCTTCATCAAATTCAAAAAAAGTTCCACATCATGGTCCTAGAAACTACAAAACTAGTACTAATGCGTCAATATCGAAAGCAGGAGATTTGATTCGAAGAGCGTCTTACTTTGGGCGCGCGTTTCTGTCTTATTCCCCTTACAAATATATACAAAAAGGCAAGGAGATCGAGATGCTTCATCTCAAGATGAAAATACTTAATTAAATGACTAACACTATTACAGTAAGCCTTAATATTTGCTTCCCTTCCGCACCTACGGAGTCCGGTGTGAATACGGCAAACTTCATAGTTAGATCGCCGAGAACAACGGAGGTGTGGCTGTATCGCGTCAGCGTTCCACCAAACGCGCGCACACTTGAGATCTCAGTCAAGGGATTCACAGACATCGTCAATATTTTTGTCTAAGAAATGACTAATGACTTGGAAGAATGAGAAAACAAATCAATGAACTTGCATGGAAGAATGAGAAAAACAAGAGCACGTAGGGGACGCAGTTGGGAAAAGAATCAAAAAAGATTACAACGTCGATGACAAACTAGTACAAGAACTAGGTAACAAACCAAATCGAACTGGTGCCGGAGGCAAATAGTATGCTTAAAAAAGTGCCGTGTTCCAAAACACAATCCTAATATATGACTTGTGAGGCATTCGATCCTGGCATCAACAACCACACTCACAAAATTTAGTTATCAATTACACATTTTTTCCGTTTGAAATTGAATGTGGCCACAGCTTCTATCTTCAAGGTTACAATGCAATACAATACAAAATCTTTTTCTTTTTTTTTGTATCGTGCAAAGTACATTGCAGACTGCCATAAGTTCCCTATTAATAACCACAACTGATCATTGCATACAAGACTTCTACGCGTACTTCTTGAGAGGTCGTTAATAATGTCTGCATTGGGAGAGAACTATTCTATCAAGTAAGATCAGAGAGAGTGAGGATCTTCCACTTAGCTCGCAAGCATTTACGACCCGGATCTTGTAGTACCCTTCTACTGTTATAGATCATCAGTTAAGATCTCCTTCTACCTCTACATCTGACAGATGCCAAATAAGGCGGTTCATCTGCCTAAGTACTTATATCGCAGTAATCAGTTCCTTTCTTTAAATCTTTCTTCTCTTTCTACTTATACAGAAAGGAGGCTAGGGCTAGCCTCCCATCAGCAATTTAGTAGGAGGTTCAGATCTCGTCTACCATCAGCGCTTCAGGATCTCCGCTCTTGCCTCCTCTTCCACAAGGTCCACGATCCAATGACAAGCGAACACGACTCAAGAATTTTGTTTGAAGGGTCTAACCTAGGTGGATAGACTATTGTACAAAGATCCGAAGAGGTAGGTTTTTACAAATTCGTTATAAATACTCACCCTGGCGTTTCCAAATCAATTAATTTGAATTTGTCTTCGTCAGGTGTGAATCAATGGTACTAGGGGAAGGGGGGTGTTAGAAAAACTAACTAGTCCTGCTCTTTTCGAGGAGTTGTTTCTTCAGTACTCGGTCAAGAACTACTAGTGTTCAACAAGAACCACTCGTCGAAGAGCAGCTCCTTCAGCATCAGCTCCGCTCACTTCTCGGTTAAAAAGAGCTACTCTTCGAAGAGCAGCCCTGAGGCCGCCGCGTTCTCCTTACCGTGAAAAAGAATTGTCTCAGCATTCCTCAGCATTTTTAGAGCTCGAAGCAGTACGTAGTTCATTTCTTGTGTACATTTCTCCCAATCCTACGAAGGAAATAAGGACAAATGGCTTGCAGAAATGCATTGCATTGAGCCTCAACATTTTTAGTCTCCGAAACATCATCAGTTTGGCACCGTTACACTTTCTCGGATCCAGCACATTTCGCACCTGCCCCATCGCGAAAGCGCCTAGCGCATATTTGTCGGGCAAGAGGCCTTGTTGCGGCGCCTCTTTCGGCAAGTTGTACAGGTTCACGTTCAAGTCCAGGGGATCTTCTTCGCTGGGATTGTAGCCAAAAATCTTGTTTCCAAGCTTGAAGCAAACCTCTTTCACCTCAACTCGTGGAGCCGCTGCGCCAAGATTAGAACTAAGGGAAATCCATCTTCAGCAGCATCTTTGGTCCCCGTTTCCCTTCAAAAAAGGGAGCAAGATGCCTGCCGCGATGGATTTCTTGTGGCCTTAACAAGAGCAGCATTATTATGCAGCTCTCGCACGAATTCCTCGCCTGACTTACACACGGTCTCTTTCGCGTGTCTGATCTTCTCCCGTCTCTTCGCGGGGTCGTCGAGATGAGTGAACTGCTCCATAACTCCTGTCGTGAGTGCCTCCCAAAGGTTGTTATGGATCTTCCTGTTTTTTCTATCTACTTACTTACGCAGACCATTACCAGGGAGGCTCCAACCGACGACCTTGAGTTTCAACCTTACACACCTCTGAGGTGGAGAAGGACACCAGCCTAGATGGCCTGTTAAATGGGCAGATAATGATGATGATATATAGGGGGCGGGGGGGAAGATGGAGCGCATCAATTTAGCCGAAGCCCCTGCGAATCCACCCAGTGGACAAGCGAAGCCGACCACAACACGGCAAGACAAAGGCCGAAGGCAAACGAACTGCACGAAGCAACCAGCCCAAGGGGATGGCGCAGAACACCGAAGACAAAGAACACAGACACCGAACGACAGAGCACGGGCGAACACATCCGCGGGCGCCCTGTCCTCATCTGCACCCAGCCCCCCCAAGCGCCACAGACCCACACAAAGACAGACACGACACAAGAGCCAAGCCAACAAGCAACGAGCCACGCCACGCCGCGGCCTGCGTCTGTCATCGATCTTGTTCTTGCCACCTTCAGCGAACGAAGGCCAGAGGACGCGCGCGGCCGCGAGTGCGTGGCGCGCGCGCCAAACAACTTGCGAAGCCAAACTGTGCGGGAGATGTGCGGACCTTTTACGACTTCAAACAACTTCACGCGTTTCACTCGGAACTGACTGCAGAACGATAGACGAGAATACGACCCAGGGGAATTTTCTCGGGATAAGAATAAACACACCGAGCAGAAGAAACCGCGCACGATTTTCACAACTCAGGGCGGCGCTGATTCCTGCCGTCACCTTCCTCGCTATCGCCGGGGGCGTTCGGTGTCAGTTTAGGAATCAACACCCCCAAAATGGTGCAGGATGTTTATGCCTATCGCGTTACGCTCTAAAATTCTGCATACCTACCCAGTATTTACGGGTTCAGTCTGTAGCTGCTAACTATTGCGTCTTTTCTTCCTCCCTTTCAGCCTGGTGTCTGTGTTCTTTCAGCCTGTTAAAAAAATGGGAGAAAAAACTACTTCCGCCATAGTTGTTTAGCGTGTCAGCTCTCGCAGTGAGAAAATTAAAGGTAGCTCCCCACCATCCCGAGTTGAGTGGGTTCCCCTCTTTACCCCTTTGCTTCCCCTAAAAATCAAAGAGGAATCCACTCAGCATAGTCCACAACATGGGATAGTGAAACACTACCCTTAAGAAAGGAGACCGCTATCTTCATTATTGACTGATGACCTTTCTGAGTCTGGCCATCCCCAGGATACAGCATTTGTGGCCACTCGTTTCGATATGCATGGATTAGAACTAAGAGAAATCAATGATCTTCATCAACAGCAGACGAAGAACTGTGAAGTTAGTAAGTAAGTGTAATTGTTTACTAGATTGAGAAGTGCTCCTTTCTAGTCTTTGATATGTCTATGTGCCGCTTGAATCCACCTTCAGCAGCATTTTCTTGGGAGGTCCCCTTTTCGTTCCTTTAAAGAAAACACGAAGACCAAGATCAGATGTTCGAGATTTCTTGTACTCGTCTTAAATTAAGGATTTCTGTGCGCATGTTCGCCTTCAGTGTCGTCACTAGCTGCTCGCCGATCAGGTACTGCTTAAGTTGCCTCTCCGGGGCAACCTGCCCCAGGTCGCCGTTGACGTAAACTTCGACGTATGCCCCTGGCTCACCCGCCCGCGCAGCACGACCCATGACCTGCCTCTGCTCCCGGTCGCTGTCGGAGTGAGAAACTGCGATAACTAGAAGTCCTCCTTTCGCTTTACACTTCCAGTCCACGCCTCGACCGACAGTAGGCGGGCCTCCTCTTAGAATAGAAGGAGTAGAATAGCATAGAAGAGCATAGAATAGTGCAGCGTCTTATTTGCCGACTCCAATCCGTCCCCCGTGGTTGAGTGAGAACGGTAAGAATCCCTATGCCTATTCGTCCCCCGTGGTCGAGTTACTTAATTCCCTTCACTTCTAGCGGATAATCTCCTTGACCTCTACCTCCAGTGAGATTTGACTTCTCTTTTTAGACACAGCAGGACATCTTCTGCTGCTAGTGCTAACCTATGTATAATATTTTGAGCTTGTTCCGAGCCTTAACGTTATCACATCACCCGCATCAAACGCTCGACCCACTATTAAAGGTCGACGCTTATTGATCACTGACTCTGAACGGGCCTCTCTACTTGTTTTCCCTTAGTTTTCACCTGTTCTCTCAAGGGATGACGAACCTCAGTGATCAACCGCAGTGACCAACCTCGGTTTTCCCGTGTGATCAACCTCAGTGACCAATGAAGTCTGAGCCTTAACATTACGTCCGCGTCCACTTCCATTACCCCCGTGAACTTGAACAAGTGCTTCTTCGCTTCTTCTTCTGTTTTTCCGCTGCGTCCCCAGAGCAAGGTAATTAGAGGTCCCCACTTCAGAACATCTGGAAAAGAAGAAAGACGTAATAATATTGTTGCATGGGATAAGGCTAAGATTGTGGAGGTGAAAACTACCCGGTTGCTTTACTTAGTGCTTTGAGCGTCGCAGGACCAAAACCTTAACCTAGAAGAAAGACGTAATGATAAAACAAAAAAGCCTATAAAAATAGCGAAAAGTACATATCCTAAGCGACTTACCCCCGAGCCTCGATTTTCTCGACTCTCCATGTTCTCGACTTCGGGATTATATGATGCCTGACTTCCTTCTTACGGGGAAAGAACATTTTTAGCCAAAGAGAAGTGTAACTGCAAAGCATTGATTTTGGCGTTCTTGTGGGAAATAATAATAAAGAGTCCTCACCAGGGATATTTATAAATCACAATCGACTAGCACGACGATGCAATCATGGCCTAAGGTAACGGTGCTAGCGACTTGGTCGGCAAGGAGACGACTCTGGCACACTCCTAGAGGTAGGTTTTTGGTGTTCGTGGGTTCTCCCGTTTGTTATGGCTGTCCCCCTTAAGAGAGCCATAACAAACGGTAACAAAAGCACCTTTAGCCTACCCTTAACACTACTAAGATGCAGTGTTGGCGTGAAAAGAGGGCGCCCGTACTCGGATCCCTCCCATACAGCACGACTCCAGCCGCAGAAAACGCCATCAACTCGAGTTGTAGCACGTTTTTGTTGTCACTTCCCCGGGTCCGGATTTTCTCGACCAAGGCAGACTGCTCCGGGACCGGGAGGTAGGCTTTTCGGTAATACTTGTGCGCGAGTCTCCGCGACAGGACGATGGGTCTGTACGTGTGCAAGCGACTTGCGGCGAAAGACGGCACTATCGAGAAAGAGAACTCATTGCAATCTGGGCCCTCCTTCTTGAAGGGTAAACAACCGTTAGCATCATGCGAGGTTGGGAGCTTCCGCATAACTCCACAAAAAAGGTCGTAAGCATCCTCCTCCTCCTTTAGTTCCGGTGTACCAGGCAAGGGCAAAGTTCCTGTAAAGCCTTAGAGGACCTATACTCCCGAATTCATCCCTGTGTGGAGATCCTCCCTCAACCGAGGTATCATGCGTAAAAAATGAATATGCCTCCTCAATATTTTATATTTATATTAATTAAAAGTTGTAACCCCAGATGTAGATGATTTTTTTGCTCTCTTGAAAAGCAAATTCGGGCGCATACGGTTCTTGAGGGATACCTTCTATAGGGATGGACTCGGGCAAGCCGTAAAAGCCGACGATTGCCGTTTTGAACATGGCCATGGTCTCCATGGATGACACAGCGATCGACGTCTGCGTAGGTTTCACGGCGAGCAGTCCACGGTTATGCTTGTACTCCATTGCTGCCTGGATTTAGAGGTGCCGACAAGTGCCCATCTCTTAGAACATCTTTTGGCTGTTTTCAAGCAGAAAAAGGCCAAAAGATGCTGTTGGAGATGGGTTGACGTTACCCGTAATGAAGAGGATACTCGAACCGCATTTTCGGGTTCGGCAGTCCTGCTCCTCTGTCACCTACGTAAATCGGCGAAGAAGCTCCGCTTTCCGCCCAAAGTGCGTCGCTGTGCGTTACAAAGACTCTGTGGAAGTCCTCGATAACTTCGCGCTCACAGATGACCGCGGACCCACCATTCTTCATTGCCTCTCTTCTGCCGCAGCCTTTCACGCTCCGTGCGTAGATGCAGAGCTCACTAGCACGCTTCGCTGCATTTTTCACTCGAGTAAGCGTGTTGACGAAACCTTCCGTCTCCTCCTTCGGAGCGAGTTTGCGGGCTTCTAATTCGTCATGCCAACGTCTCAAGGCAGCCACTGCAATGTCGCATAATGCGTTTTGACCGCGCTCATCTCCAAAGCGCAGCTTCAGAAAGTAGTGAAAAGATCCCGGGACCTTGAGCTCAGTCCATTTCGTGCCAGATGGAGAAAAACGCTCCCCCACACGTACGCTCGCAAGAACTTCGCCCGGCTTTCCGAAAGCCGCCTGCGTGCTTGCGAGATCTTCCTCCATCGTGTCGCGACCAACACGACCTAGATCGCATAACAAAACGAACCGCATGGCCTTTTTTTCCCCGTCCGTAAACATGGTACTGGAGCTGGCACGGTTCTGGAGCTCCGGCCTTGCGCAGAGTCCCTCTGACAACAGGTACTCTTTTCCAGGAGTATAATATCCGAGCTTATTCGGGTGCAGCATTTGTAGTCCGTACTTGACCCAGGTTTTGACTTCCTCTCTGATCAGTGCTTTATACGCGACGCAAAGAACGCCAGATCGTTGCTCAGAATCAGTCTCCAAAATCTCGGAGGCTTGCTCCAACTCGTGCTTGCATCCCAGAAAAGGAGGCGCGTTCTTCATCAAGTTAGAGCAGGCTAGTACGATGTAACATGATTCCTCAAAACATGACCCCCACGACCACGACATGGCGTCTTTTCTACTAGGAAAAGAACCGAGGATCGATGGCAAGCGCCGGGGGATGTGATTCGCAAACCCTTAGTCAAGTTTTCCCATCTGCTAACTGGGAAGCGAGGTTCTTCTTGGTACGTTCTGGTGCTGAGACATCCATGGATGCCTGAAAGCGGCTTGCCCAGAGAATCTATCTTCTTCCAGGATGAGCTCGTCTCGCTCTGCACCGAAGATGGAAGCAGCTCCTTGTAGTTCTTCACGTCGAGCAAATACGCGACCCCCGCTTGTATGATTGACGTCAACTGCTCCTCATCTGCTGCAGGAGTCCCAGGAGCCGGAGTTGATGTGAATATTTCCTTTAGTGCTTCACTACAGCCATCGAAGGCTTGTGCTTCGAGATAAATGGCCACCACATCGTACACGAAAGAGAGAACCTGGGTAATATCGTGAGACCGCGGCAGGTCTTCCGGTCGGTGTACGCCATCGCCAATCTTATCATACAAAACGGCGTCAATTTCATCGACGATGGCAATGGAAGCAATGGAGGTCGTGTACGACTTAGGGTCTTTGTGCCAGTCGAGTTGTGGTCCGGCGCCGTTGCGACCTGCTGCTCTATTTAGCGCTTACGTAAATATTCATCTTGGGAAGTATCTTTGGCGTATTTTCCCCTTAAAAAAGGGGCCAAAGATGCTTCTGGAGATGAATTACTGTAAGCCTTAATTTATGCATAGAATCAGCTTTCCTGCGCTCATCTTCGGACATGTCCTCGTACCCGCGCTTTGTGAACATGTCGTTGGTAGCGAAATAAGGAGTCGTGTGGGTGATGGACCACGTTTTTGCATCGTCCGAACTCGTACCTGGTGGTTCTGAAGAAGTAGAAGTTGGAGACTCATCTCCCAAATACAGTCGGTGTTTTAGTTCCCACCTCCTCGCGCTCGCGTCATTGCCCGTCTTAAGTTGTTCGTTTATGCCCTTGTGCACATGATCATAGATGGCTTTGGTCGTTTTCTCGTAGTCTTGAAGAGCTAATACTTCATTGGGGGTAATCACGGCGGCGGACATTCGTCGCCCCTCTTTCGAGATAAAAGCGTAATACAAATCGAGAAGCATTGCGAGTAAAGCCGCAATTATTAAAGGCCGGCAGCCAGTGGTCACTGATTCTGAAAGAAAAGAGACCCACGCCTCTCCCCCTGATTTCCCTTAGTACATAGTTTTCCCCTGTTCTCTCAAGGGGGCTCCTCTTCGATATCATCAATGGCACCTCTCTTCAGTAACCACCAATGAAGGTTCTTGACCCTTAAAATTATTGTCTTGCCCTGCCCAGTGGGTACCTGGGCCATCGCGATTGGCCTGCCTTTTGCTTGCTTGGTTGCAAATCCTTTCTCCCTAATTGCATCCGCCTCGACCGCTTTTTCGGTCAGAATGAGGCAGGTCAAGGCCTGCCTTAGGGTATGGTTTTGGTATTTCTATCCCCAGTCTGTTACGCCTTTCCTACTTAAGGAGGGCAAAACAAGCGGTAAAAGAAGCACCAAAAACTTCCCCTTAACTGATTGTACCGCGGCACGTGTCCAAATTTACTCTCCGTATAGTGGAGAAGAATTGCAAGCCAAGGTGTCAGCTCCTTCTCAAAAAAGTCACCCAGTTGATCAATCCCGCGATTCTCTTCCTCAGATTGCTTAGATGAGTCACAGGCCGTTCGCATTTTTGCGGCGTCGAAGAGGCTACCGTTTCCCTCTGGGGGAGGTCGATAAAACGCGGCATAGGACTGACACAGCATCCGCATATAACGGCCAGTTTTGCGCATTCTTTCTTCTTCGCTCTGCAGGTCCGCCATGCTCCTCACTACTTGTTTCACCGTCTGCTCTAGCGAGAGTTTCTCTGGCTCGTCTCCTTCGTCGAATCTTGACGGTCCTTAGCGGTAGGCTTTTGGTGTTCGCTTACCCCGTTCGTTATGCCTTTCACCCCTAAGAAAGGCAAAACGAACAGCAACAAGAACACCGAAGTCTACCCTTAAGGTTTTGCTTCCTGTTGATTCCCCTCGGTAAATTTCGCTGCAATCTTAGGCAGGACTATTCTCCGGAAGGCCTCGCCTGCGGAGGAATATCCAACTCCGTCAGCAGGTTAGAACTAACTAAGTACAATCCATCTTTTGCCTCATCATGTCATGTGTGCGTAGTTCCTGATGCCATTATTCTGAATGACCGTAGGAACGAATTCTGAGATTTCTATTTCATCTACTTGTTGGAGTCCTCAAGTAGACATCGATCTTAGTACAGATGAACTAAAACATGGATTCCGAGAGGCCTTAATCAGATTCGTCAGCATCGTCGAGGGCGACCAGAAACTGACTCTTCCGCTTCTCTAACTCCTCAGCCAACTCTAATTCATTTTTAAAAGGCTTCTCTGCTGGTGGTCCGGCTTGTCGTCCTGCTTCTGCAGCTTCCTGTGCGAGACGTTCTTCTTCATCCTCTTTTGCTTCTGTTTCCTCAGCCAACTCTTTTTCATTTTCAAAAGGCTTCTCTGCTGGTGGTCCGGCTTTTCGTTCTGTTTCTGCTGCTTCCTGTGCGAGACGTTCTTCTTCATCCTCTTTTGCTTCTACAACAGGCCCTGGCACTTCTTTTTCTTCGCCAGGCCCTCCTGTCACAGCTTCCTCGTCTTGTAGTTCTCTGTTTTCTTCATCCTTTTCGCCTTCTACAACAGGCCCTGGCGCTTCTTTTTCTTCGCCAGGCCCTCCTGTCCCCTCTTTCTTGTCTTGTAGTTCTGTCGATCCCCAAACTATGAATCATCTCAAGCATGAGCATAAAGATCATCTTACCAGTACGAAAATCAACAACCTAAAGACTTACGAACATCATGATCAAGGAAACAACAGGAGCAAGATAATCATAACGACAGCAGCACGAAGATCAACACCATCAAGATCATCAGCATCATCATCAACAAGATCAAAGTCTTAAGGCCTTAAGCGTGTGCAGGAAAGTAACAAGTTGACGAGTAAAATAGTTGGTCCACGGGATAAATTGGAGAAGCCAAAGTATTTGGCTTCTGTTGTTTTTAAGTACGAAGATCCCTGGGGCTTGGTGCCTTTCATCTGCCTAAGCTAGCTAGATCCTGACCAACTATTTTACTCGTCAGCTTGTTACTTTCCTGCACACGCTTAAGACCTTAAGACTTTGATCTTGTTGCTGTTGATGATGACGCTGATGATCTTGATGGTGTTGATCTTGATGGTGTTGATCTTGATGGTGTTGATCTTGATGGTGTTGATCTTGATGGTGTTGATCTTCGTGTTGCTGTCGTTATGATTATCTTGCTCCTGTTGTTTCCTTGATCATGATGTTCGTAAATCTTTAGGTTGTTGATTTCCGTACTGGTGCGATAATCTCTATGCTCATGCTTGAGATGATTCATAATTTGGGGATCGACAAGCTCTGTGCTTTCTTCATCCTTTTTGTCTTCTACAACAGGCCCTGGCGCTTCTTTTTTTTCACCAGGCCCTCGTCCTGTCACCTCTTTCTTGTCTTGTAGTTCTTTGTTAACGCTGGTCTTTCCCTATGCCTGGCTGAGTCGTGAGTAGAGGCCTCGACCCCACCTTGACGATTCCTCTTCATCCTCTTAATTTACAAAATCAAGGAGGAGGACGCCACTCAGCATACTTCACCCGGATCCGGGATAGTCGTGAAAAACTAGCCTTAACTTCAATAGCATCGCTAGTTGTAGCGTCCTCATCACCTCTATTCCCGTGCACCTCGTCCTCGAAGTTGCCGGTCGATAAACGACTAGAAGATGTAGATAAGCTGGCCTCGCGAATTGTCCAGCACTCGTCTGACTCCGCTTGAGGCGGCGGCTCACGGCGAACAATATCCGGCACTGGGTCCCCAGAGCGTTGAATCACTGCCAAAATACGCAAATCCGGATGCTGATAAAAGATCGATCCCTTCCCGAAGAGGCCGCCGACAAGTGCGAGAGCCTCCCAGCCTGTGGACGGATCGAGGTGTGCTGTGCTTCCATCGTCGAGGATCGCAGCCTGAATAAACGACTCCGGAAGTGCCTTCGGACGCGGTGCCGGCTTCTTTTTTGCTCTTCCCTTTTGCTTTGGTAAACCCTGTGCTTTTTGCTTTTGTTTTTGTGCGACCTGTACGAATGATGTCGCCGTTGGCCCTGCCGACATGTAATCCGTTCTATTAGTTTCTACAGGAGGACGAACAAAACGTTGAGCAAACGATGCTGCGCTTTGATCGATGCCATGGACCTCACTCGCAGCAGTCCAGCACTCGTCTGACTCCGCTTGAGGCGGCGGCTCACGGCGAACCTGATCCGGCACTGGGTCCGGAAAGCGTTGCACCACTGCCAAAATACGCAAATCCGGATGCTGATAGAGGATCGATCCCTTCTTGAAGGGGCCGCCGAAAAGTGCGAGAGCCTTCCACCAGCCTGTGGACGGATCAAGGTATGCTGTGCTGCCATCTTCGAGGATCATAGAGTGAGTATACGACTCAGGAAGTATCTTCGGACGCGGTGCCGGCCTCTCTTTTGCGGCCTGTGTGAATGATGTGGCGGGTCCTGGTCCTGCCGTGTAATCGTAATCCGTTCTAGTATTGGTTCTGCTATTTCCCGTTTCCTTGTGCGTCATGCTACCCTCGTCCGATTTGCTCTTGGCTGGATGAACTCCAGGTGATTGCGTCGTGAGTGAAGGAGGTGACGTTGTAGTCGACGACTGTGTGGACGCTTTATAATCTTTCGTTCCATTTTTGGAGCTGAACCCAGCAGCACATTCTTCCCCACGACGATGTTGCAGCGAAGATCCTCGCAACGAGAGGCCTCCTTCTTTTTTCAAGTCCTCATCCTTCCCCTTCGCATTCGTTTCACCCGTGGAGGTGACCCTGGTGCTCGCCTTTCCCTGCTTGCCCGTGCCCCTAAGCCTTCTCGTACTCATTTCTACTGGAGGAGCCCCAAAAAGTTGAGCAAAGGATGAGTCTGGTGCTGCGCGTTGAGCGATGTCGTGGAAGATGTTGGTGTTGCCAGTGCTGCTACTCGTACTGGCATCCAAAAAAGACGACGCGTCGCCTCGATTGGAAGATGTTTGTTCTGAGTCATAGAGTCGATTCCCCAAGCGGCTCCCAGAAGGATAGTTTAGAGATTCCCCAGACTGTCCCTAAGGGTTATGCCTTCTGGATCCCGCAAGGTTATGCCTTACTCTTTCCCTTGTTGTACTGGGGTGCATACTGTTAAGGGATGTCCATAGAGATGGATTAGGGGGTGGAGCCTTAAATAGTACAAGTCAGCAAGATAACGAATACGATCCAAATGCGGATCATGATGTCCGGTCGAGCTCCGGCACCACGCGTCCCCCATCATATAGCGCGAAGCATCGTGGTAGCGATAAGCATCTTGAAAGCGGAGATAATCTGGATAGCGAGTAGAAGCGCTGTCAAAGAGAAGTGCATCTTGAAGGATTTGAGCATCTTGAGGGGTGGCCGTGGAGTCTTTGTCTGACGAAGCAGCAGAGGCACTACTTCTTCCCATGCTCGGGTGAGACCTGAAACTCTGACTCTTCGATAGCTGCTGCTCGTCGCGCCCTTCCTCCTGCTGCACGTCAAACAGCAGCATAGTACCACTACTACCACCACTAGATACTCTTCTTGAAGAAGTTTGAGTTTCATTTTCTACCTCTCCTCCTCCTGCTTGATCTTCTCTTATGCATGCAGAACCTGCCCCATCTTCATCTTCAGATGAGATGTCTGTTGATGTACCGCTAAAAAAAGCTTGAGTTGAATATTTGGTTGCACTTGGCAACTCTTCTGGCAACTCTTCAGGCAAATCTTCAGAATTCGAACCTGCGAGGCCATGGACCGGAAGTACTACAGTAGGACCACAAGAACTGTTAGCGCCGCCGGATTTGATTCATCTCTGTCCCCTCATCTCGACCCTTTTGTTTCCCCTGAACAAACACAAGGGAACAAAAGGGCATCGAGATGCTGAGAAAGATGGGTAAAAGCTGACCTTAAAACTCCAGATGAAGTAGAAGATCCTTCTTTTTGCAGTAGAAGTACGCAACGTGGATGAAGTACTTCTACAACTACTTGTCGTGGGCGAGTTCTTTTTACTTCTTTGAAGACAACTTTTTCGTTTCGTGGTCATTCTACTAGTCGCCATCGCTGCAGTGGTCAACATCTTTGAAGTTGTTTTTCTTGTGCTGTCACTTCTACAAGTGAACATGTTCTTTAGACGAGACTGACACTCAGTAAAGAACAAGCAGGACACAAACTTCGAAAAGAGTATCTAATTAAGAGTTGTTCCCCAGGAGTACATTGATCAGTAAATATTCTTCTCGAAAACTTCCCTTTACACGACCAGGAAGAGGCTCGCTCGTCCGTTCTATTGGTTTGCCCCCTGGACAGTCCAGTCGCGACGCGCAGCTGCTGGCGAAAAAAAGAGCACCTTCTTGTCTTGTCGTTGTAGGGGTAGTAAATGATCCCGCTCTGCTCGGAGGGGTAGTGGACGCTTTGTGGTGGACGAGTATAAGCACACGCGGACGCGCAGCAGTATTAAGTACCTAGTCGTCGACAAGAGCCTTCATGTTTTGCGTCGACAAGGTAAGGCTTACCTTCATCTTTTGTCTCAGGGTCGTCAGAGAACAAATGCAAATCGTACTAATACTGTAACAGTTACAGACAGTGGTAGTTGTACAGGAAGACTTTGTGAATACTTGATGCTATAAAGCCTTATTCGATCCTGGCACCACACAAGCTTTAGGATTTCCGCTCTTACCTCCTCTAGAGAATGTCATCAGCGAGGCATGGACAAGCGAAGACGGCTGCTTAAGCGAACGCGTGCACGTCTTAATGATCCCAGGCTGATCTTACTTTCCGAAGAGGAGATCACATCCACCTGTTTCCCGCAGAGAAGATTGATTATATCATGAAAAGATCCATTTTTGTTATATTCATGTGGTGCTTCCAGACTAATTTATCTTCGTCCTCAGGTGTCAATCAGTGGTAGCCTGCAGTTCCCTCTCATGCAACTCATTCATTATGTGTGTGGTCGCTCCTGCAACATAATAATCATAACTGCGAAGAAGTCACGACTCCCTGTTCAGCAGGGTGAGTCGTCCCTACCACTATAACAACCCCTTCCCCTCATTGATAATATCTCAACACGTAATAATTATGCATAAACATTGATACTTCTGCGCCAAAAATTTTTCCATCCGAGGTAGTAAAATGCCTTCGCAGTGCTTGCTTAATCGTCTGGTTGGTAAAATGGTATATCTGGATATAGAAATGGATCGTACTGCTTCACCGGCTGGTCCATCACGCAGGGGTATCGTACACCAGGTTCAGGACAGAAAGTCGGGTAGGGTAATTTAATGTGTGCGTTCTTCAGGCCAGTCTTTGCCCGCCCGTCGGAAATCTTCACCACCGCCCCTTTGCGCCCAGGCACGGTGGCACGTAGAAAAAGAAGGTCGCGCCTGAGGATTTTTATGGTAAAAACGCGAATGATAATGTTGATTTGCCTCCTACAAGCCACAATCTCTATTTTGTCCTAATGAAAATGACCATCAATCAGATTTGTAGTTTCTCAAACGCTAAATAATCTGTCAGAAACCAACAACTTTATGATCACTACCTCGCGTCTATCCGAAATATTTTGACATTCATGCAACGCGGATCAGGTCCCATGTGCCCGGCCATCTTTTTGCCGCTCCAAACATTGCAGTCACCCTTCATTAGAGCTCCAAATGTTGCATTCCTTTAAGAACAATCAGATGACACCTCTTACTTGCAGTGTCGACAACATCTGTTTCTTCAGGAGTCCATTGCTTCAGACCTCCAAGAAAAAGGAAACAGAAGACAATGGCATGCACGGCGCACAACTCTTGTCTTGCAGTCATACATACTTACAACACGTTCAGAGGACACCGGAGGAACGTCTGTGTCATACATCTACACTAAAATGTTCTTGAAGATAAGTACCTCCTAGTCCTAGTCCTAGAAGATGCTCGTACACTACTGTGGAGACTTGGATGAAATGAATTACAAATATGAGGTCCTAACTTCACTCCAATGCTACCCGGTGCACGATGCTGCTTCTCCGCATTGGCTCTGCGTCCTCCAGCGAAGCCCCATCGTCGCATCACGCCCTGCCAACCCCTGGCTTGCGACATGCCGCTGAGAAAACACCACCACCCTTAGACGAGGTCGTTCTTGTTGAAACAAGAGCTCATACTTTTCTTTGCCCTACTAGAAGTACACACTTGACACGCGATTTCTTCTTGGAATGTCATTTGTCAATACAATACAATAAATCTCGCACAAGAATCTATGCAGACTGGGGCGTCTTCGAGGTTCGGCGTCTTATCGAATAGAGCTTACAAATATGAGCAAGGAATGATTCCCGTCTTAATGCCCAGGGACAAAGTGTCGTACAGACAATCGGTGGCCTACAGGTAGGACGCAATCCGGAGACACTCGAAATTCCTGTGGTAGGTTTAGAAATTTTCTTGTGAGATGAATTACTCACGTTATCTTCGGTTTCTCCATCTCGTAAACTTCTAAAGTAGGGGGGAGTCAGATAACTTCATTGAAAAGTATCAGTAGCTGGATACCAAATACATGAAAACACATCAATCTTGGTATCAAAATTCTACATGCAAGACGTCTTTCGGACCGACGCCGGCTTTCATGAAGTGTCCAAGTTCGCTCTTGCGTTGTCTTTCGACGGGTTTATACCCTATCCCTATCTGCACAGCGGAATATCCATGTTAGACCTTGCTTCCGGGAATCCATCTCGAAAGTCATCTTGTACCCGTTACCGTTTATTCCCCCTTACACGAGAGGGAGAGGTCCAAGTAGATGCTTGTGGACGAGACGGATGTCCGGAAGTCATAACCATGACTTTGAATCGTTTTCGAGGCACACACTCGAGCACGATCGACTTTGATAACTGTGATGGTATGTCGTTGACCCCAATCGTCGTAAAGGCACATCATGCCCATTTGATTAGAAGTGCACCCTGCTTCCCGAGCCTCAGCGACCACGGAATTGGGATTCTACTCGTTATAAAAAACTTTATTGTCCTTGATGGGCTGCGTGTCATTATTGATTACAGGAGCAGTAAAACAGGATTCAAATACGACACGCTGCAGGTGCTGCTCATCCCCACGTGCTCCTCCTAAATGTTATGTCTTCGCTCCATGTAGTTATACATAGTTGGAGCTAAACTTAGACACAAACTACCTAAAAGGAGCCGTATATTAATTGTGAATGGACTAGATTTTTGACTGATTAAGGACAAGGCATAGCCTTGCCAGTGCCAGTAGTATGATAGCCAGACCGCGCGATAACTAATCAAATATATCGCGAGCCGGAAGCGTCTGCAAAGCTCTCCCGTTTGTTTTTACGCCGGAACGTATTGGAGCAGCAAAGTAGTTAAGGGCCCAAACGCTAACTCTCACACGAGATAGACTAGCAAATATCTATAAGTATATCAATTTAACGCACCAGATCCACTACGCAGTATAATTAATATTACAGTGCACCATAATCTTATAACCTATCAATCCGGTCCTGGCTGATCCCAGTATCGGACGCGACGGCTTGACATCCCAGGTCGCGCACTCCTCAGCAGTCCAAACGTCGTGCGTCGGTGTGCGCACTAGAAACTGCTGGCGCATCCTCTCGGTCACTCTCGCTCCTCGAGGATGACCTTGAGTTTGAGACGTATCGTCGCGGTCATCAGACTTTTGATTTGTTGACGTTTTCGAGACGACATGAGGCCCATGATCGTTCGTTCTACTCAGCGATTTTGATTTGCGACCCACTCCAGACGATGTTAAAGCTTTCACATCTCCGTCATTTGCAGCAGTTCCCGCACCCAAAGCTCTGGTGCCCGCACCAAGAGCTAAACCGCGTCGCAACTGTTCATCTGGCGGCACAGGTGTGACTGTGCTGCCGAACACGGACTGTAGCACTGTGTGGCGCTGCGACGTTGCTAAAGAGGGATCATCGCGCAACACTTTGTAGAGGTCGTTTTGTCGGTTCAGCGCTTGCGGCCCCTTCGAGGGATCGTCCGAGAAAACGTCGATTCTCGTGCGGCTAGGCGACCTATGCTTCTCGGACAACAACAACAATCGTTTTACCCACCGCGGCGTTGGACTCTTCTGAGGCTGACTGAAACTCTTGTAGCCACGGCGTATCGGTATCTGTTGGCCATGCACCTCTGTTGAGCCAGTTCGCGTAGTGCAACAGACATGTTGAAATCCGGTCGTTCTGATGACGGTTGAAGTCGACGCACTGGACCCACCACTGAAAAAACGCGGGAACACACAAGGAGCAAGCGAAACTGTAGTTGTTGCCGTCATCTTGTTGGTTTGTACTTATGCGACGTTAGGTTAGGCGTCGGTTCCTGGGCATGTCGACACCGCTGCACGTTGTTCCTTCTAGAACTAAAAAATTCAATTCTAATCTCTTTCTCTTCACGTTTCAACCAGAAAAGACTTTATAGTCTCTTCCCTCACCTTTGGCTATTGGAAGACCGATCCAAGATTGGAGTAGGACGGCCTACCGTCCGAAGGCACTGCTATTCCGTTCATTATGCTGAGTCCTTTCTTCTTGCTGTGAGACCACAATACATCCTATTGAAGAAACCCGCACTCGCCTTCCTGCATCCACTCACCAGCAACATAAGAAAGAGCTGCGACTGGATCAATTTCCAAATTTGATTGAATGCATGATAAAAGGCATTAATATGGATGCCTCACTCCTTCCGATTTGAATCATTTTAGCAAATCATGTCTTTCTTTGCTTATTCACTATTTCTCAGAGAACTTACACCGTGACCTAGTTCGTTTTTCTATCTGTATTTCCAAATAGCATGTCTTTCCTAAACTAAAAGATGGTAAATCAGATTTCTAATATCATTTTCTCCCGCTATCCCCATGTAGTCTTCCTTGTGTGTACATTCAGAATGTAGTCCTCGCTGTGTACATTCAGCAGTCCTTGAAATTTTCACCCCAAATTTCATCCAAGAAGATAAATTACTACGAAAACAGCGTGGCACTTCCAATGTCACGTGTGTGTCCCTGTCGCGGTTCAACATAACCGCCCAAGATTTTTTTGGCGTTAGGACTATACGCCACCGCCCTTTCAAACAATTAATTAACTCGTTCAACAAAAAATGCCATACAAATTATATACTGGGGGCGCATAAGACCGCACATTCGGCCACAACTCTACACCTATCGGAGAAGCCGCACACTCGACCCCTGTAGAACAACTAAGGCGCAACCCGACGCAGCGGGGCCCCGTGAGCAAGTCTTATTACATAGAAGTTATCCTTAATTATTTTTCAACATTAGTCAGCCGGTTTTCATTACTTAGTAGATGCGTGAAGACGTTATGCTCGACTTCGTAATTCTTTCCAAAATAATCATACTATAATCGATGACGGTTGTGCCTATTCTAGAGGTGTTGTCTGTATGGCATTTGTTAGCCTTTGCACTTCATCATGTGTTTTCTGTATATTTCAACTCTTTTTGCCCTTGCTTGCAATGTCAAATCTTCTCTATATTCTAAGCTCCATTCGCACTTTTTGCATTTCGATTTTCTTCTTTCCTCATTCCCCCAGCAGTTCTCAGGAACAATTAGCAAGCATGTGCAATCTTGCGTCTGATCCAAAGTAGCTCTTCCCCGTCTGCTTGTTGAAGGTGTGCGTTTCTGGGCGAAAGATACGGCGCGATGCTCCTACTGCGTCTCCGGATGCTACACAGGAAGATTTTCTGAGGGTGCCTACTTTAATTATTTGGCCCTCTTTGTGTTGTTTCCAGTGAGCTCTCGTCGCGCCTTCGCTGGTGGTGTAGGCTAGGTTGCATATGTAGCACTTGTATCGTTGTTCTCCATGGACTTTCTTCCGCGGTCTCCTTGGTCCTCTTGATAGTAATGTTCTGAAGCCAGAGTAAGCGCCATCTTGAAGTCGATTTTTTCTCCTTATGGCGCTTCCGACGATCTCCTTCTTGGCTTCTGCTTCCATCCTCTTGGCCAGCTTTGTAGGTTCCCATCTGCGCGTCGTGTGGGCTTCTTTTCCGTGCGTTCGGCGCCTTTCTTCCCGCTGTGATGTGGTTTGACGCGCTAGCTCCTCCCACTTCGCGTCACTGGAGGCTGTCCAGTCGCAAATCGGGCAGGCGCCACTTGATTGGGGCTTCTTCTCTTCCCTGGCTCGGTGTGCTCCAATATTTATAGCCGGCGACAGGAGTATTGTGGTTCGGGGAGTGAATCCAGTAACTTCGAGCTCATCTCCGTGACCAGGAAGCAGGAGTCGCCGAAGTGCCGCAACTTCTTCACCGGTTGCCGTGTACGATGCCGCGACGGATGCATCCGTAGACCAACCTGCTGCGCCTAGCCCTCCGTCTCCAAGTTTTTTGATGATGTTGAGGCTTTTTTCCTTTATGAACGGTTCGACACTATAATCCGTATATCTATCTGTTTCAATGTATTATCGTGGCCACGCGCCAACCATGCTGAAGACACGAGTGCGTAACTTCCTACTTGGTATGAATCTTAAATTTAGAGTACTCCTTCGGTTACTGTCTCCAAAGCATACGCGGGGGCTCCGGGCTTATGGGTTTCAAAACGCAGCGCTCTTTCAAGAAACTCTCGTTGTGCCTACCCATCGTGGTAAGCCCGTCATAGATACGTACTGAATGACAGATGACAGGATCAAGATCAAATCCACGACGAGTTTGCAATCTCAGTTTGCTCTATGGTGAAATTTGGAAAGCGATACTTATACTTACTCAGTTGTGCCTGCTTTCAATTTCAACTGCGACGTACTTTCACAGACCGCCACCGGAGCCATCCAGAACACCCGAGAGCTGTTCAACTCAAGAAAACGCTGAGTTTTGCACACCCGCCACATCTGCTCGAGTAGACGTGCTGATACAATGAATCGCGCGAAATGCTGATTGGTTTGCTGAAGAAGCCCGCCGACAAAAAAATAAATGAATACTACGATCGCAAGTCTCTGATCAGCACGGCTCCGAAGGTTTTTCACAGCAATAATTTTGATTTCCACAATCTTTTCTTTTTGCGCTGTTCTTCAAGTATGTCAACGACTTTGGTGTCTAGGTGCTAACCCGAAGGACATGATGATTGAATGTACAATATTCATATCTTACTTTAGGAAAAGACCGACTTCTACTAAAGAACTTACATATAATCTATATATATCATGTGAATCATTGATGTAAGGTAAGGCCCACGAAAATGGCGGCACTTCTCACCGATAGATTGGACAGCGCATGGGGTCGTGCGCAGCATGCCTAAACCAATGTGGAGGATCGTGAGAAAATTTCTATGCGGCGCGCTGACTTGACACGATGCTCTGAATGGGTGAATGAATGAATGTGCCTAGCATGAGGCGTTGCATTCTTTAGTCTTGATATTTCTATACGATAAGTTATGGCAGTGAGTCACTTGAGTTTGAAACTAAGTAAACACCGTTTCAGTTTAACTTCTTCCATTTTCTAAGCTCCTCAAGAATCCTTATATATGGTATTAATTAATTAGAGTTGTTGTTCTACTGCAAAAGTTGCCCAATGATATTCTGGATTTTCCGCAAATGTTTGTCGTATGGCTTTTAAGACTACGAAAAGAAACTACAGGAACGTTAGGTAAAAAACGGTACCCTTGAGCCTAGTATATTGATTAGGTTTTTTCCGTTGCAAAGATGTGTGGCTCTTAAGTGGTGGGGAGAAACTTGAAAAAAGTTAGCCGATGAAGAACTTGATTTTTAGACAATGTCGTTTAAGAAGCTCTAATAGCAGCCCTGGCGAAATGTTGGGGCAGCGAAAATGGCGCTCACGCTTCCACGATTCGCAAAAACCGTCTTAAGAGAGAATTTAATATTTATTGAAAAAAATTCTTTGAGAAACATGAATAATTCAACTCACTTCTCTCGCTTTACATCGTATTTTTGGCTCGTGCTGTCCCCTCGTCCCTACTACAGCCACCTCTTGTCTTCCACCACGTTGCGAAGGAAATGCGTTGCAAACAGGGCTGCCAACCAGAGTAGCATCGCGACTGCTGCAAATGCTAGCGGCGGAGACGCATCCGTCTTTCCTTCCGCGCCTCGGCCGAAGACGTTATGCCTAACTAATTCGAACGCCAGCACGACCGCATCTCCATTCCGGGATCCTCCTCGAAGTAGTATTGCTCCGTCTTTCGCGCGGAGGTCGACCTGGCCCGCGAGGGGGCCCTGGGTGGAGGACTGGCGCAACTCGACATTTGCGACCTGATAGCTTGTACTTGTTGTGTCTGGACCCGGACGAGCGTGCTGCACGTCATCAGGATACAATAAGTCGGACGGAAAATCTTCGAACGCAAAGCAGGTGTGCGGTGCGGGAAAAGACACGAAGAGGAACTGGCAACGGAAGTAGGAAGTAGCACTTCTGCTGCTCATTTGACCCTCCGCCTGTCGTTCGCTCAACATTCCTTGTTCATCGCGTTCCCCACTCCACAAATTGCGACAAAAATTTGCGCACATGGATGCGGACTCCGTGCTGCCGAGCGTTCGTGTACGCATAATTTTCGACGCCGGACTATCCTCGCGTGGGACGAGCCATTCCTGTGCCCCAACTCCCGTCGCCAGGAGCGGCAAGGAGAGGCGAACGGCTGTCCACTCCCCTGTCGCGCCCCGGTCCGGCCGCGCTTCCGCCATTGGCACTCGAAATAATTTTCGCGAATTTGCGAGCAACGCGAAACTCATTCCCGGGCCGTGGAATTCCGCGCCATCATACAAGCGAGAATACAGCTCGCTATCGCAATTGATATTCCACAGACAATTCAGTCCTCGCAGAATCCGCAAACCGAAGGACGTCTGCTCGAATTCGATGTCCTCGTCCACACCCGGCGCCACGACCTCGACCAACTCTTCCAAGTACTCGAAACGGGGCACATGGTGATCTCCGTCTGTGTAGTCTGCTCTCGGTGGTACGGAGGCTGCGGTGGTCAAAAACCCCTGATTCTGCACTCCCGTACCTCTGCCCGTAAGACGGCTTCCCCGCACCACCGCCTCCATCGCTGGGTACCACAAGGACAGCAGCACCGGTGTTGTGAGGAGTGAAAAAACGAGGATGAACCGCGAGTTCTGCCAGACGGATTGACGGTGCGGCGCCGTTGTACTAAATGATTTCGTGGACGACGGTGGCCCCGCGGCCGCAGGAGAGGACGAGGTGGAGGGTTTCCTCGTGAAATGATGAAGAAGACGTCCCCAAGCACGGTCGCACCACGGACCCGGGTTCGTGTTCAGCAGCAAGGAAGACGACAGGAGGAGACAAAGCATCCACTGCGCGGAGAACGCGGAATCAAAATTGTGGGAGCGGCCAACGGTGTTTGACACACCCGTTCTCGTCAGATCGTCGCGGTCCAGGTTGACGGCTGCGTACCAGTCGCTGCCGCGAAGGGACTTGAAGACGTTCAGCGCCCGCACAAGGCCGAAGTGGAAGAGAAAAAAAATCGCCAAGTTTGCGGCGACCCAGCTACCCAGTGTCAGCAAAAAGTGCGCGCCGAGAAACTGCGCGGAGGGGTTACCCTTCTTTACTGGGGGAGTGTTCTTGCTCCCGCGCGACTCTGCAGCTTCACCTCTTCCCATCTCCGCCGGTTCCAGCTGGGCGATCGCGAAAGGCAAACCCATGAAACACACCGCGTCGACGTAGAACCACATGCCCATCGGCATAAAGGCGCCCACTGCTTGCACCAGAAACTTGGGTCCGAGACACCAGCTCAGCCCCACAATGTTGAAGAAAAGAACGATGATCACCGAATTTTCTAGGCAGCACCGCCCCTCGACCACCAGTTTCGCAACCGAGGTGTAGATTGATGGATCGGTCGCGACGAAGGGGGCGATAGCCGAGACCGCCGCAGTGGAGTTGTCGTTTTCTTCCTGGAGGTTGTTCTTCCTGACGAATTCATCTTCGTCTTGCTGTTCATCATGGTGGCGGTCCTCCCTTATTTTACTTTCGTGATCTCCTTGTTCGTCGTCGGGAGCGGCACAGATAGCAACCCCGACATGAGCCTGGCGCAGTGCGGCAGAGTCGTTCCCTCCGTCGCCACACATTGCCACCACGTTGCCAGACCTTTGAAGGCGTTCCACGATTCGTTTCTTCCCGTCCGGCTTTGTGCGCCCAAATACGCGCACAAACGGTAACAAAAACTCGAGCTGCGAAGATTTCTTCTGCTTCGTATTTTCCTCTCCCGTGGTCGACCCTTCTTCAGTAGTATCCCCTCGCTGGCGGGGAAGAAGAGGTAGTGTTGCACTTACATCACGTTGTTTACAGATAGCAGCCTCCTCTTCCACAAGTTCGGCCGCAAGCGTACTTTCCTCAATTACATCCTCTACCTCTTCCTCTACGTCTTCCTGCTCGAGCAAATCGTATGCAGCCTCTGTAATGGCAAGGGCAGTGCTGGCTCGGTGCCCTCCTTGCAGCTTCGCCAAACGAGCTAGGAGCTCGGAAGTCGTCATCGAAGCATCCATCTCGTCCCCGTTCTTGGAACATTTTTGGTCCGTTCCAGAACCTCTACCGTCCGCCACCATTTCCTCCCAGCGCACTACTTTATTTCCCGTATCGCCGCTCCCGGACCTTGTGACAGCAGCAGCACTAGTTGTAGCTTCCCCCACAAAAACTGTTTGCGCCGGGTCCAGGATGCCGCACCTGCGCGCGACCGTGACTCCCGTCCACACGGCGTCGCCCGTAATCATCGCGACACGAATTCCGCACACGCCCCGCAAATACCCGATCGCGTCCGCGGAATCAGGCTTCAGCTCGTTCCGGAAAAGAATGAGGCCTAGAAACTCCAGGTTTTTCTCTGCTTGGTCGCGCAGCGATACGAAACTTCGTGCGGAACAGAGTTTCGTTGCAGAACGAGGGCAACCGGTCCCCGACATAAAACCGTAGTCGTCAGTCGCGCTGGCAACGACTCCACCCTGCAGCCCCTCCACGTCAAAAACTGTTGTTCCTCCCAGCAGCGCCTCCCGCCCGCGGCGGTAGGATTCATCGACCATCGATTTCGTGAAGAACAGGGACTGCTCCTGATTATCGACGGACTCTGCCGGGGCCTTTATTTCGGGTAGAGCACTAGGAGGAGTCGCGTCGTTGTCTGCACTGGAGGGAGGAGTCCCGCCATGCGAAACAGAGGCCGCGAGGACCGTGGTTGCCGGGAGCTGCGTGTCGCGCAAAGATGATGCTTCATTTCCACGGGCAAGCCGCTTTACTGACAGTGACGTACCATCCTCGAGCGCAGAATGCGGATGCCTGCGTAATCCTTTCGAAATCGACCACGGCGTCTGCAGGGGTTCCGGCCTCTCCACGACCGTCGGCGTTGCCACTTGTTGTCTTTCTCGGAAATCTGGACTCTCCTCTTGTCTCTCATGACGTGGCGCCTCCCCAGTCTGACTGTGCGGCGGGAAGAAAGTGGAGTTTGCCCCCATTTTACCGGTTTCCTTCCAGATAGCAAGTTTCTTCTGCGCCGCCTCCACGAGTTTGTCGTTTTTCCTCGTCGTGGTAAGCAGACTAGTAGTGGTAGTATCGTGCAGAAGCTGCGTGGAGGAGATCTTCTTGCCGTCGAGATGATGAATATCAACACTGAGTGCAGCAGCATCTCCACCGCCATGCTGCTCATGCAGAGTTTTTCCAGGCGTCTGAGAGGCCTTCCTCGCGGCTACAGCAGAAGAAGTTTCTTCGGCTTCGAGATGGCCGAGTTTCGCCCTTTCCTCTTCGTCTGCTGCTCCCCACGACGCCCACTCCTCGTGCTCCCCCACGGGCTGTAGTAGTTGCCGCGACGTCAATTTCGCGAGTTTGGTCGCGGTTGCTGTGCCTCGCTCTGCAATCTCCCGACGCATGCGTTCGTGCGTCTCGAAGTCCTCATCGACCTCGTCCCACCGACCGCCTGGGGGGTTCCGCTGCGCGGAGAGTGACTCCCAATCTTTCAAAACGCCACTCTCGTATTTATCCACGTTCAACAACTCCAAGCTCGTCACCTTCTCCCTCAACGCCTCGACCTCACAGTTCGCGACATCGTCAAACTCCTCCTCGACGGGGCGGTCCCCTCGCAGGATGAACCCTGTCGGCTGAAACAAATCGTCGGCCTCGATCGCGTGATCGTCGCCGGAGCAGCCTGGTGCTGGTGCTGCTAGAGCCGTCCCGCGCTGTGGCGCAGGTCGTGGATCCAGCTTTCGTGGCCGAAGCATGCTGCTGGTGCTGTCGGACTCGGCGGATGCGGCTCCTTCACACGCAACGCCCACTCGCGGCAACATCTTCGAGACTTGATGAAGCGCCGGCGTGCTGCGCGAGAGAACCTGGTGGCTCGGCGGCGACTCAAGGAAGAATGCGTCGGCAGGGGAAGGACGAAACACTATTTTCTTCGCAATGGCGAGGGTGTAGAAACCTTGCTTCGAAAATTCGCGCGCCTGTCGCACCAAATCTGGAGGGAGCGTATCGGGCCGGCAGACGCGGGAAATCTTCTCGACCGACCCCTTCGCACAGACGAAATATTCCTCGCCGCGTCCCTCGACGTTGCGACGACCGAAAACGCTTTGGAGCACCCGCCGTTGATCAAACTCCCACCTCTTCATAATCTCGATCGGCGACGTCTGATTTCCCTCTTTCTTGCTTTCCATTTCACGTTTCGAAGACTCCCCGCGGCTCCCACCAATCGCATCAGCGTCCTGCTCTGGCGGATGGAATCGGAAAACCCGCGTTTTCTCGCCCTCGCCAAGTCGGTCGCTCGTCGTGGTCTTGTTCTTTATTTCGGCAGCTGCAATGCAGCTGCCTGTCGTTGTGGTATAATATGGAGTTGTAGCGGGGCGGACATCCAGCTGTGGCAGGACAGGTAGTCCCTCGGCTGCGCGAAGGGTGTTTAGGCCGGTTGCGCGCACACGGCTTGCGACCGCCGCAGGCGTTCCTCCGACGGCTGCTAGTAGTGCTGCTTTTTTGCTTTTGGTCTGCTCTTCCTCGGTGTGATGAAGAGCGCACGCTCCACCTCCGTCCTCACGAGGAATGCGCTGCTGCCTAGACGAGTAGAACTGCCCCGGATTTCCCAATCCAGCAAACGCACTGGTGCCGGAAACGTGTGTCGGAGCACGGCCGATCGTTGCCTGACGTTCCCCGGCTCGTCCTCCGAGTCCGTCCTCACGCTGCAACTGGGTGAGAGCGCGCGCCGCGCCTTCCGGCAGAGCTTCCACCTCGTGCTCCTCACTCGTCCAGCCGAGCGCGCGCACCAGCTGCCGCTCCACCGGATGCCCAGTGAGAGTGCCGTTCACCCGCTTCAGGCAGTGGCACACGGCCAACGACTCGAGTAACTCCGCCTCGCCGCAAGCCCGCAGCCGCTCGTTGAACTCCTTCACGCCGCGCAACGACTTATGATCGTCGCGCCGGAAGGTGGTTGACGCTGCTGCTTCACCCTGTCCGTCTTGCTCGACATCACCCACGCTCGCCTCCATTAACATCTGGTCAGGAGCTGCGGTCAATGAATTATGATACGGAATCACCCTGAAACAAGAGGTTTGGTCTTTTCGCCCCTGTGCGCCGCTGGCTTCATCAGTCGTAGTTGTAGAGGCCACGCGGCCTGGAAGCTCGTCCACCGCGGCGAATGATTTTTCTACAATAGCTGCGGCTGCTGGTCGTACGCAGCACGGAGCTCTGTTCCCACCAGATGCCCTTGTCCACGTGGCCACCCCGTAAAAGCGCATCTTTTCTTCCGTCAACGTACCGGTCTTATCGAAACAGAAAACATCCACGCTCCCCATCACGGGAATCCGACTCTTGTCCATCACGTATAGCTTCAAATTGGTTTCCAAACGCTTGCCGCTCGACAAGTAGGCCGCGTTCAGCGCAACCGGCAGGTAGGGACTGCACACCATCATCAGCGTCGTCAGCGCCTGCACGATCACGACATGAATCTCCGCGACAGTCGGGTTCGTGAGGAACAACATGCAGGCCATCACCAGCGGAGCGACGACGACCGCGCTGTAGCGGTGCCACAAAGCGAGTTGCGTTTCGAATGCGTACCGCTTGGAAAAATCCTTGTTCCCACCGGACGAGGATGTTGAGGAAGATGACAACATTTGTCGAACCGCGTCGCCGCGCACGGTGCCAACGCCGATTCCTGGCATAGAAGTTGAATAATGCAGTCGCTGTAGATGAAAAAGCACGAAAAGTATGAAAAAAAAAAACACATTATCCAGAAATTGACAAAGAACAGACTAAATGAACGTCGTTATAGTACCGACAACCACCGCTTTGGTTCCTTGCTCCGCCGCGAGTAGCGTTGTTCCCGCGTGTAGCACGTGCCGTTCCGATTTGGGTTCCGGGTATTCGCCGCGCTCGTCGCCGGTGAGGTAGCTCACCTTTTGCACCGGTAGCGACTCCCCGGTCAAAGCCGCTTCGTTCGTAAGTGCCGCACCCTTGACGAGAACGCAATCCACTGGTAGCTGCTGCGTGCAGGAGGTTTCCGAGATCGAGATATCTACCACGTCCCCCGGTAGCAGCTCGTGCGCGTCGACGCAACGGCAGGTCGTGCGCGGCGCCTCAGCATCGTCGTGAAGCTTGTTCGGATCATTAGAAGTAAGAGAAATCCATCTCGAGACGCATCCAAGGACCTTTTTCCCCTTGAAAACGGTCTGAGGATGCCTGTGAAGATGGATTTCTTCTAGCCTTAAGATGAACATGTTTCTGCACGCGCGTATCTTCCCCCGACGCCACCAAACGGAGCAGCTGTGCGTGGGACAGCTGCGCCGTTCGTGCTTTCCAGCAAGCGACCGCCCCGAAGAGAAAGACGTAAAGTCCCGCGACCGGCCAATTCTTGATCGAAAACAAAAGTAGACAGATCAGCCACTGTAGTGGATACACCAGGTTCTCCTCAATCTCCGCCACGAACGCTCGAAACAGTGTCAGTCTTGCAAAGGGAATCCGGTTTTCTCCGTAGAGCCGACGCCGCTGCTCGTCCGACGATCCGCGTCCTGTACCTGCGCCGCCTGGACGAAGCTCCGACAAGTCGCGTAAGATGTGCTCGAATAGGGCCCCGGGATCTACTTTTTCGACGTTCGGATCTATCTTTTCGCGCAAACCAGCATCCTGCGCTGTGCTTCCGTTTACGAGCATCCTCTCGATTGCGGCATCGACTTCTGAAATGCGTCCGTCAACAGCTACTCCACTTGCTTCTGCTGCACTAGCACTACTATGATCATCCACGACCTTGCCGCCAATGCCAGAGACCGTACCTCCTTCTTGTGTACGGAAGGTTGTACTGGCAGTTAAGAACGCTCTCGTAACGCGCACTGTGTACGGAGAAAGCCGCGGGATCTTAGGTCGCCACCGTCCGGTCGAAGACTCCAATTCGTACTGCACGCAACCGTACTCAAAAAAGGCGCGTTCCTCCCCATGCGGCCCGTCCTTCGAGGTCACGACTTTCGCGTATACGTGGTATTGCTCTGCCGTTTGTTCGGTGTGCGGGAGGTTGCCGTCGCGCTCTCGTGCCTCTGCCTGTGCTTGTCGCTGTTGCTGTTCTGTGCGGCCGGTAGAAGAAGTGCAACTACTCGCATCGAATGTAAGACGCATCAGCATGTCGGCCCCATGATGAGGGAGCGTTTCCTTTTCCAGCACTCCCCTTACTTCCGTAGCACTCGTTTCCTCGTACAGGCGTATTTGTATATGCGCGAGGTAGTGCAGCAAGACGGACGCCAAAGCCAAAAACCAATACACCAAGAAGGTGCACCCACAGCGCACTTCTGCGACCTGCATGCGGTGCTCGAATCCGGCACGTTGTAGTTCCGGTGTTCCTGCAACAAGGTCGTGCCATTGAAACAGGTGTTCAGCGATCCACTTTCCCACCACTGCGCTCGGCGCTTCTCCCCTCGTCTCAACATGTTGCTGTTGCTGTTGTGGTTGCTGCTTCACCTGTTGCTGTTGCGGTGTGGCTGCTCTGAGGACAAACAGGTCCTTCGTGTAGTGGACCCAAAGGACAGACAGCATTCCCACAAGCATCCAGGCTGTCCCAACGTAGAGTAACAGGCTGAGCGCGCGACCACGCCAGGTACGCCGCAATACTTGCACCGCTGTCCACGGTACCGCGTCGCTATCTTCCTCGAACAGGACTCCATTTCCTGCTGAGACCTGCCTTTCATCTTTTTCTCCCGGCGCGTAGTTTTCTGCGGTTTTTCGGACAAGAAGGTTGTTTTTCTTGCTCAGCACCAACGCGGGAAAAAAAAACGCGAGAAGCAGAATTGACGCAAATACGGCTGTCGGCCCTACGAAGAACCACGAAGCGACAAACAAATCCGCAAGAGCGATCTCCGCCATCGTGGTGACCTGGTGTTCTCAAAAGTCGAAGTTTGCAGGGCGGCGAGGCGTTCTTGGAGAGGTGTGTATCAGGTGGATGCGGTTTCAACGGATATAGTTGTAGCAGCTATAGCTACTAGATTTCAGCTTCCATCCTTTTATAGAACTACTGCACGCATGAAGATCGTAATATTGTAGGGTAGACCTTTCGCACGGTGTCGCTGGCGCGGTATGACCTACAAGCTCAGCCCGTTAGATGTTGCAGCGGGCAGAGAACACAAGGCGGGACAGCATGCGGTTTGAGTACAATTACGGCGCAATAATTACTTTGTGTAGTAATGGCGCAGTCTATGTACAGTTGCCAAAGGCGTGCAGGTTAATGCGATGCAAAAAGTTGCAAAAAGGTGAGACTTGCGGTAAAAGACCACTAGAAAAGCAGTAAAACCCCTACAAAATTCCTGGCCTTGAGCGTGATAACAGCGGGCGAATGATGGCGCACGTTGTTCCATGAATGATAAGTAGCATGCTGTTATTAATGTTCAAATAGTACCAACAAGATCGATAGTGCATGTGGAGACTTAAGGAACTCCGGGGGGCTTGATCAACATCGAGGCATTACCATTTTACGCGACTGAATCCCCATAAGAATACCAGCTAAGACCGTAGAACAACAAGCAGGTTAGATCTTGACTATCGTAACAGAACTAGACTACGACTATATGGAGCAGACCAGGTCTTTCATATTGTAACACCAGCAGGAACACAGTAGAAAAGCGAGAAGGTTGGGAATTTCGAAACTGGAACAGGATCAAGGAAGCGAGACAGGGATTAGTTCTGATCAGTCTATATATTACGAAGATGTACTTACGAGGATCCTTCTTTTTTGTTCAAGTTTTTTTCCCCTTCTGCATTCCAAAAAATTCAGAAAGGCTACCCGCTGCTTCACAAAGCGATTTGTGAAGCAGCGGGGGCGTAGTTTTGCTGAGTTTTTTGGTACTATGAACCGCCCACCCACGAAATAACCAAAGATCCACCGTGGAAAAAATCAGATCCGGCTGCCAGAATGCTGCGAATGTTTCCTTTTACGATCTTTCTGAGCTCTTTCGTAAAGGTTTTTGTTGCGATGGATTGATGTCTTACTGCAGGTTGCGGAAAGTGCGGAGGCGGCCCGGCGCGAGGAAGGGAGCCCTTCCACCTCTACTTTCCGCTCCTTGATGCAGCGCGGTTGTACCAAGGAACGGAAAGTAGAAGTAGAAGTGCTCCCTTCCTCGTGAAAAAATCATCGCGACGTGTTGCCGATCTACGGTCGCAAATCACGATCCCATAACAGCTCCGCTAGTCTCTTCCCCACCGCTTAGATCCCGGGACTTCAGTGACGGCGGCAGCGATGCTGGACGCCGGGGGCACATCTGCCGCTGCAACACCCGTAGAGCTTGACACCACTCGCGGGGAGGAACTAGACACGACGGAGCGAGCGCCCTACGGGGAGGCGAATCTGCCTAGCGGTCGCGCCTGCAGCGATTCTCGATCGGGCACTGGTATCTGATCCCTCGGCTCCACTTGTGTGCGCGCGAGGTCACTAGCGGTGTGCAGGCGCGCCACTGCTGCTGGTAAGGCGCAGACGCGTGCTCGATGGAGTAGTGATGGGGGTACCACTTCGGCGAAGCTGCTGGGAAAGAAGCCGCAGCAGAAAAATGGACACGGAAGCCATTTTTTCGCCCATCCTTCTCGCCATTTTTTGCTCCTCAAGAAGTAGCAAGAGGAGCCTTACTGGATACGAAACGCTTTTCGAGGAGCGATGAAGTTCGTGTTAGTTGTAGGTCGACCTCGTTCTCATGATCTGAATCTGATGGCGCTATGTATAAGTTGTCGTTGCATTAGTCGAAACGACAAATTTACGGCCTCGTTCTACAGTGGTCGGACTCTTCCCCTTTGTCTAGTTTCCGCCGGCTCATGTTGGAGATGGGTTTGATTTATTGGAGTGATACGTCGTGTCTGGGTTGGGTTTGGACGTCGTGATCCTCGACTGGGTTAGACCACGTCGAGAATCACGCTCGAGGACGAGAACAACGGATCGCCTACAGCGTCACAAGGCACACTTCCCATTGGAGTCACCAAAAGTGCTAAGCTCATTGATCCATCGATCCCCAGCATCCGTTCTTCGCCCGTCAAATTTTCAAAATGTATATAGGGGGTTGTCCTCTAACCTCTGCCTTGAAGCTTATGCTCGAGTTTTTGGATGAACCACAGCCCATGGCTGATCCATCTCCTCACGTTTCGTGGTTCAAGATGTTTTTCAAAGTTGAAGAAAGTCAGGTTGACCCGCCCTCTGCCTGTGCTTGGGACGTTGTAGTCTTTCCGCAGCCCTCTCTTCTATCTTGTGAATCTGTTTTAAAGCGTAAGTGTTCGGTGCTGTTTTTACTCGTTTTTAGAGTCGTACAGACTCCGGCAACACCAGCATCCCTGGGTGTTGTCGGAACTCAAACCGATTAACAACCCTGCTCGTCGGGTCTTGAAAACCCCGCATCATTAAACGCTCGACCGGCACCCACAACTCTTCCAACCTATCCCATCCGTGGTGGGTCTGCAGCGGAAACACCCCCACGACCGCAGAACGATTTCTCACACTTTCATATTCTGCTCCTGTCGGTGACGCAGCCACCATCCGAAGGTACTGCTTATCCCGTTCATTATGCTGAATCCTTTCGTCTTGCTGTGAGAACACAATGATGTCCTATTGAAGAAACCCGCACTCGCTTTCCTGCATCCAGTCTCCAGCAGCGTAAGGAAGAGCTGAGAATGGATCAATTTCCATTGGATGTATGATAAAATGCATTATAATATAGACGCCTCACTCGTCCCGATTAGAATCCTTTTAGCAAATCATGTCTTTCTTTGCTTATTCACTATTTCTCAGAGAACTTACACAATGACCTATTTCATTTTTCTATTTGTAATTCTAAGTAGCATGTCTTTCCTAAACTAAAAGATGGTAAATCAGATTTATATTATCATTTTCTCCCGCTATCCCCATTTAGTCTTCGTTGTGTACATTGTTCAGAATGTAGTCTTCGCTGTGTACATTCAGAATGTAGTCTTCGCTGTGTACATTTTAAGAATGTAGTCCTCGTTGTGTACATTCAGACTGTAGTCTTCCCTGTGTGTACATTCAACAGTCCTTGGAATTTTCACTCCAAATTTCATCTAAGAAGATAAATTACTGCCACAACAGCGTGGCATTTCCAATCGATCCCCTAGAAGTTGATTACATTATCCTTAATTATAACTATTTTTCAATATTAGTCAACCGATTTTCATTACTTATACTTAGTAGATGCGTGAAGACGCTATGTTCGTAATTCTTTCCAAAATAATCATACTATAATCCGTATATCTATCTGTTTCATTGCATTATCGTGGCCACGCGCCAACCATGCTGAAGCCACGAGTGCGTAACTTGCTACTTGGTACCTAAATTCTTTCTGAAGATATGAAATGATTTGCGAAATTTACAGGTTAACACTTTTTTTTTTGTTCTAAAATTCGGTAGCTTTTAATGATGAGTATGTCGTTTATGTTGCTTTCTAGAAGTGGCCACGAAGTCGTTCTGCGCTTTCCACGAAGTCGTGCTGCACTTCATTCCATTTCCTTAATTCTCTGCGTCTTTTCCATGAGAACATCCGAATCCGATGTTGTTGACTGTTCACAGTACACGTTAGTCTACTTATGCCTTCACAGGAGCAGCCGCAGCGGGTTCCGGAGTGCTTGCGGCCGCCTTCTCAGCAGCCATCATGCGTCTCGATTGCACCATCTTGGACATGGATGGGGCACCGAAGAATCGCCAGTACCACACCAAGAACTCATCAAAGGTCACACTGCCACTCTGATCGGAGTCCAGCTGCCGCCAGTACTCCTGGCGCTTCTTATCCGTCATCTCCGCTCCGGCTGTCAGCACGTGGAGCAACTGGAAAAACTCCTCGCTCTCCATCTCACCACTGCCATCCTCATCGTAAAAATCAAACACCACCTGTAGCAGGATAGGATAGGATAGGATAGGATAGGATAGGATAGGATAGGATAGGATAGGGTGCCTTTGCTACGTCTACACGCAAGGTGCCGACCAAAAGTGTAGTTGTTGTTGTAGCGGAGGTCAAACGGATAGTACAAATCGAGATTGAGATACTAGAGAGAGTTCTGTTGCACAAGATGAAGATGATTTAGAAGATTTTGATTTGCTTCATCGTTTCTATTTCATCTGAAAGTATCGTTCATGTTCTTTGAAAGATGTAAGTAAATCTATTGCATAGTAGTTACCTGAATCTTGTCGACTTCGACGATCGGCATGTTGTGCTCCTTCGCCAAGTCTCGAGTGGCGATCTCTTTTTCGGAGATGACTCTGGCTTCCTCGAAGAAGTGGGGCAAAGTTTTGTGATCCGGTCGACCCTGCTTCAGCAAAGTGCGGTTATCCACGCGGTAGCGGTCCAAACGACCGCCTTCCATACGCAACGAGATTTCCGGCAAGTCCTTCTTTCGTCGGGCACTCGTCTTCTCCCCCTCCTGAGGCTTCACCTCCTCCTTGGCCTGCCGTTCCTCCTCAGCTTCCTTTGCCTGAAAATTCATCATAGGACGAGGGATGAAGATGGAGTCCATGACTAATATGCTTTGAAGAAGAGAGAAGACACAGTGCTTGAACATGTGAACTAGATCTACACCCAGTAGATGACTAGAAGAAAATAAGTAGTAAAAAAATATACTCGTTCCTGTTCTTCTTCGGCTTCTTCCACACACTGGGTCAATGACTCGCGGGTCGCGCCGAGTTGCCGGTCGCCCAAGGACATGTGCCGGATCGCAGTTTCGACCTTTCGCTGGTTTTCTTTCAGGTAAGCGGCATCGTCCTTCTTCTGTCGTGAGTTGTGGAAGGCCAACTCCTCAGCTGGCGTCAGGGAGACCACCGCGTTGCGCTCCTTGCCCTTCAGGCCCTTGCGGATGTAGGGTGCCAACTTGAACGGATTCGTTTCCCCCAGTTTATACAACTCGCGAATGCGCTTCCGGCCAACATCGCGACGATCCTCTGCTAGGTTCCTGGCAAACATGCGCTCAATCTCCTTCTGCTTCTTCCTTTGCTGGCGGCTGTTCGTATCATTCTCCTTGTTCCACTCCGAGGTCTTCTTACAGTACAGCTTCCACTTCTGCATCACGCTTAAGCTCTCCCACTCCGCCTGCACAATGTCCGTACTGCGGAAAGCAATGAACTCCACCTAAAGGAAGGAAGTTCGTAAGTTCGTGAAGAAAACACGTATCAACTTAAACTTTTGGCATAATCTCTAATGTTGTGTGGTAGATAGGGATTGAGATTGACTATTCTACTAATCCACGACACGCAGCTGGTCGTCGACAAGTAAACTTCAAAACAGTAAAGTAGCTCTCAGAAACAGGGAGCATGGGCAGAAAAAGAAAGATACCGTATCAATGGTTCCGTCCCCAGATTCGTCGAAGATGTTGAAGAGTTTTTTCAGAGAGAAGCCGTTGAATGCTGTCAACAGCACGTAGGTGTCGATTTCCGCCAAGGTAAGGACTTTCTTCGTTGCCGCTTCGAACTCGGTGAAGGAGATGTCGCCGTTTCCGTTGTTGTCGTAGGCCTTGATGATGCCCTCAACCGATCCCAGTTTTGCGATCAGCATCTTGCGGAACATGCTCTTTTTGTCTCGCGGGTCCTTGATCAGCGCTTCGTTCATGGCACGGATAGCGCGGCAAGTAAGCTCACTCTGGGCGACGTCCAAAAGAGCAGTGATCTGTTTCGACAACTCGGCACGCGCGATCACAGCTGGATCGTTGGCGGCCTCGGCTTCGCGGTTCTTCCTTCGCTGCTCCTCGAGAAGCTGAGCGATCATGTGCACTGATCCACCCTCGTCCGACAACGCTGCCGTCAACACCGACAGTTGCGCCTAATGGCGATGGAGATAGGTGTTTTTCGGTATTGAGTTATAGAGAATACTTTGGATTTTCTACTACCATTTGAGAGCAAATAGCTATTCACGTACTTACGTGTTAGCAATACTCGTCCTTCTGTTTTTATCTTTGATTTAAGATAATTATCTTCTAAATCTTACTCCTTGTCATCTTCTCGCAACAAGAACTATGTATAAAAATCTGGCACAAAAGAATCTACATCTAGTTACTTACCTGCGACTCCAGCGCGGCTTCGCGAATGCGGCCGTGGTTGGGTCCGACTTCCTTGACCTTTTTTGCCTTCAGGAATTGCGCCGAGATGCTTGCCAACTGCGGAGTCTTCTTGTCGTGAACTGCTAGTGCTTTCCTCCTCATTTCCAGGATGCTCTTTTTCTTATCAAGCTTCTCTTGTTCCTCGTTGGACAGCACCTTCGTTACAGGACCGATCTGTGTGTGAGGGATCTGGTCTTTCACGTATTTCTTGTCCACGATGTTGGCAATGTCCTTGAACAGGATAGTTGCGCCCATCACGTGCTGACGCTCCTTCTCCTTGGGACCAAAGTCGCGGGCTTCGTGGAACGCGCTCTTCATGGCGCGCACAGACTCGGCCGAGGAGCTCCCCGGTCGGCGGGAGCTGCCCTGCGAGAGGCGAGAATCCGGCCGAGGCTTGTCGCTCGGCGTGCGCGAGCGCGAAGCAATGTCCTCGTTGATCTCGCGCGCAGTGCGCACACGGTTTGACGCAGTGGCGCTATCAGCATTCTCTCCGCTCAACACAGTAGCCATCAAAGCATCCTCTTCCTCCGCCACTGGCATGACGGTGTCCTCCGGCACTGCCGGAAGCTCCGGCACCGTCTCAACCGCCGGGAGTTGCTCAAGAATGATGGTGGTCTCTGCCGCCTGGGCCTCAGCGCGCGCACGAGCCAAGGAATCCGGCGTGGAAGGACGGATCTCCCTGGCCATTAACTCGTCGAGTCGCGCTTTGGACTCCTCCATCTGACTGTCCACCCCTGACGTTGCCCGTCGCCTGCGCGTCGAAGAAGACGAAGTTGATTCTTCCACTCCCTCTTCCACAGGAGCGGTTTCATCTCCGAGGAACGCGTCCGCAGACATCTCCTGAGCGTCTCCGGTATCCACAGCAGTCTCCATAGGAGTAGTCTCAGTCTCCACAGGTGTAGCCTCTACCACGCCTGTCTCTTGTAGTTCCGCGACCTCCTCCGAGATTTCCGCAACTGCCGGGGCAGACTCCTCCGGATGCTCGGCGGCAGCCTCTTCCTCAGGTTCTGCTGTCTCGCCCGCTGGGAGTGGTAATTCTGCTTCGATTTCCGGAGCGGCCTTTTCAGCAGCCGGCACGGCTTCAGTAGCAGGCGCCTCTTCAGCAGCCGGGACGGCTTCACCAGCAGGCGCTTCCTCAACAGCCGGGGTGGCTTCACCAGCAGGCGCTTCTTCAACAGCCGGGGCGGCTTCACCAACAGGCGCTTCTTCAACAGCCGGGGCGGCTTCACCAGCAGGCGCTTCTTCAACAGCCACACGCTCCTGGCTCAGGGGCTCCCGGGCAGCGGCCGGTGCTTCTTCAGCGGCAACAGGTGTGTCATAAGCGGTCGCAGGTGTCTCTTCAGCGTTAGCAGGTGTCTCTTCAGCGTTAGCAGGTGTCTCTTCAGCTGCAGCTGGTGCCTCTTTAGCTGCCGCTGGTGCTTCTTCAGCTGCAGCTGGTGCTTCTTCAGTAATGACAGCCTCTTCCGCAGCAGGTGCTTCTTCAGCGGAAGCTGCTGCTTCTTCAGCAGACACAGGTGTCTCTTCAGCGTTAGCAGGTGTCTCTTCAGCTGCAGCTGGTGCTTCTTCACCTGCAGCTGGTGCTTCTTCAGCTGCAGCCGGTGCTTCTTCAGTAATGACAGCCTCTTCCGCAGCAGGTGCTTCTTCAGCGGCAGCTGCTGCTTCTTCAGCAGCCACACGTGTCTCTTCAGCGTTAGCAGCTGTCTCTTCAGCTGCCGCTGGTGCTTCTTCAGCTGCCGGTGGTGCTTCTTCAGCTGCCGCTGGTGCTTCTTCAGCTCCAGCTGGTGCTTCTTCAGTAATGACAGCCTCTATCTGAGTGGCGGCAAGTTTTTCTTCCGCAAGGCGCTCCGCCTCAACCGCGCCTACTTCCGTTGCAGGTTCTTCGGAAACCACAGCAACGTCAGTAGCTAGAGGTTCGTCAGCATCTGCAGGCACAGCTTCTGCCTCAGCCGCGCCTTCTTCTGTTGCAGCTTCTCCAGGCGCGGCCATTGCCTCTTCAACAATTGGCATGGCAGCCACCTCCTCTACACCTGCCTCTGACATGAGAGGCTAATGATTTCGAAAAAAAGGTGTTTTGGAGGTAGAAATCAGGAAGAGGACACAAGTACAGGAAGATGTTCACGTTAGGGGAGAAGGAAGATCCGAACACTACTAGTTACTAGTAGTGTCTTAATTGATACGATAAAGAACAAACAAGGAAATTTAGGTAAAAAGCAATCAATCTTCAAAGATGAATGATCAAAGTTTGTTGGGGAGGGAGAAAATCAGTAATATCAGTGAGTCGAACGGTATAGGGAACGATGAGGGGACCATGAACCTGACCACATCAAATTTAAAAAGAAAGAGTCAAATTTTGAAATACTGACGGCGATGACACGAGTCTATGCTACATGGAGATCTTCTATCTTATACCTAAAACAAGAGTATTACCTATTCCTATGCACTCACAAAATAGACACTGCTGGACCTCTAATGAGGACAACAGACTTCAGATCCACTACAGATCGCTGGTCTCGGAAGCAGAGATCAGTATTCACTCAAGCTCTCAGCACCAAGAATGAAGGGACAGATTGTCTTTAACAGAATGACTTGACAGTGGCTGCACTCCTCTTTACTCTGATCGATACTGGCTAACTAAAGACACTCATTACTCCTACTCTGACTAACTGGAGACGGTCTGATCAATACTGGTGACAGACGACCTTGACTCTCCTCGTCCAGACGCTCAACAGATTACAAAAGATGATTCTATCTCTATCCTCAGGCTATATCACTCCAAAACAACGCCTGCGTTGAGCAGCGACAATTATCTTACAAGATCTACTTGACTTCTCTGTCTGAGCCGGTACCTCACAAAACACATTCTAGTGCCGAAGAGTATCTGCGTCTGAGGCTCCTGTGCGAGGCGTTTTCTACCGACTACAATCCTGATCCTCGAAAATCATTTTTGATTTCTTTATCCTCATGCTGTTCTGCATCAATAAGAAAAATCCATCAGAACAACGTATCTATGCCTGTTCCGAGTTATTCATTCTTGCAAATGACAAGTAATCTTACACTTACCGCCTGTAGTAAAAGTAACGACCTACTAGATCTAATTTCTGACTTTTGCGACGATTCATTGATTGTCTTCTAAGTCGACGGTTCAACTTTCAATTAGAAAACTGACCTCCCTCTTCTTTGCCGAGAAAGGCCTTCATTGTTTTTGTTTCGATATAAGCAATGTCACGTAACTAAATTTCAGAATGAAAACATAATTTTGTACGTTGCTTCTCGCTCCGTTTCAACAAAAAAATAACAACTCTAATAGATGCACCAGCCAGACACATAGATCTTCAATATAAAAAGGTATTACTACTGCTTCACTGGCATCAGACGACCAGCCGCGACACTGTCGCGTTCTTCTTCCAAATATTTTCACTTTTAAAGCCATCTATATTTGTCAAATCGATGCACAGAAAAGAAAAAGGAATTAGATATTTCATCTTGCATGATTGAGAAGTACGGAAACTACAACTAAACGATATTTTTATATTCTATATCTATTTTCTTGTGATTGCATTATGATTATTGTCGCTATGCACGACTCAGCCACTTGACTCCTCTGTGTTGACTTCTAAACGAGCCACAACTTATAATCTAGAACCTTCTTCCAAGAAAAGTTAGAAGTTCTAATTCTAAACCAGACGAGGCATAAGGAGTCTCAAGCAGCGAAAGCATAAGATTTCTGTCTGCCATACTATGTCTATGACCTCTTGATCTGGACGAAGGTTCACATAAGTATATTCCACTGCGCTACCAAACTGAAGATACTCTGACGGATAGCTGATCGTCGGTTAATATTGCTATAATTCTTGGTTCAATCATATTCATTAAATCGTCAATTGCTACGTACGAAGATGCCTATCTTCCTCTTCGTAATGAAATATTCAATAGTCTACGTTTAAACTACTTTTCTAATGATGAATTCTTCTATGCAGGAGCAAGAAGAATTTGTAGTGCAGAACAAATTGACACTACAATATAGAAAATCATCTTTCAGCCCTAGCACGGCGTGCCAACGTAGTTACAACTATTGCGCCCCCGGTGGAGTCCGCGGTGGCGTCCGATTAGGAGTCGGAGAACCTCGCTGTCCAGCTAGCGGCGTAGTCACACGCGGACTTCGTGTCTGCGGTGGCGGGGCTGGTGGCCGGCTCATTGGCGGCATTGGTCCCGTTCCACTCTGTGCCCGTCGATCCGCCAAGGTCTGGCTCAAATTGCTTCTAACCGATTGCGCAGGACTTGTTTCGCCATTAAATGCACCGCCGGGCATGCGACCAGCAGGAGAAGCTCTTGTTAGAAGCAAGTAGAGAAAGAGGTCATAGTACAAGTAGAATAGAAATCCCATATTTATTATAATCCCTCTTCTTTTTCTCAAATTTATCTTAAAAAGCGTCTACTTTGTTGTGCTGGTGCACCTTCTTTCTCCAGTGCTGAGAAAGAGTCGAGATACATATTCCCAAAGAAAGAGTAGAGGTCCTCGCTCTAAAATGTTGCAAGGCTACTTCTTATGGCTGCTCTAAAAGTCTTCTAATCAAATGGCCTTAACTGTCCAAAGGGTATATTAGCTGGCCCGCGTCCCCCTGGTGGCGTGCGACGTACCGGCGTTCCCGGAGCGGGCGGCGTGCGCGCTCCTGGCGGTGCAGCCGGTGGCGGCGTCCTGCGACCTGGCGTTCCTGGCGGAGGTAACATCGGTGCTGGTGGCGGAGCTCCGACCGGACCAGATCGGAAAGAGGATTCTGATAGAGTAGTTGTAAAATGCGATTGCTGTAGCAAAGTGGTAGTTTTTTGGTACAAATCTGTAATATTTTTTCAGTAGTAGTCAGTATTCATTTTTCAGTAGAAATCAGGAGAGATCCAAAGCACAAAAGAAGCCCAGAATACAAATTTGAGCAGGCTCTCCCCACGCATTTGGGGAAGCACAAAAGAAGCTTATTCTATAAATTTGTGAGTCCTCCCCTTCTGCAGTCGGGGAAGCACAAAAGAAGCGAAAATTGGAAATTTGGACATAGTCCCGCATAGTATTTAGGGCCGAGATTCAAAGCAAAAAATGGGTCAAAAAAAAAATACAAAATTGAGGATACTCTCCCCTTCATATGGGACGACGAAAAACAAGATCTACTACTGGAAAATTTGGTCACTAGAAAAACGTTCTCGTTAGAACTTCTACTTCATTGCGAAAATAGAACTAGAAGGAGCATGATGAAAGGCCATGGCGAAATAGAGTGCAGTCAAAGATTCTAAATACCATAGGTTCCTCCCATCATGAGTTCTGGTGCGCCTGGTTCTGGCAGGAATCTCGGTCGTTCCATGTTGTTGAACTTCGGCGCTACTTTCGGCACTGCTGGAGTCGACATGGGTCGATGCTTCGGCTTAGGCTTTAGAACGGAAGGCAGTCCGTCCGGATCCTGCTTCTGGACTTTTCTCACCACAAAGTCCCCCGCACGACTTCGCTTGCGGATCTCGAACTTCCGCAATTCCACTACCGTAATCACTGCTGCCCGAATGATGTCCAACAGGAAAACGACCATCATCAGCCCCACAAGAGACGCTTGGTACCAATGGCTCTCTTGGACGCTATCGAACTTCAGACTGTAGATCAAAATGACGCAAATACAGCCTAGAACGAACGTGGCCGTCGTAACGTACGGCATCACAGTGGAAAGGTTGAAAACCCAGTTCGGAACTGGTCGACCGACAGCTTCCACTTCTAGCAACTCCTGTTTCTGGTGTTCACGCATCACGCGGTCCATGTAAATCAGCCGCACGCGGCGCACAAACGCGCTGTCGTCTTCTCTCGGTGGAGGCGGCGGCAGCGGCACACCAGCACTCATTGGGCCTGAAGGAAATTCAACATTTCTTCCTATTAACTAGGTATTCTCATCTCTGCAGCCCTCGTTTACAACTACCACAAATTAAATAAAAGTAAAAAGGGAGTAGAGCACCTCGTCTCGCTAGAACAACGAGAGAAGCTGTAAACTATTGACCTCAACACAAAGTTGTTAACCTAAAAAATTATAGTTACCTGGCAGGCCGGGCGGCATTCCTGGCGCGAAGCTACCAGGTAGTCCCGGAAAGCCACCTCCGTCACCACCTGTAGTAGAACCGAGGAGCGCTAACTCGTAGCCTGTACCCGGTGCCGCTGGTCCGGGAGGCGGTGGTCCTGGACGAGCTCCGGCCATGCCTGGAGGCGGAGGCATTTTGAAGGGCGCGGGATGAAACGCAGGTGGCTGACCACGCTGTATCAAAGTGTCCGGGCGCATGGTCCCAAACGGAATCACCGGTGGCATCCCCTTCGGTGTTGCTGGCATAAAGCCGCGGGTGCTTGGCGGCGGCATCGAAGGTGTTTTGGGCTCGAAATTTCCAAAGCCGCTACTAGAAGGTGGCATGCCAGACAAATTCAGATTCGGAGGCCGTGGCGGTGGTGGAGGCCTAGCATCGAATCCACTACTCGCGCCAGGAGGACCTGGATAAACAGTGTTGATGCACTTGTGAACTCTCTCCTTCGTGAGTTCCTTCGTGCAGTGAGAACTACAAGCTGTCAAGCTGATTTTTTTACATAATTAATCTCTTCAATGAATCCTCATAATTTTTATGGGCAACATGTAGTAAAACTACTACTCTAGCATTCAGTCTTTCCTAAACTACCTGACGGCGGGGGCGGCGGTGGCATTTCGTGCTCCCCTTCTTTAAAAACTGCTGACGTCCACCCTGGACCTTCAGTTTCCTCACGGTCAACCATCATCTGATTGTTCGAAGGGTGATCGTGATCCACCATTTCCTCATCAAGATCCCAAGCGAGCTGTTCTTGCGCGTCGTAGGTGCCCGACTCATTCTCCTGTGAATCTTGCTGATCTTCTCCTATCTGGTCTATCTCAAATTCTATCTCGTCAACATCTACGTTTGATATCCTCCGACGGTGCTGGTGTCGATGAGTTGTTCTCTGGGCCGACTCGTCCGCTGAAGCTGTTTCATGCTGGTCAGTCCGGGGGCTGCGGGTCCGCCGATTTGGTCGCGGCGCGCGGACAGCACTTCCACGTGACGTGCCTCCCTCGAGGTCCTGCTGGTGGCTTCGATTTATCCTCGAACTTCTCGTGTTCCCGAGATATGATGGTCTATCATGATCGTTCCTCACTGTGTCATCGCTGCTGAGAAAAGCGTCATCATCGTCGCTCTCGATATTCAGACTATGATCATGGACCATTTTATGACTCTCTCTGCTAGTAGTGCCCCTGATCTGACTCCGCTCTGACGACGTGAAGATCCGCTGATTGTCTGATGTGGCTGAACGCGCGTCCACCTGCCTACTCGTAGAAGTAACACGAACATCGGAACCACCAATCATGTTTATAGAAGACGCCAACGGTCCTCCACTCGAAGATGCTTCAGATGTGGTTGGCGATGAGGAGCACGCGTCACATGTGTTGTGTGAGCCTTCGAAGCTTCGCGGAGGTCGTGGTGGTATGCCTGACGGCTTCCCTGGCGGGCCTGCAGGCGGACGAGTCACGGGCGGTGGTGGCAGCGGCCCGCCGCCCCCTGTGGTCGATCTCATCGTGGACAGTCCCGACGCTGGGCTTCCATCTGGCGGAGACGGAGTAGGCGTTCCACCGGTCAAGAATGCGGGTGGCGGAGGCTGACTCGCCACGCGCGGACTGATCGCTCTCATCCCGCCGAGCGGGGTCCCACCGCCGTGTCCCTGGTGCGCACCTTCGATGTTGCTGGACGCCATTAGCGCCTGCTGCCCGCCATAAAACCCACCCGGCGCGGTCGCGCTCTGCGGCGGCGTCCGGGCTTTGGGCTGTGGATCGAACGACGGGAGTGCAGGAAGCTGGGGCATGCCGGCTTTCCCGAAGTAGATCGGCGGGAGCAGGTCCTGTGGTGGCGGCAACGCCTTCGCGTAGCCTGGCGGTGGTGGATACTTGGGTGCCGGTGGATTCATGCCGCCAGCGGGTCCCGGCAGCGCCAATTGCCCACGTACGCCGCCGTAGCCGCCGCCGACCGCAGCCGCAGCTGTGCCGGGAGCAGCTGCAATCGGTGGTGGCAGCGCCAACAAGCTCAAGGACTCGTTTTGTCGCGCGAGACCTCCGACCGGCAGCTGGTTCGGCCCTCCAGTCAGTGCGTGCGGTGGCAACATTGAGCTCTGCGCAATCAAGCGCTCTTTCTCTTTGTTGATCAAGTCTAGATCGCGATTCATCGCCCGCCGTTTGATCATGCGTCGTTTCACCTGCTGCGGCCTTTGCCCGAAGAGCATGAGCAAAACGCAATACACTGGAAACATCAAAAGCGCGCTCAGTATTCCCGCTACGACGACGTGGTCCGAGCTCATCACTGTCATCGGATTGCCATACACAGCCGCATTCAAAGCTAATAAGCCCTGAATCAACGCCATCATGCAGAGCAGCCGCTGCGGGCGCGTGAAAGTCTCGTGGTAGAACAGCGGCGCCAACCACACGTGTTCGCGCTTCAGCACGTTCCAGAACGTGTTCACCAGCAGCTGGTTGCGGTCCTCCGCGTGCTTGTAAGAAATCGGGTCTTCAGTGGTCAACGGCGTGTGAATGCCGTCACCGTCAAGGTTGTAATTCATGTACGGCAGCTTGCCCATGCGCTGGTCGATGCGGATTCGCTCGTCCTGCTTATACCCAAGAAAAACTAGGATCCAGTTTACGGTCAGCAACATGATCAGAATCGCGAAGGGCGCCAGCTTCGTATTCGACACCAAGGTGCTGCGGTTGAAGATCGGCGCTTCTGTGAGCGAGAGGATGTGCGAGGGCCGTCCGTCGATGAAAAATCCGATGTCTCCCAGCGACAACGTGAGACAGCCATTGCCGTCGTTGATGATGTCGCGACCGTTCCAGGCGCCGCCCGCCGTGTCCGGGTAGAAGCGATCCCAGATGAGACACTGGCCACTAGAATACACGTGGTAATCGGCAAAAACGCGAATAGGGTCTGACCCAGGGTTACAGCCTGGCCCTTCCATGCACACTGGATACTCCTCTGCGCTCGCGTAGAACATCAGGAGAGTGATCACTGCGCTCTCCTGACTCGCTGGGTTCGAGGGACTCCAGTAGTAGATGTTCGTCTTGTAGCGAATGAACTGGTACGCTAAAGCGGTCACTGGGTTCGTCAGCGTAGGCTCATCGGGGGAATCTGGAGGCACGATGAACTCGGACGGAAACTGGAAGGCGGTTGTAACGGCACTCATGTTGGTCACTTTCCCGATGTCCATGACGAACATATCCATGTCGTAGCTCAGAGGAGAGCGCGCGTTCGTGACTAGCGTGGGAATCAGGCTACGCACTGTCCGATCTCGAAAGATGCTCAATCGCGTCAACGCCTGGGAAATGTTCCGCCTCGTGTCCATCTCAATCCGTCTCTGCGCCTGCAACTTCAATGCATCGTCGTTTTTCAGCTGCGCGGCCGTCATAGGATCAAAACTCTCGTACTCGATTTCGCGCTTGGCGTCTACTAGCACCCCCGACGCCAATGCCAGCTCGTTCTGCAGGTTGATGCGCCGTGCGTCGCGCAGTAGCGGCTGTTCGTGTTTTTCCACGAACGCGATTCGCGCTTCTTCATCCGAAACGCTTGGATCCACGACGAGAGCGTTAGCCATCTGCAGCTGCCTGAACGGGTTGCGGTGGTACAGTTCGTAGGCGCGCGCGCGGTCCGCAAACGAGAAGGGCGCGGTGCTCTCGGTCCAGTTCAGCCGTTGCGACATGCGGCCCACAGTAGTGTTCCTCTCGAATTCGTCACTCATCCAGCGTCGAAACCAGGTGTCCTCCACGCTGCAGCGGGCGAGCTCGTGCTGCTGGTACTCCTGTGCAAACAACGCGTCCTCGAGCCGACGCATGCGAGCCTCGCGGGCTTCTAGGACGCGGCTCACCGAAGAACCCGACAACCGCTGGTCCGGTCCACCTAGGCCAAGGCGCTGACTAGTACTGGAATCCGTTGACGAGGACTGCTGCAAGCGGCGCTGACTACGCTGACGGTCCACATCCATGCGAAGGCGTCGCAACTGCTGTCCCTGCTTCCTGTCGAACTGTGCGCGTACTTCGTCCTCCGGCAACGGGCATTTTTGCCGAAACCAGCAGGGCGGTCGATTGCAGAGCGTCTCGCTATTGGCACGGTCGCAGCATTGCCACCTGGCTCGCTCCTTGCCGAAGAGCGGACCACCAACGTCGCGCGCGCGATCCGACGCCGTCAAGCACAAGAGGCCGACGTCGTCGCAGAAGGACGACGGGCAGCCGTGAATCACGGTCGGAACGGCTTTCACGCGAACAAAATTTGGGTACCACTCCAGCGCTTCTGGCTTACCGAGCAAGATAGGAACATCATGACCTGTCGCTCGGTGTACAACCTCCTGATGTGCAACTCCAGCGACGGCTGCGACAGCCCGGCGTTGTTGTGCCGCAATGTCTTGCTCCGTAGTCTCATGTCCCATTGATGATGTCGCCGAGCTCCCCTCTGATGGTATCCCCGTTGCAGAGAGACTGCGCTGCTGTGCTCCGCTCGCGTCTTCCTGCTCGCTTGCGCGATGACCAAATAGCGACAGCAGAGACTCTAGTGGACTACTAGATGAAGCACCTGGCGTCGTTGCGTCCGTCTCCGTTGCGGCCCCGTTCTCACCTAGAAGTTGCCGCAGCCGTTCCTCGTGACTCAATAACCTAACTCTGCGACCGTCCCGCGTTGCCATGGTTAGAGCTCACCCTAATCCATCTCCAAGTCCATCCGGAGACTTTTTTCCCCTGAAAACGTCTCCAATATGCTTCGGAAAATGGATCAGGGGATGCCATAACATGGTGTTCGTTGTTTGTGCGACGATTTTCCGTCTTTTCACGTCCACGACTTGGTACAGCGAATGAGTGCGATTCCACGTAATCGTGAACACTCCGCTTGGCGTCCCCTTGTTCTTCTGCAAAGACGAGCCACCTCTTGCACGCTTCTCCAACAGGTATTTCATGTCTCTCTCGTCGTACGCGGAGTAGGGCTTGTACTCGCCTGTGATGGAGTCCGTGAGGGCGAACGGCGTATGATACACGCCACAAAACTCGCATCTCGTTGAGCTGGTGCTGGACATTGTTGTACTACGAGAGTGCTGGTCTGCACGATGGCGCCCTGTTGGATTGAGCGGTATCGTACCTCCAGCAGTCTGCTGCCCCTCGAGCCTGCGCGTGGCGTCGAGTCGTCTCCATTCTTTCATGTACTCGGGCTTTATCTCCACTAGCAGGTTTCTAGGTCCCGGATGTTCGTGGTTTTCCCCTTTTCGCCTTCGCGGCCGGTGAGTCACAAGAGGCGACCCGAACTCGCCTAGAACCCGCTCTTTGCGATCCAAGGCCAGCATCTGCGAACTCGAGACCAGATAGGATCCCGGCACTCCGCCGTAGAGCGACGGCCCTGTTTTGCGAAACTTCTCCCAGACTTTTCTGCCTAGCATCGCGCCGCCAGCCACGGACGCTGGAATGTAGTAGTTCAGGCTGTCCAAGCGTTTCAGAATACGCAAGCGCTTCTCGAACTCGCGTCTCGAATATCGACGCCCGTATTTCTCGCTCATACGCTTTTCTTGTCGCAGGTAGGAAGAACTAGCACTAGAAGATGAAGTAGTTGTAGCTCCCGATCCCGTAGTAGGAGGCCCCCGCTCGATGGATCCTGTTCCTTTTTGGCCCGCTTTCTCGACGAAAATCTCCCTCGAAACTCCTTTTTGTCCGCCGAAGAGGTCCGCAATCTCCGTAGGCGTAAGCACATTCCCGAGTTCCGCCTGTAACTCTCGAATACTCTCGGTCCGAACCGCGTTGGGGTCTTCTTCTTCGCCGCCCTCTGTTGAGTGGTCATGGTCTACTGCATGAGGATTCTGTTCTTCGACAATAACGTGACTTGCTTCGTGTCCCTCCGCTTCAGCACGGACTCGCTCAGCAGCGTGTTCGGTCTCTACTGCCAGCTTGCGCCGCGTTTCTTCCTCCTCTCGAGAGACAGCGTTTTCTAACGTCTCAAGAATGTCCTCGCCGAATTCTACCTCATAATCTGCAAGAAGCTTGACTACCTCAAGTCGTCGTCCTGTTCCGGCGTTCGCACTCTGGCCCAAAGTACCTGCAATAACACTCGAGAACGCACTGAAGATCGCGCTGGCGCCGTCGGCGGTTGGCTCGGTCAAAAAAGCATCCTGGTGCGTGGTTGGAATAAAGATCATTCTGGTACTGGAGGTTGAAAACGAAATTATTGATATAGACCACGGGAGGACGATATGAACACTTTTATTAGCTGAAACAGGATTTCCTACAGTAGGTGTAGGAAGAGGAAGAGGAATCAGAAGAATATCAACAAGAAATTCCTCACGACGACTTGCTTCTCGACTTCTATAATTGAAATATACCAGTCCATTCCCCATTGCATCCAACAGATCGCTGATTTCCGCGTTTTTTGTGCTGGTATCGTCGATATCCTGCAAGCTCCCAGCTGCGCCTGAGGTTGCTTGCAAGGCAGACCCTAATTCGGCTTGGTCCATCCCACCATAGTCAAACCTTTTCACTGAGTTTCGAAAATCCGTTTGCAGTTCATCGTATTGGTCCGCTGTCAGCTTGTTCTGAATACCGTCCGCTGTGATTTGGGCAGCGACAACGCGCTGGGGGTCGATCGCGCTTTCGCCATCGCCTTGAGTTAGAACTAGCCGAAATCCAACTTAGTGAACATTTCAGTGCTCCCTGTAGGCCCTTGAAGAACAGGCCGCAGATGCTCGTTGGGGAAGACGAAGATGGATTTCCTCAAGCCTTAATAAGAGTGCGTATTTGATCTCCTCATAGGTAGCCTCATCGTTGAAATTCATGGACAGAGTGGCCTCAGAGCTGGCGCAGACCTTGTACACGGTACAAACCTTCAGATTCGCGATCAGCGTCTCCTGTCCATCGTACGTGATCTGGTGCGCTGAGATCTCGAAGTGTGTACCTGATGCCAAGGAATGTTTGACACGTTGTGAACAAGTACTCACTGAACTCATTGGTAATGTTCTTGAGTCTTCTGAGGGCTAAGTGAATAAAGTTGTGGAACTCCTGCATGGAGATGGAAATAGTCCACTTAAAGTACTTAATCCATCATAATTCTATTTCGTCGTTCACAACTTCTACAAACTGCGGGAGAACTGAATAGCTGTAGCGGTAGAAACTCTGATTATAAAGTAGTACTTGATTGATCTTCGGTTTGCCAGATTGTTGCGCTTGCAACGCCATCCTTTGACACAGGCGTGAAGCCGAAGGAGTACGTTAAATCGGCGTCCATCGTACTAGTTCCTCCAGATGAATCTGCTCGCCACTGCGGCGCATCAAACTCGTACGTCATTACGCTGAATTTGGGAAGTAGACATAGTAGATGCGCATGAAACAATGGAGGGTACTTCATTTGCTTTTTTTGTCATGGATGTAGATCATGTACGACAAGCATTTATTTGATAGTAATTGCTGTAACGGTAAAAACGAAGTCCACATAAAATGAAAAACTAGAAGTTCTTGTGCTCGTCAAACCCTAAGCGAGAGCAACTAAGTTACCTTGAGTGCACTATCCTTCCAAAGTCAGCACTCGTCAGCAAGTCGTCGGGAAAGGTGTACTGGTCTGGCATCACCGTAAAGCCTCCACGAATTGGGGGCCCTGGCGCAGTGTGGATAATCTTTTGCGCTTTGCCGAAGTACGTTCCCGCGTATTGCCCAGCAGTAACTTGAGCAGTAACGTGTAGCACGATCTTATAACTGGTGCTCTTCTGCAACTGTGTCGAGAGTGGCCGCTCAGAGGACGTGGGATCGAGGTGGAAAATGAGTCGGCTAGTGCGTGTCGGGTCCCACTCGATTATGTTGGGATCATTCCACCTGAGTATGAGATTCATGATGGTCATGAAAACACGAGTGACAGTAATAGGCTCCTCGTGCTATAGATACATTCATCGAAGAGAACAAAAAGCTAACAGGAGGGGTTTAAACCTCAAATTCAAACTTCTGCTTTCCCATTTTCACTCTCGTCTAGACCATCATGAATCCGTCGGGCGCTTTCTTCTCTACGTCCTACTAAGTTGTCAAAATGAATACGTGAAACTGCTTGTTTCGTTCTTCCACTCCGTGACGAATTCGTTGCCTCCGCTCTGCTTTTTAAAGATTTCCCATCTGTAGCTTTCTAGTGCCCCTTCGAATTGCGGGTCTTTGCTCGTTGTGCCCTCCAAGACCACATCCGTGTAAACACTTGTCAATGGCAACTGCGCCAAGGCTGGATCCCAGCGATCCTCACGCAAAAAAACTTGCAGCACCGGTCGATCAACGACGTCGATATCAGCACTCGCGCTGCCAGAGCGACCATCGTCGTGGCTGGCGGTCACTTGGAACGTGTAGTACTCGTCCCCAGTGGTGAGCATCATCTTCGACGTATCAATCAGCAAAAGACCCTCAGAATAGTAGCAGTAGCAGTCCGGCAGAACCGGCGGCACGGCGTCAGGATCACCACCACGAAACGTCACTTGGTTAATCAGGTAGTTGTACCTGATATTTTCAGGCGTTCCAATTCTCTGTACTACCATCTATCATTTAAATTGTGGAGTTCTCCACGTGATAGTGTAAGTAGTAGAAGTAGTAGTACCCGATATCCAATTTCGCGACGTTTTCACCGCCTTTCTGTGTGCAAATGTCTTCGAGTTTGTAGTCTCGCAGCTTCCAATTATCGATATTCCCATTGGTCAGGGTTTGGTACACACCGTTCGGACTGGCATTCGGACCTAGCTGCAACGTAAAACACGGTGACATCACCGTCCCGGTCGAGGTCACCTGGGTCGTGCCCATCACTGTGGTCGTCGTGATCATCGTCGTCGGAATGTAGAAGCAGATCGGTCGTCTTGAAGGTTGAAAGAATTCATATTTGTCTCACATATTTGACACATTTCTCCTTCAAATGTGATGTCCAATACAGCGTACAAATATGAAATGCTTCAAGTCTTAATCGTCTGTCGGCTAGACCAGAAGCTGCCTGCGTCAGGATGCCGAAGCCGTTGTACTGAACGTCGTTTTCTGCTGTGCGGTAGTAACAACCACCGATTTCGCTGTTGCTGTTTGGATCCTCACTGCTCCACGTGTAAGGGCCACACTCCGTTGCCGCTTGCTCGCACGTCGCCGAGTCCGGCACCTCCGTGCCGGATTCGCACACGCTGTTCGTGTCCTTCACCAGAAAATTGTCGCCAGGACACAGAGTTGCGCCATCTGGCACGTCTGAGGGTTGCGCCTGCTGTGCCGCAATGATGGCAGGAGTAACCTTCCAGCACTGAAAAGTGTAGCTACCCGTCTCGCCAAAATCCGGTAAGGTTGAACACGCTAAACTACCAGGATCGATCAAGCAAGAATAAACCTCTTCTCGATCGGGATCCATAGTGAATCGGGCATTCATAGCAGCGGTCGTCGCTTTTTGCGGAAATTCAGTACCAGAAGGAAACATGATCACCTTCAGTTCGGCCCTGGCAGATGTAGTTTGTGTTTGTAGAGTCAAACTTATATTTATATAATTCGGACAATCATTTAAAACGAAAATCAAGATGCAAGACTACGACCAGTTCTTGCTATGTTGACATACGCACGAACTCTACATCTTGAAGAGTATTCAAAATCATAGTACCGCTCCACCCTGATAATGACAGTTTCCGCTGCGTTCTGTCCCTGCTGCTGGTCCGCTTGCGTTGTGACGTCCGTCGCACTCTGCACTACCACACAGACTATGCGAAATCGATATTCGTGAAACTTCTGAATCCCAGCCGCCATGTCGTCTGCCGAGTACGTGGGTGGCGTCAACGTGTATCGTGGGATCAGCAAGGTTTGTCCGAAGACTGGAAACGAAAGTTTAGCTGGCTCAAAGACGTCGTTGCCACATTCCATCGTCGTTGTCACTCCTTCGGGTGTCCAGTCCGGATTGTGAGACTCGCATTCCCAGCTGCAAGCTAGTTGCTGGTCTCCGACTGCGCATTCAGATTGACGAATCTCGGTATCAATGCGAATGCCATGCGATGCCTGTCGCGTTGTCGCGGAAGACCACGAACCGGTACGAATTGTCGGCGCAGGGTAGTCAGCTTTCTCGACCACGAATTGAAGCTCCGAAGTGAGACCCCAGCGAGAGGTCACTGCTACTTTCATGTTGTACCTGGGACGGAAACAATAACAAGTATTCACTCGGAGTAAAAAGTACGGGACATGTGGGAAGCCTAGACTTATGTTTGAGGTTTAGTTCCTGCCGCTACAGTCACATCAAGGTTCAAAATTTTCAGATGAAAAATCCTCTATTATGAACATGAATCCTCTATTATGAACATCAAACATATGATTGTTGAGATACAACTTAATAGAATAATGGTACCGAAATCCTTGCGGCATGCACGCTACGCAAATGTAGAGCGTTCCTCCTGTCGTCGTAGCCATGGTTTGCTGCAAAAGCGCGTATTTTGTCATGTTCATTGCCGTACTCACCGTATTCAGCGACACGTAGGGCGTACCACCCGCGTCGTCCAGTGACCAGGCGTAAGACGCGGATCCACCTGTGCGCTTGGTCTCATCCGCCTTCAGCGTGATAGAACCGCAACTGTCGATGTTGACTTAGAAGAGCACAAAGCAATTTATTTCTTCTCTTCATTTCTCGCAGAATCCCCAGAAAGAGACTGATTGGAGCGACTAACCTACTTAGGATGAAAATGAGGGAATCCCCAGAAGAAAACAGAAGAAAATAACAGACCGTTGGAAATGATAATGAATTGTATGATCAAGCCTCAACTAAATGTGCCGTCTTTGGGTACTACACTCACGACCGGCGGAAGCAACGGGTTCGGCAAGGACACAACCGCACCCTCACCGACAGCGGCCGGCGAGAATTCGCAAGTGTTGAAGTCGCCTGGCGTGCTGCAGACGGGCTTCGCGAAGACACGATCCGCCAGAAGCTCGATTTCGTCTCCTAGTTGCAGTGTACTAGTAGGCCCAAACTCGACCTCTAGCGTCTCGCCACCGCCAGCGTTGGTATCGTCTTTCCACACGCAACTCGTGTCGGGAAATTCGCCGATCAGAGCAACCGTGGCTGGAACTAGCACCTCTGCACAGTCAAACTTAGCACCTCCAGAGCGATCCTTGGTCTGATCCAGGCGATCCGGCAAGCGGTTTCCATCCGTGTCAATCGGGATCGCGCCACGCGTGGTCTCCATATTGAAGACGACGCGCAGAAAGAGACCCTCGATGGTGAACCGCGCGTGCTCGATCTTTGGCGCGGACAGCGTCAGTGGAAAACCGGCCTCCGCGTTGAAGAGATTGGCATAGGGTACTTCGGGATCGATACTTCTATGCAGCGTGCCCGTTTCGCACTCCTCGACTTGGCACCACTTGTCGTAGCTTCCGCTGTACATGTTCACTTGAAGTACCGAGTAAGCGGTCTCCAGTCGTGGGCGTGCGGCGCTCGGCGATTCTGGGTAGTTTCGATAGGACAAAAAAGTGCTATTCTTGGGTCCACTGGCGCCACCACCTGGGTACACATGAAACGTTCGGATCATCCCCTGTGCCCAGTACCGCCCTGTCGCTTTGTTACTCTCGTCATAGTAGCTGTGCCACCGCGTCGTGCCCGAGGAATCTGCGAACAGATAACCTAAAACAACGTACATCATGTCGCCATTGATCGGCCCCACCGCAGATATCGTGCCGTACTGAGTACTGCTGTACAGTTGTAGACCTTTGAAGCCTAACGCTTGCTGATGAATCAGCTTCACGCGCGCCAAGCCTCCCGTTGTTGGGTCCTCATCCATCGAGAACACAAAGAAGCGATCCAACCTCCTGTCGTTCTTATCTACTTGCGTCACTGCGTACGACCGCACGTCAGCACGTGAAACTATAGAAGCGACACCAGTGAACACCTGGAAGACAGAGGGAATAGATGTATCAGTTGAGAAAAATGACCAGTCTACATTAACTATTGAGGAATCGAGAAAACGAAATGCAATCGAAGACAATCAAAAGATGTATTTGATGAGAAAGACGTTTCTCATCCAGAAGGCAACGAGGACTCAGTAAACGGTCTCCTAGAGTTATGTCGATCATGTTTCTTCTACTAGTTCTAACGTGTTATAAAATACTAGTACCAAATTATCCTGAGCCTGGCTGTTCGCACGATAGAGTCCCGCAATGCTCTGCAGATTCTCGTCGTTCAGATCGTGGCCTACTTGCGTCAGCTTTGGGTACATGGGATCGGTCTCGTCGATCTCGATCGTCGTCAGCTTGTAATTCCACTTGTCATCGGTATTCTGCATAATCACCGGTGTACGTCCGACGTTGCTAGGCATGCTCAAACCAGCGAGGCGGCTTCCAGTGATATCATAGACAATACCATACAGCAGCTGTCCGACAATCCGGATCTGATTCTGAAAAACCGCCTGTCCCTGCTCGTTCGCGCAGTGCAGGTAGTATCGTTCTGGCTCGATGATGACGTTCCCGGCAAACCCGCTCGTTTGGCCCGCACGAATCGTCGAGTCCTTGATCACCACCACTGTGTACCACATGTACCGCCACACGTCGTTATGACAGGAAAAAGTGTTGTACTCATACGAACGTCCCGAGGTGGAATTAGCTACTTTAATATTCCTAGTCGTGAACTCGTCCTAGTACTTATAATAAATCCTAGCTGTAATCTTCTTCTGAGGGTGAGTACACTTTTTCGTGTCATAGTCGTACGCCCCCGAGCTCCCGTAGGACTGGTACTCGTATTCCATGAAGAGACCCCACAGGTTTGACGTCGCGTCGCCAGTGCCGCCACACAGCTCGTTGGAGAAGCTCGGCAAGCAGGGGATATCGCACTGGTCCTGCGCCTCGGTGAAAACAGTCATCTTGTCCACGATACAAGCACACGAGAGGCCTGAAATGCCAATCACCACACTTTGCTGCATCTCGTAGTACTCGGTGCGCCGTAAACCGCCTTCGCCGGTACAAGTCTGCACGCACGCGTTCGGGTCGTAGGCCTGTGCAGGCGGACTACTCGTCGCATCGGCGGTAAGGTCTTTCACCTGCGCCGAGAAGCAGCCTATGTAGGTCCACCGGCTGTACTCGATCCTGTTTTTCTGCGTCGTAGGAATGCCGTAGCTGTCTAAAACAGGTGCCGTCTCGAAGCGAAACTGCGACAGACGACTGCGCTCCAGCAGCTGCTTCGGAACGAGACTCTTCTGCTGGTTCTCGGAAACTAGTTTAACCTCTACGCAAGGACTTAGAAGGCGAAAAATAATGTGCAAAGAAAAGATAGATCCATCTCCTATAGTTCTTCGACAATTCTATCAAGACTCGAAATTCTAGTGAAATCAAGACGAGACATACTATCAGCTAAATTCAGGAGAACAAAGCAACCACTCATAAATCAAGCAGCGTTCCACACCGCAGTAGCGTTTGACCGTTCGAGGCAGACTCGGCGATTTCTGAGGCTGTAAAAATCGGTGCCATGCACTGCGGCTCTCCCTCTCCAGCGCTCTGATCGTAACACGGCAAAGCCACATCAGCGCAGGGACACGTCTCCTCTACATTCACCTGCACCACTTGCGCTCGATGCGACACCGTAACGATATCGAAAGCCTGTGCAAACAAAATCCCACCTGTAGCAGTGCCTCTACTAGTATGTGAGAAAGAAGATGTTCTTGGTGGTCGTGCCGACCACTCCTCTACTTCTCCTATCGCGGAGGATGCACCACTTCTACATGGATCATCCCCACGATGCCTAAGAAGGGACTGTGTTCCTCCGTCGCCTATGCCGCCCAGAGAACTACAATTCCTCCGTGGTTGCTTTCTTTGGACGCTGATCATGCCCACAGAGCCACGCTCTGAAGAAGCACCCAGTCTTCTACTCATATTGTTACTGTAGTAATCTGCTTTTCTCGTCCACGCCTTCCGCCCATCTAATGGTGACCAATCTAGCATGGATTCCAGCCCGAACAAGTGCACCAATATGGCAAGGAACAGCATACTCCAAAAATTCCTTCTACAGCTGGTGCTTGTACCTAGGGGTGGTCTACTTTTTCTTGGCTTTTGTATTCTCGAGGAGGGAGGCTTGGCACGCTCTACTAGTGATGTTGAGGTGTCCCTTGTTGTATCAACAAGGTCCTCGCGCGTATTAATGCAAGTCCACGACCGTGTTGGAGTGGTCGTGACGTCACACGATATGAAAGACGCGCGCACCACTTGTTTTTCTCTGCGTTTTCTCCTACATCGTGTCCAGAGTCGCATTGCAGGCCAACGCGCGAAAACCGTCTCCGAAAACGTTAGCCCCGACGCCAAGTACTCATGAAACGTGTCTGACAACCGCTCTGCGTTTCTAGCTACTCTTTCTTCGTTTTCAACAGACAAGACACTTGTACTAGCACTGCCTCGTCCCGGTAGTTTCTCTACAGATGCCGCTCTCCTTTCGCACGCCACTCGATCGGGAGAAGCCGTCAAAGCCGCTCTCGTTTGCGCATCTTCTTCTGCTTCTGTCTCCTGCAGCTTGCAAAATCGAGTCTCTTCCCCATGACCTCTACAAAAGACTGAAGATCCTGGTCTCTTTCTCCTATGCCTCGGAAGCTGGTGCATGCAGGAAAATTTTGGTGCCTTGATGACGTGCTCCTGTCGAGTCGCACGATGCTGCTGATCGGACGTCGGTGCTGACTCTTCTGCTTCATGACGTTCCCCCTCGCCTCTCCTTCTTGCCGATAGTATGCTTCGTCGATCCATGCGACTCGAATCCGTGGATGCTCTCAATTCTATTTTTGCACATTGATCTTCTATCTCAGCGTGATTAGTTGCCCGTTGCGAATTACTCCACAGTAAACGATCATGATCGGTATCGTCCCATTCCTCGTCGCGCTGATCTCGTCTGTCACACGCTTTGTTCTCGTCGCGCCTGCTCTTCACCTTGCCAGGACTTCGACCTCTATCTGGACCATGATTCAACGCCCATATCAAGTTATCTGCTATATGCAGAGGACCCCTGCTCTTCTTCTCCCATTTTCTCATGCATGACGAGAACGCTTCGCACGATGAATGGAATGAGCTCGGATCACCTTTGAGGCCTACCTGCAAGGGGTACGTCAAAAGAGCGCCTACCTGCAAGGGCCTACCTGCAAGGGGGCGCGAGCTGCTGCTGCTGCTACCCCCCTCTGTGCAGGACCCGACATGCATCGTGCAATTCATTCACGTCTTCATTTTTCCATCTGATTTGAATCACTGTGAAATATTATACATGATACCTCTCGTGAAAAGAAAGAACCAACCCCGACTACGTAAATGTGAGTACACCACAATCAGATAAGCTAGACTTAGAGGTTGATAGAAACTCAACAAAAAAATTGAATGGTGAAAAAACAGGAAACATGTCGAACTTGAGCTTTAGGCTTATGTCTGACCAAAATGTCAAATGTGTGAAACTATCTCGAAAAATAATCTAGCAAATCTTCTGCAAATAATTCGTTAGGTTTTCTACCAAAAAAACAATAACCACAAAAAATATAGAAGTCGTATCAACAAGCATGCAATCAAGTCGTATCAACAGTGAGACACGGCGCTAGTGACATCAACCTTTGAGGAATGCTCGCCAGCTGCAAACACGTCTCCTTGGACTCCACTAGTAATATCTTATCGAACGGTCTATCTGGTTCAGCCTCCTCTTTCTTTTCGTCCTGCAGTTATTTGAGTTTATGCTGATTAATCAATCAAAATACTTGCAAAAACTACAATTGGTTGCTCTGTAACAGCCAAGCCCCTATTTTGTTCTTGTTTTCATTAATATGTTTTTGCTTCAATAGAAGCAGAATTTATACGTTGTCTCCTGCAGCGAAAATAAGCAGCTTCCAACAAAAAACATTTCCGACTTAAACATGCGCACCGACTTACCGACCAATCAGACAGCGCTCAAAAAAATGTAATTCTAATCTAATTACAGAATGCTTCTGGCCTTATCGTTTTCCCTCAAACCCTCAATTCCTTAGAAAAAAGTAATCGCTCGGTACGCACTTCATTTTTCTGCAGCGCAAAAAAAAAGCGTGCTACACAGGTCTTTTTAACGGATTACCGAAACTGATGCGCTTGCCCTTTCATCAAGTAATTGAAGTACGCGGCCTGACCTTTTAGCTCAGACGTGAGAAGGTAAGGGACCTCCTTACCCAACAAGATGGAGATCGTGTATTCGCGTGGAATATGATGTGGAGTCTCCAAATAAAAGCGTGTTCAAGGTCATGTGCCCTTAACTTTACACTAAAATGTTATCAAACAAAGCGCGACGGTGTCAAAAATGTTCAAAAAGTAAATGTTGTGAACAAGATGATGATGGAAGATGTCATTGTTAATGTGAATGGTACAACCTAGTAGGATACGGAAATGGACCTGAGCATGCCATATCAAAGAAATGTGAATGTGTTAAAAAAACCTGCAGGTACTTGCTGTCATACATCAAAAAGGTAAGTAAGTATGGACAACCACTTGTGGCTCCTGCTAACCACCCTCTTTTCCTGCGCCTCCACCGAGTCCTCCTGGCACCGCATGAAACGCGCCACCTCGTATTGCCTCGCGCAGCTCCCGCAACTTCAGTTGCTGCTCTGGCGACAATGTTTGTTTCTGCTGTCGCGAGATCCCCATGCCCACCTGACCTGCCTCTATCTGGTCCGCGTACTGCCCCCACTGTCTCGTGAACATGCGCATTTGCTCAGGCGTAGCGGGACTAGTCTGCATGTTTTTAGATCATGTTGTCGCCATTGCATTCTTCAGATCATCCTTGAGGACCTCTTTCCCATTCAAAAGAAATCAAGGATGGGAGTGAAGGCCAAGGATGCAATGTTGTGGAACAAACCCTTAATGTTCGGTGGCCCACAGTGGATGCGGAATTCCTTGCGCACGTACACATCCCCCAAAACACGCATCACGGGGTCCGGCAAGTCTCGGTGCAATCGGAGAATGCGCCGATAGAGCTGTCGCGCGCTCTGGTCGAACTTCGTCCGAACCATTTTGAAGATGATGTCTCACTGACTGCTCCACCAAGGAACGATTTAAGGTACAACTATTTATGAGAGAGCCCTCAGGACGAGATATCTTTTTGCGAATAGTTGTAAAACAAGCAAATGTTGTAATGATGCTGTTTTTAATGCAACAGACTATAAGAAGCTAAAATAGGACAATTATTTTATTTTCTCTTCTTTCTCAAATCGGTCAAAGTTCAAATGTTCGGGAAAAGCAACAACTTGTCTCTGTGCTGGAAAGCTGCGCACTACATGGAAAATGAGAAACTGTTTACTTCACAAGCAAAAATATGCATGGGATACGGGTTTGTAGGGAATCATGTGATCGCAGCATAAAAGTTGGCCTGTTTGTTATAAAGGTTGACGTAATTCATACCCTTGACAGATTCGTGTACTCAATGCTGTTGCTCTGAATGGCCGTTGATGCGCCGAACCTTCCTCCTCGTCTCAGTCATGCTCATTCGTTGCCTATGGTCATGGTCATGCACTTCATGTCTAACCCTCCCTGGTCAAGGCTGAAGCAAAATTTACACAGAGCAACGGAGACCGCCTCATGGCGATGGTAAGCATTCAAACAAAACAATAAACGGACTCGTTTTTGTGTCTACTCGTCTGCTCTCCTTCTTGCTCTTCGTAGATGTAATCATGAGGGAATTAACTACACACGCAGGTCTTTCACAAGAACAGCGCGAATAATCCTTCGCTTGCTCGACGAGCACAGCAGCGCTCTCCACGACGCTACGTGTTTTTTTCCTTTCATACAATGCATGTCATGCAAACTCTGCCAGAGGCAGATTTTCATGCAGGTCAGACTTGCTCGCTCAACTGTTCATACACCATAGTAACTCAGACGCTGTAGTCAGTGTAACTACTCAGCGGCATTCAGACATTTATTCCAACATCTCTCTGATTTTTTCCTTGTCATATATCCGAAAGAAAGCTCCAAAATGATTTGTCACATGAAAGAAAACGATGATAGATTAATATTCGCATGATAAGTAGATTGTTCGACTAGGTTTTTATCAATTTGATGATCTGTTAGTATAGCATAAGTAGAAAGTGATTGCTTTTGTTTGAATCTCCTGAATCAACAAGCATAAGCAACCAGAAAGTTTTTTCGCGAGTTAGCTCTGTACATGTCGTCGGTGAAGTCGCGCCCGCACCTCGGGGAACGCTCTGGCGCCCCCAGCAAGGGGACTCGACTCCAAAACCATCATCTCACACTTGACTTAAGCGGCAAGGAAGCACTCACGGCCACGACGAATTCCACAGTTCCAATTCATCGACTCTCTGTTTCTTGGAATGGTCTATCAAATACGCAACGAAATAACAATACTGCACGATCTAGAACAAGCTATTGTAGTAGTTCTTGCTTAATTGGTTCGATAACAACATAAACTGTAACGGTTTCTTATAAGTCGGTGCTGATAGGTGCTGAGTAGACAATATTCGAAAAAACATTAACTTTAGTCAACTTAGGGAGTAAATTACAATCTTGGATTAGAATAGATCAAACTCGTGGTTTGATGTTTGAATTTGGATTGACAAACTACAGTAGTGTCTTTTGCTGATATCTCTGATCATATCTTTCATGAAGATTGTCGCACGAATTTGGGCCAACGCAAACTATATCACCTTGAAGATGCGCTTGGAGACATCAAACACCGCGAAGGTACCGTACCGACTTTATCAATTTTTTCCTCTAGAAGTAACTAGAACTACTTAAGTTTACCCAGAAATTGAAATGGTATTACCCCTTGTTTTGATGCTCTTAATTTCTGTACACAGATATACCTGCGAAATGCGAGGTCCTTCGCAAATTTTCCGCTGTTCTGGCAAACAATATTTGGTTACGGTCGTCACGGCCGTAGGCTAGTAGTTCTTGGACAAAAAAAATCAGTAGTAGTTTCTAGGAAATTTCGACGCCAATCGAATAAATATACACTTACGACACCAGACCAGGAGTCTCTTTGCTCTGAATATTTCCACTCGATGTTGTTCTTGTACTTGCTTTGAAAAAACGGCAATATCTTGATAAATAGTCTTAAGAATGCTCATGTACTCCGTTGGACCGTTGCTCGCGTTCCATGACTCGAAGTCATGATCTACTTCTAATAACATCCACAAGAACCAAAAACTTGTCCGTTGAAAACCCTTATCCTCCTGCCGGTGGGGTCCCTGGCGGTGCTGGTGGTCTGCCCATCATCGGCGGCGGAGGTGGAGGGCGCGGTCCGCCTGGCGGAGTGACTGCGCCGCCCCGTCGCGCGGCCAGCGATTGACTCAGTGATTGAGATATGTTGCTAGCATGGGATCCCGCTGGACTCACTTCTCCTTGTGGCGGTCTACCCCCGGGTCCCTCCATACCGAACGGTATGCGTGGAGGCGTTTTGGCGCCCACTGGGGTTCGTGCGCCCGGAGGCGTGCGTGCACCCGGTGGCGTCCTGTTTCCCGGTACCGATGTCAACGCCGGTGGTCCGCCCGGGCCGCCCGTCGAGGCCATGTCTGGCTCTGGCAGGAATCTCGGTCGCTCCATGTTCGCGAACTTAGGTGCTACTTTCGGCACGGCGGACGTTGGCTTGGCCTTGGTCTTCGGTTTCGGCTTCAGCATCGCTGGCACGCCGTCCTTGTCTTCCGATTTTTGTACTTTCCTGACTACAAAGTCGCCCGCGCGACTACGCTTTCGGATCTCGAACTTGCGCAATTCCACTATGGTCACCACGGCCGCACGGATTAGGTCCAGCAAGAAGATCACCATGCACAACCCGATGATATTCGCGTAGTACCAGTGCTCCTCCTGCCAGCTGTCGAACTTCAGAGCGTAAACTAGAATCACGATGATAGACGCGAGGATGAAGGTAGCGCACATCACGTAAGGCATGATGGCGGACAGATTGAACACCCAGTTCGGAATCGGCCTACCAACCGCGTCTAGCTCCAACAGCTCCTGCTTTTGATGTTCGCGCATCACCCGATCCATGTAGATTAACCGCACACGCCGCACGAATGCACTATCGTCTTCTCTAGGTGGCGGCGGGGGCAGTGGCACGCCAGGAGTAATGGGCGATGGCATAGCCAGCCCGCCGGGTGGCGGCGCACCTGAAACAGAACGATGTTGAAGAAAGATGCTTTCGGTGTCAGCAATTTTAAGCAATAAATATATATAATATATTGAAGCGATTTCGATCCCCTTTCCAGCAACATTATTTACCTCCTACATTCACTGTAGTCCAAGTCTATCATCTGCTTAAACAGTCCGACAACGAAATAGAAAAAATGGGAAAATTACCTGGTGCACCCACGTTTGGCAAGCCCATGAGAGCGAGCTCCTGGGACATCCCGGGTCCAACAGGACCACGAGGCATGCCTGGAGGCGGCGGCATCTTAAACGGTGGCTGCGAGAAGGCTGGTGGCTGACCACGCTGGATCAGTGTGTCAGGTCGCATCGTGCCGAATGGAATAACCGGTGGCATTCCCTTCGGCGTACCAGGCATGAAGCCTCGCGTTGATGGTGGCGGCAAAGTAGGAGTTTTTGGCTCGAAAGCACCTGGTGAACAAGTAGATGAATGAAGCAAAAAAGAGCAAACAGAAGAAGTTCAAGTTTCTTCGTCAAGTTTCCCTTCTCTCCTCACGACAGCAAATTGATTCTACAAGAAGTGGATGCAGTTCGCTAAAAAACTTTCAGTTTAACCTTTATATATGTAATGACCTTAACCTCGTTCAAAAAGGAAAATGTAATTGTAATTTAGAAAGAAGATTTGTAGAAGTAGTAGTACTTGCTGCTGGATTATGTCCTGGCATGCCACTGAGCGCTGGCGGCCTCGGTGGTGGTGGCGGTCGTCCGGGTCCTCCACCTCCAGGTGGTGGCGGGGGCATCATCTGATGACCTCCTTCGAAGAACATGGATGGAATGGACTCCTCTGGATTGTACTCCGTGTCCCCTACGTGAGCCGCTTCTCGCGGAGACAAATCATCTAAGGAGCTTCTTGGGCTCATAGCATCTCCCACTGAGCTACGTGCGCCGTCCTCATGATCTGGAGAAGAGGCATCCCAAAGAAGTCCTTCTTGCAGTCTCGTGGCAGGTGACCTTCTAACAGCAACCGATACGGGACTCCCTCTGCTGCTTCCCGATGGAGACGAGGCACCGTTTGACGGGCTGCGGGCCGAAGACGAGGCGCCTCCTGGCGTGCCAAGATTGTGCGTGCCCTCCATCTGCGCAGACATAGTGAGCGCAGGTGGTGCCGGTGGTGCACCGCCACGCGGCGTGATGGCACGCATTCCTCCTAAAGCCTGCGGAGCCGTTGCCGGTGGCGTGGCTGCTTTCGGTTGAGCTTGAAAGCTCGGCAAAGCCGGAAGCTGTGGCATGCCCGCCCTGCCGAAGTAGATCGGAGGCAATAGGTCCTGCGGTGGCGGCAGTGCTTTCGCGTAGCCAGGTGGCGGCGGATACTTCGGTGCTGGTGGCTGCGCAGCTCCTCCGAAGCCAGCTCCACCCGGTCCCGGCAGTGCCAGAAGGCCTCCCGCCCCGGGACCACTTGCACCCATCGAACCGGGACCCGGACCCGCGATCGGCGGTGGCAACGCCAACAGCGCCAATGCCTCTTGCTGTTGCGCCAAGCCGCCAATCGGCAGCATTGCTTGAGCTGCTGCGCTCGCTGGCAACATTTGGGACTGCATGATCAACTTCTGCTTCTCTTGTTGAATCATGTCCAACTCCTTGGCCACCTGCCGTCGCTTGATCTGCCGCCTCTTCGCCGGGATCGGTCGCGCCGTGAACATCATCAGGAAGACGCAGTACAAGGGAAACATCAGCAAAGCGGACAAAATCCCGCTGATCACGAACTGCTCTGAGCTCGCGAACTTGTTCGGAATTCCGTACACCATCGCGTTGATAGCCAGCAGACCCTGGATCAACGCCATCGTACACAACAGCCGCTGCGGCCTCGTGAAGGTTTCGTGGTAGAACACTGGCGCGATGGCCAAGTGCTCGCGCTTCAGCACGTTCCAGTACGTCTTCATGAACAGCTGGTTGCGTTTCTCCGCAAACTTGTAGGCAATCGGATCGTTCGCGTTCATCGGCGTGTCGATGCCGTCGCCGTCATAGTGATACGAAGCGTAAGGTATAATCCCAGCCCGCTGGTCACTGCGAACCTTCTCATCATGCTTGTAGCCCCAGAAGATCAAGAACCAGTTCAACAGCAAGATCATCACCTGTGTGTATTTGTTTGTTCATATGGGTGTAATCATTTTCTTTATTCCATCATGATCGAAATGAAATAAAGACATTGATTTTAAAAATAACCAAGAGGAAGGAATGAACAAGACTTTACAAATATTGAGTCACAAGCTACTAGGTGTAGCGTCCCATCAAAACTCGACGTCGAAAAACACTATTCCGACAGGAGGCTTGTAAAAAAACGTATTACTATCATTTTTTTTTGAAATCTAGGGAAGAAAGTAAGTACCAGTGTCGCGAGAGTGCTGAGTTTCGTCCGGTTGATGATTTCCATCAGCGGGTGATTTGTGGCCTCCGTGAGAGAGAAAATGTAGGATGGTCTCCCGTCCACGAAGAAACCGATGTCACCCAGTGTCAGTGTGAGACAGCCGTTTCCGTCATTGACAATATCGCGACCGTTCCACGCACCACCAGCCGTGTTGGGGAAGAAGCGATCCCAGATCATGCAAACGCCACTTGAATACACGTTGTAGTCCGCAAAGACACGAATAAACTCGTTCCGAGCCTTACATCCTGGACCCTCGACGCAGACGTCGTACTGTTCTGCACTCGCGTAGAACATGAGCAGCGTTATCACCGCACTCTGCTGGTTACTAGGCGTACTTGGCGACCAGTAGTAGATGTTCTGTTTATACTGAATAAACTGATACGCCAAAGCTGTGATCGGGTTCGTCAGTGTGGGCTCGTCAGGAGAATCACTCGGCACGATGAATTCAGCGGGGAAGACGAAAGCAGTTGAGACCGCGCTCATGTTGGTCACCTTTCCGACGTCCATCAAAAACGCCCTGGTGTCGAAATGCAGCGGCGACCGCGCATTCGTCACCAAGTCTGGAATCAAAGCGCGCACTAGCCTGTCTCGCATGATACTCAATCGCGTCAGCGCCTGCGATATGTTTCGCCTTGTGTCCATCTCTGTCCGACGGTCCGCCTCGATGCGCGCCGCGTCGTCGGCTCGGTACTGCGCAGCGATGGTCGGGTCGAAGCTGTTGTACTCGACTTCGCGCTTCGCGTCCACCAGGGTCGCCGTCTGCAGGTTGATGTCCTGCGTCAGCCGATTCTTGCGGGCGTCGCTCAAGAACGGCAGCTCGAGCTTCTCCACGAAACTGATGGTCTGCAAGTCGCTCATCGACAGATCCGCCTGCAAGTTGCTGGCCATCTGCAGTCTTCGGTGGTCCTCGCTGTTGTACAGCTCGAAGGCGCGCGCTCTATCAGCAAACGAAAACGGCGCGTTGCTTTCGGTGAAGTTGAACCGCTTCCACATGCGCCCCACAGTAGTGTTGCGGTCATACTCGTCCTGCATCCAGCGGCGAAACCACGTGTCTTCCCGGTCGTCCAGGCTTGCGCCTGCGCCCCCGCCGAAGTACTGCCGTCCGGTTGCCGTGTCGTTGAACACTTCTTGCTGTTCCCGAATCATGGCTTCCTCGAGTCGCCGCATGCGCGCTTCTTTGCGCTTGAGCTTCTCCGCGGAACTGGTTGCCCCTAGACTGCCGGAGAACATGTCCGAGATCGCATTGTTGGTAGTGCGCTTGGAGCGCGCTCGCGCCATCTCCGCACGCAGATTTCGCAGATCCCGTTTCTGCTGCAGTTCCAGTTCCGCGCGAAGCTCCTCCGGACTGCGGGGACAGCGCTGCTCGAACCAGCACGGCGGCTTGTTGCACAGCGTGTTCGGGTTCTTCTCCGCGCAGCACTGGTAGCGGATCTTCTCGGTACCCCACACGCGACCGCCGATCTCCTTTGCGCGCGGAGAGCGCGTAAAGCAGATCAGGCCAAGCTTGTCGCAGAAGTCCGAACGGCAGTCGTGGATCACAGCAGGCAAAGCCTTCACACCGATGAAGTCCGGATTCCACATCAACACTTCCGGCTGTCGCAGCAAAACCGGGCCACCACCTGCTGCCGCGAGTCGACGCCGGTTGTTCGAAGTGGGGTCCTCGTCGGCGCGGTGTCCGAAGAGACTCAGAGCCATCTGCCCATCCGGGTTCTCGAGCAAAGCGCGCCTGCTCGCAGCGTCACCAGCGTCCGTCAAGTACGACGTTCCACTCGCAGCTGCGGTCATGAACCCTGTGTTCACGCTCTGTGCCACAATCTTGCGGCGCTTCACCTCCACAATCTGATACACGCTTGCGGTGCGGTTCCACACCAGCGTGAAAGGGCGCTTGCCCCCACCTTCTGTGTCCTTTTCGTTTAGGTACTTCATGTCCGACTCGGCGTACCTGCCATAGGACTCGAACTTTCCGTCCTCAGTCATCAGGGGCAGCGGCGTGTGAAAGATCCCGCAGAAGTCGCACTTCAGGTGCGCATTCTCTTTCTTGGCTTCGGGCCGAATGAAGATGTGCAGGTTTCTAGGTCCCGGCTGCTCGTGGTTCAGTCCCTCTTTTCTGCGCGGTATGTGCGTCATCAGCGTGGAACCGAACTCGCCACGGCGCTCTTTGGCCTCCAACGCGCGCATTTGCTCTGTGGAAACCAGGAACTTCGGAACTTGCGTTAAAGGATCCAAGACTTGCGGCGAGGCGTGGCGCAACTTGCGCCAGGCGGCACTTTTCGTGGACGCGCCATCAGACACCTTGAGCGGAATATGATACCCCAGTTTGTCCAACTCCTTCAAGATACGCAACCGCTTGTCAAACTCGCGACGAGAAAAGCGCCTGCCGTACTGCTCACTAATGCGCTTCACCAAGTTCTGCCCTGTCTCGGAGAGCAAGTGTCTGCTTGAGTAGCTTACATCGGGTCCATGCTCGACCCGACTCTCCAGTGACACCCCAGGATGCTGTCTCGTGCTGTCAAGATCGGCATCCTCTTCGTGGTCGTGTTCACCTAATGCAGACGCAGAAGATCCGCTGCGTGAAAGCGCCGTACCCGCAAAAACCACTTTTAGTTCTTCGCCAGTGAGGACTTGCGCCAGCTCTGCGCGAAGTTCCCGCAGCTTTTCTGGGCTTGCGGACTTTAAGTCGTCCGTGGCTTCCATCAGTTTGCGCTTTGCGTCACCCTTTTTCTCTTCCGCATCGCCTGCAAGGGGAAAGTTCTCTTGTTTTTCGAGTGTTTCCAGGATGTCTTCCCCAAACTCTTCTTCGTAGTCGCTCAGAAGTCGCACGAGGTTCAGCCTTCGACCCACGCCGGCCGCAGCACCCTGACCTCCCGTCGCTGTGATGATGCTACTCAAACCGTTGATGAACGACGTTGCGTCTGCTGGCGACAGCGTGGATCCGCCCAGCACGGCGTCCAAACCGTTCTGCATAGTATCCAGCAAGTCAGAAACCTCGGCGTTCTTTGCGCCTGTCTCGTCAATATCGGCGACCGAGTCGGAGGCACTCGCGGTCGCTTGCAACGCACTACCCAAATCGGCTGTGTCCATGTTTCCGAAGTTGAACTGCTTCACGGCCGTTCGGAACTCACCCTGAAGGTCGTCATACTGGCCAGTGGTTAAGCGCGTTCTGATACCATCTGCGGTGGTCTGCGCCGCGATCAGCTGCTGTGGGTCGGTGTCCTCTGGCAACAGAGCATCACGAATTTGCTCATACGTCGCTTCGGTGTTGAACACCATTGCCATGGTCTGGTCAGTGCTTGCGCAGACCTGAAACAATACAAGAGTTCAATGCAGGAATGCACTTGAGTCATCACTTCTCGTTCTTAGTTACTGTAGTCGATGTCGAATATTCGAAAAACGCAAGCAGATGTTGATGTAAATGTGGATCATAGATCCTCAACTACAATAAACAAGAAGTGCGTACTGTACTAAAAGCTAAGCAGAGTTGTAAGTGTACTACAAGTTCTAAAGTTCTTGTACCTTGTAAACAGTGCAGACTTTGAGGTTTCCCAAAAGTGTGTCCTGCCCATCGTATGGGATCTGATTTGCCGGGATTTCGAAGTGTGTACTCGTCTGGCCCTCTACCTGCCAGATTGTTGCGCTTGCTTGGCCCGTTTCTGAAACCGGAGTGAACCCGAAGGAGTAACTAAGCTGCGCGTCCGCAGTGCCGCCACCCAAAGAGGAATCGGCTCGCCACTGCGGTGCGTCGAACACGAAGTTCATCATTGGATCCATCAGCAAATCGTCTGGAAACGTGTACTCCGCAGGCTTGATGAAGAAGCCACCACGAATGGGTGGACCAGGAGCCGTGTTCAGGATCTTCTGTGCCTTCCCGAAGTACGTTCCTTCGTACTGCCCGGCGAGCACCTGCGCAGTGACGTGAAGCATAATCTTGTAGGAGGTCGAGCGCTGCAGCTGGGTGGAAAGCGGCGTCTCGAAGGAATTCGGATCCAAGTGGAACGTGATACGCGAGGTACGAGTAGGATGCCACTCAATAATCGCCGGGTCAGACCACGTGAACGTGTCAGTCTCGTTCTTCCACTCCGTAACGAAGCTGTTAGAATTAAGTTGCGAAAAAAGTAACCCACCTTTTTCTTTTGTAGAATCTCCTGATGACTGTAACATAGTTGATGACAATAGATACTCAAAATTAAGAGCAAGCTCCTAAAAAAGTAACAGTAAGGAACCAGCCATCAAAGAAACATGATTACTCATTTCCTCCGCTCTGCTTCTTGAAGACTTCCCAGCGATAGGTGTAGATCGCGCCATCGAAATTTGGGTCTTTCGAGATGGTTCCCTCCAGTGTTACGTCTTGATACACACTAGTCAAGGGAAGCTGCGCCAATTCCGGATCGGTTCGGATCTCTTTCAGAAAAACTTGCAAAACTAGGCGATCTACGATGTAGACGTCCGCTTTGTCGCGACCAGAGCGCCCGTCGTTGTGGATGGCTTCGACCTCGAACGTGTAGAACTGCTCATCAATAGACAGTTCCATCTTGTTGGTCTCGACCATGAGCAGCCCCTCACTGTAGTAGCAATAGCACTGCGGAAGCACTGGCGGAACGGCTGTGGAGTCACCCTGTTTGAATTTAAGTCTAAGTCGTGGAAAGATCTTCTTCTAAAAATGTGATGAATGTTGACAATGTGATCTTATGTCTGTTGTAGTAGTACTGATGATCATGTACCACTGATATTACAACTGCAGGCATCGTAAGATCATTCATCTTCGCGCCCGTTACAACAGTCCAAAAATAGTAAAGCCAATGAATTGTAATAATCAGGTAGACCTTAGACAAGAAAACGAGTTTACTTCTCTAGAACAACAGATGACATTTTTTCACTTCTGAAGCAGCGGTCTGGATCGGATTCGACAAAGGAGAGACGGATATAAGTAACAAGTAGGATTGTAATACGTAATAAGTAAGGACCAATTGAAATAAGTAAGATTCATTGTATTTACTAAAGTTACTAGTACCTGTGTGAAGGAGACTTGGTTGACTTGGACATTGTAACCGATATCCAACTTCGGAATGTCTTCGCCACCTCTCTGCGTGCAGATTTCCGCTGGGTCGTACAATCGCAGCTTCCAGTCAACAATCTCTCCATTTGAGTCAACCTGTTTGGGCAGAGAACGAGTTGTCATGAATGAAACCCATCTCTTCACAAGGTGTCAAATATTAAGGTAAAAATTTCATGCGGATTAAAAGCGTACGAAAATATGCGAAACCAAAAAATCAAAGCCCTAGGTAAACCTACTGCCAGCACTATCGATATTGTCAGTCTGCTCTCAACGTCTACAGCAGTAAAGAAACATAATGTAGTACCTGGTAGAGATAGTTCGGATTCGCGTTGGCACCCAGACCCAGTGTGAAGCACGGTGACATCATTGTACCAGTAGACGTGAAAAGAGTTGTTCCCAGCTGCGTTGTTGTCGCCGTCGCGGACGTTATGATAGCGTCTTTAGTGGGGGATATTCAAATTGTGAAGATTCTTCTGGGTCACCAGTACCATAAATTACAATCAATGTAGTGATGTCTTCAAATCTACCTACTTACTTTCATCACAATCTAAACGATTAAGAGTAATCACGAACCGATCTTCCAAGTAAGAGAAACTCGTCATGACAGCACAACAGTATTAAAGCCATTATAGCTATAGCCATAGCTATAGCTATACATAGGTACCATTCAAGCAGATAGGTTTTCGGTCTGATTGCCCTTCTGGGAAGGCAGACTGCGCAAAGGAGTTGAATTGGATATCATTCTCTGTCGTTCTCTGAAAGCACCCGCTCACCTCTTGCGCATCTGTGTTACGGAATTGCGTGGATAATGAAAGGGATGATTGGTTGGTTGGTCGCTTAGGGAGGCAAATTGTCAATTTACTTCCTTGTACCATATTACATCGAGGACATGTATTGTATAATCTACCCTACTACTTGATGTTAATCCCTATCGACGAATATCAATCATGCTCTTTGTTTCAGGCGGCCGAAATCTTCAACTTGATGAAAATGCACTTTTTATTCATCCAATTTTTAACAAGAGTACTATTCGGATCAAATGCGTTCCACGTGAATCCGCACATCGTTGCAGCCTCTTCGCAGTCAGTCGATGTGACGACTTCGAATCCTTCCGGACAGACGTTATTCACATCGTAGATGACGTAGATTCCGCCTTCGCATTCGACCTTCCCAGCATCTGCCTCGGAACTTCCCTGAATCACCGGGGTCACTTTCCAGCACCGGAAAGTGAAGTCACCCTCGAAGGTAGGCAAGGTATCGCACGCCAAGCTTCCAGGATTCAGCAGACAACCGTAGGCCTCCTCCATATCCGGATCCATGGTGAAGCGCGCATTCAAGGCCATTGTAGTCGATTTTTGCGCAAACTCCGTTCCGGCAGGGAACAAAAGAACCTTCGGTGATGTAGTGGGAATGCAAAGTTTTTACGTCTGGTTCTTAGAGCGTCAAGAGTTTCATTTCATTTAGTTCATTTACCAAATAAAGGTATTAATGAATCATCATTTTCACGAGTCTACACTCTACTCATCAGCACTGTCCAAAACTCACAACTACCTTCAACGGCGCACGTTCGATACGAATAATGACATTTTCGGCCGCATTTTGGGCGCTAGCTGTTGCAGCGTCTCCCGTCTGGATGATATCTGTTGCACTCTGCACAACAACGCACAAGATTTGGAACGTGTACTCGTGATACTTCGTGATAGGTGGTTCTTGCGCCATATCATCCGCCGTGTAAATCTGGTGTTTTTGAGATGAATTCTTCACCTTTATTTAAGAGTACGTACTTCTACGTAGGCTAAAAAAAAGGGTAAACATGATGACACACAGAACTATCATGGAACAAAAATTTTCTTTCCCTACGAGTCATGAGAAACATTCTAAGATGCTTGCTTTTCATGGCAAGTTAAACTTTCAGAAGTACCGGAGGCGACAGCGTGTAACGCGGAATAAACAGGACTTGACCGGTCACAGGGAACTCCAGCTTTTGCGAGTTGAAAAGCGAATTGTCGCAGCTCTGTGTTGTTTGTAGTTATGGAGTAGAATCAATGATTATCTTACGTTTCTTTACAGGTACTAGCACTACACTCATAAGCATATCGCGTACTTAAAAATGAAATCACATAATGGAGTCTCCAACTACTTACTTATCAATATGAACTAGCTCTAGCAGGGAAGCAATTTCTTCTCGTTATGAGATAGAGATTGTACCTCTGATGTGGTGACTTCTCCCACGATGAAGTTTGGGTTGTGGCTGGCGCAACTCCACTCGCACGCAAGTTGCTGATTCCCCACTGCACAACTACTCTGCCTGATCTCCGTCTCTATGCGCAACGCTTGCGAGGTCTGGCGGACAGAGGGCGAAGACCAACTTCCGGTTCGGATCGTCGGTGCCGGGTAATCCGCTTTCTCCACGACGAACCCTAAAGTCGACGCCAAGCCCCAGCGAGACGTGACCGTGACGCGCATGTTGTATCGGAAACCTTGCGGCATGCACTCGACGCAGATGAAGAGCTTACCCCCAGTCGTCGCGGCAAGACGCTCCTGCAGCATAGCGTACTGCGTCGCGTTCATGGCTGTGCTCACGGTGTTCAAGGACGTGAATGGCACGCCATCACTGTCGTCCAACTCCCACAGGTATTCGGCTGTGCCGCCCGTTCGCTTGGTCTCATCGGCACGCAACTCAATGGTAGAGCACTCATCGATCGAAAAGGTGCCGTCCGTTGGTTCCACCACGACAATCGGCGACAACAACGGATGCGGCAACGAAACGATCGCACCCTCACCCACTGCTGCAGGCGAGAACTCACACGTCGCGAAATCACCAGGAGTCTGGAGGTTTTGTTTACATTACAGGCTTAAACATACATAGTGAATCGATCCTCACAAGTTAATACAGTGAGCAATGCCTTACAAGAAATCAATATGTATCAATCTCAAACTCAATGTCAACTAAGTACATCCAAAGTAATTACAAACTCTAGTACATAGACATACTAGCAAAGGACCAAAGTTGTACGGAGCAAATCGGTTTCGCGAAAACTTTGTCGGCGAGCACAGCAATCTCGTCTCCCAATTTCAGGACACTGTCCGGACCGAACTCCACCTCTAAGGTCTCACCTCCTCCAGCAGTTGTGTCGTCCTTCCACGTGCACGCAGTCCCAGGATACGTACCTGGAAGAAGATGAAGTTACGAGAAAGCATAGGTATAGACTGATGAACAACTAGTAGTGGAACGGAATTCAAAAACAAAAAACCCCAAAGATCAATCTAACTTTATTCAACATCTAGAACCCCGAAGATCAATATAACTTTATTCAACATCATCTAAAACCCCAAAGATCAAAATAACCTTATTCTTCGTTGAAAATAAAAATCATTCTTACCAATGAGCGCGACCGTTTCCGCTGATAGAACTTCAGCGCAGTCAAACTTGGCACCACCCGATCGGTCCTTGCTCTGATCTATTCGGTCTGGAATGCGGTTGCCGTCAGTATCGATTGGAATCCCACCTCGAGTCGTCTCTTGGTCCCAAACGATCTTTAAAAAGAGACCCTCAATAGTGAACCGCGCATGCTCCACCTTCGGCGCGGAGAGACTGAGCGGAAATCCTGCCTCTGCGTTGAACAGGTTCGCATAGGGTACATCGGGATCGAGACTGCGGTGAAGGTCGCCCGTCTCGCAAGACTCCACTTGACACCACTTGTCGGTCTGTCCGTTATAACTGTTCACCTGCAGAACTGCGTACGCAGTCTCCGCCCTAGGTCGTGCGGCCGAGACTACTTCGGGATAGTTCCGGTAACTCATGAAGGTATTGTTCTTTGGCCCGCTGGCACCGCCGCCGGGATAGATGTGGAAGCTGCGGATGATGCTCTGCGCCCAGTACCGACCCGTAGCCGTGTTACTCTCGTCGTAGTAGCTGTGCCATCGCGCAGTGGCCGTGTTTCCGTCCGCAAACAGGTAGCCGAGCACGACGTACATCATGTCGCCATTGATCGGTCCGACCGCTGAGATCGTGCCCTGACGCGTGTCGCCGAAAATCTGCAAACACTTAAACCCCAAGTTCTGCTGCACCACGAGCTTCACTCGACTCAAAACTCCCATGCCTGCCTCTTCCAGCAAGGAAAAGACGAAGAAGCGGTCCACTCGCGTGTTGGACTTTTCGACTGCGGTCACCGCGTACGACCGAATGTCCGCGCGCGATACTATCGTGGACACACCGGTGAAGACGAAGTTGTCCTGCGCAGCGGAGCTGGATTTGTACAACCCCGCCATGGACTGCAGGTTCTCGTCGTTCAACTCTAGCTGCGTTTGCGTTAGCTTCGGAAACATAGGATCCGTTTCGTCGATCTCGACCGACGTCACCTTGTAGCTCCACTTGTCGTCGGCGTTTTGCGTAATCACCGGCGTTCGTCCGATCGACGCGGGCACCGCGAGAGCGACCAAGCGGCTGCCCGTGATGTCGTAAGCCAAACCGTAGAGAAGGACATCCTTCACCTGAATCTGGTTCTGGAACACGGCATCACCCTCCTCGTTGGTGCAATGCAGGTAATAGCGCTCAGGATTGATCACAATGGCGGAAGAAGCGACGGCGCCGCTTGAACCCACGCTAATCGTCGAGTCCTTGATTACAACAACAGTGTACCACATGTACCTGGACGATAAGGGGAAAGTGAGACGAAGAAATCGAAATGACAATGATTTTGATGTGTCCACTAGCTGTCCACTAGTTGCACCTTGTATTTTTTCATCAACATCAACAGCGCAATTTCATTAAATATCGTAAGAGATGCTGGTGCTTACTTACGACTTTGAAAAATCGATACTTACTCCCAGAAAAAACGAGCAGGTAAAAAAGTACCTCCAGACGTCGTAGGCGCCGGAAGAACCATAACTCTGGTACTCATACTCCATGAAAAGACCCCAGTTATTTGTCGTCGCATCACCCGTACCACCGCACAGGGGATTCGAGAAACTTGGAAGGCATGGAATATCGCACTGTCCTTTCGCTTCAATAAAGAGCTCCATCGTCTCCACAACGCACGCACACGAAAGACCTTTGAATTTTGTAATGATGGCATAGACACTTCTAGTAGGAGAGCCCTTGCAGCAGTTTTTGTCATTTTGTTTTTAGTCCACTTAAAACCTGTATCTGTCTAATCCAAATCCATAGTTGAGTACTTTGAAGATCTACAATCGCCAATCTATCAACAAACTCCAGGAGGATCAGGAGCTCGAGGTGCTGTATCATCTCAAGTTCTCAAGGTCTCATCAACCTAAGGTTCATATAATTTGAATTTTGCATAGTACCTGAAATGCCGATGATGACATTTCTTTGCTGCTCGTAGTATTCACTGCGCTTGAGACCTCCTGGCCCTGTGCAGACATTGACGCAGTCATTCGGATCGAAGGCTTGGGCCGGCGGACTCGTGGTCGCATCGGCGGTGACGTCCGTTACTTGCGCAGAAAAGCAGCCAATGTAGGTCCACCGAGAGTACACAATCGTGTTTTTCTGGGTGGCCAGATCATCCGTGCCATAGGGATCCGGCACTGGTGCGGTCTCAAACCGAAACTGTGACAGACGACTCCTTTCCAGCAGCTGCCTCGGTACCAAAGACTGCTGCTGCCGCTCCGTCACCTCCTTCTGCTCGATACAATCTACTAGTGTACCGCACCTGAGTGAGAAAATAAAAATGCTAGACGAGTTCGTTGTTGCAGTTACATCCAATAAAAGATCATCACGAAAAGATTTCTTCATTCGAAACCAAAAAATGCTGGCCAAAATATCAAGGTTAGTATGTACCTCAGTAAGACTTGTCCGTTAGAGGCTGCCTGGGCGACTTCTGCTGCTGTAAAAATAGGGGTTTTACAGGCAGGCTCTCCTTCTAAAGCCGTGCTATCGTAACAGGGAAGCTCCACACTGTCACAAGGACACGTGCTTGCCAGATCGATGACGATCTTCTGTTTCTTATGACTTACTGCGACGATATCAAAAGCCTCTGCTAGAGGACCAAAACTGATAAAGGTCGTCAACAGAACCCAGAAGAGCCAAGTCAATAGCGAGCCACTACTTCTACTTCCCGCATTCTTGGTGGTCCATGACTTCTTCGTGTGCTGTACTGCCAGCGGTCTTGGTCTTTTCATCTCCGGAGGTGTTCTTTCTCCTACACGCGGACGAGACGATGAATACCTCCAGGGGAATGCTGGACACCGAATGCCCAACAGAAGATCCTCCTGTGGTCTGCTACGCGTCGCCGCTAAAGATGTTGCAGCATCGGTCGGCGTCGATCTCTTCTTGTGAAGATCAAGCTGCTGCGATTCCTCTTTCCTCGTCTTCCTTCTTTCCACTTTGTAATCTAGCATGCTGAAGGACCTTCTATCGCCGTCCGCGGGCAGTAGTTGTTCTACTCTACCAGTTGTACTAGGCGGAAGAGGACAACCAAAATCCTCGGTTTTCAGTACTCCTGCACAGGAAGCATGCTGAGCCTGCCCTTCGTCCAAACCTATTCCTCGACACCTCTTACTTCTAGGACTTCTACGACGAACTCCTCGTCTTCTCGTATTACTACTCGCTTTGATATCGCCAAGGATGGTACTATCGTCTGACAAACGCCTCCTCATTGCTAAGTCAGGTTTCCAGTCGACGTCTCCAGAACACCCTAGCGCCACAGTTGAAAAACTGCAAGTAGTCGCGACTGCGTTTTCTCCCAAGGAGTCCTCCGGGACCGCAGCTACTACTTCCCTGTCGGCCGGACGAAGATGTTCGACAAGATCCTCAGCATCTTCTTCGCAAGAATGATCAGAAGTTGTGATTGTATTTGCACAATCAAAACTACTAGTACAAGAATCTTCAGACTCGTCTAGCAACTGTCTAACTCTAGCATCGTCGTTGTCGTTTACTAAAATCGCGCCGTTTCCGGGGTCAACGTCGGATATCATTTTTACTCTTCTTCTTCTTCTGCTCCTCCTTGGTTTTCCTGCTGTCCTTATTGCTGATGTCGTCGGTGTAGTAGTTGAAGATGAAGTGCTCGTTCCTATCGTTGCACCGCGATGCCATGACTGAAGGTACAAAATCACAGGGTCATCCGCACTACCGAAGTGGTAGTAAACGTCGTCCGCTGCGTCGCTGCTCTCGCTGCTAAGTGTTCGATCAACACTTGTTTCGCCTTCAACAAGGTGATCCATGCTTCTTCCTCCTTCAAGGCTCGGAGCATCGTGCTGCTGCCCTGAAAAAGCAGCATCGTCAGTCGTGATCTTCGACATCTTCATGCTAGCACCACGTACGCCACTCGGGGGCACGCCTCCCCGCCGATGCGGAGAAGCGAGGCCGCGCCCGAATGTGTCAGGAGCCCGCTTTTCGATGCCGAAAATCTTCGAAAATCTAGTGTCGTCAGAATGCAGCCACAAGTCCTCAGTCTTCTCTCTTCTTTGCACCTCCGACCGTTCGCCTTTGCCAGCATTATAGCAAGATGTTCTCGATGAGGAGGACACCTTCTCGACCACGTGGTAATCCCCTTGTTCTGCTACGACATTGTTTTTGTTATGAACAACACCCTCATTCTTGTTCTTCCCTAATGAGGTAGATACTGGTGTACTCAATACTGATTGAACTTCTTGGTCCACCCTCTTTTCAGCATTACCACAGTTGCCTTGGTCAGTAACACCTACAACAAAACCAGATACATTCGAGGCTAGCAACTTACGGCTACCGCGCTCTAGTTGTCTATGGTCAGCTGGAGGTCCCCTCCACGCGAAACCTGTGCTCATCCTAAGCTATGCATCGAACTCCAAATTGACATTAGCGTTCTTAATTTCACCAAATCGAGTTTATTGTTTGTATACCACAAGAAAGTACTTAGAAGTGAAAGGATTTGGATTTACATGTAGTAGTGCATAAAATAAGGATTTAGTTTAGTTCCAAGCACGCACTATCAGTATGCTCCGCTCAAGAATTCAACGAACGACAAAGAAGAACTCATGTACTACTTTCCCAAAACAGACAAAAACACAAACCGCTTCAAATAAGGATTGTGCATCAAATTGTTTGAAACAGTTATGTTTTTCTATACCAATTACACCCGATTTACTAGATTGTTACAACGAGAACGACCTCCTTCAAATAGAGTTTACAAATATTACAGCTTGTTACCCTAATAAACGAGTTCTTCATAACTACAACAAATTACGACTTGTTCTTCTTCGACCTTGAGCTTGAAAACTTGATAACAGTTGCGATACCCAAAAAAACGAAAACCGGGGATAGCGGCAAACGATGCGACTCCTCGCGTGCCGAGGAAAGGCATCGCGGTCCCTGCGAATTGGATTCGATCGAAGTGCAAATGATTAATTCAAAATCATACGCTCTCTCACCAAATCTATCATTCTCAAATTGCTTACAGCTACACGAGCACTACCTCTAGGATAATGCTCTCCTCACGCAGACATCAAACTCTCCACAGGTACAATTCTCTCAAAATTTTATTAGGGATACAACCGACCTCAGTCAACCTCTCCTCGACATTAGGAGCATTTCCCTTGTCATTCCCTGTGACGAACAGTCGTTTTCTCGACGCTCAGATACAGATTTCACTTCGTCTCAGTGCTCTCAACCAGATATCGAACAGCAATGACGTGCGTCGCTCTCTTTCAACATTTTTTTTCATTTTATCATCACCTTCCAAAATAACTATTCAAAATTTTGCTGCCTAACGTGTTGCTCTCGACGCTCCAAAACTTTTTAGCCATGTGGATGTGCAGCAAGGTCAGTCTCTCGTCAATCAGCAAGTATTGAATCAGTGACCATCATTTTCTACACCGCCCTCCATATGGCGTTTCTTCTTTTACATACATCAGTAGTCTCGTCTCGAACATCGATGTATATGCGGTTGTCGGCACCGTAACTTACACCAGACCTGTCCGGTGTAACTGGTGTCGATGCGGAGCCGATGTCCAACGACACTCGTCGTAAAGGCCTCAATTGTTCTATCGATCTTTGGTACCATTCTTGAAGTAGAAGCGCTTTTGTCGCGAAAGTTAAACGAGGAAAAAGGACTACCATGATGAATCCTCCACTCAACATTGGAATCAAACTGAATCAAAACAAAAAAGAGGTCACATGGATCGAAATATTAAGTGTCCTAAGTACATAGATAAGTAGATAAGTAGATTCATGTGTGTATGTGTATGTGTGACATACAAACTTGTTACAAATACGATAGGAGTGTGATTGATAGACTGTATGAGAATGTGGTGGACAAGGATTGATAGACTGTATGAGAATGTGGTGGACAAGCGAAGCGCAAAAAGCACTAATTCGTTGAACACTCCTAGATATTGATATTTTACAAGCATGGGCTAGCCTAAAAAAAGTACAACTAATTCTATACAACAGCGTTAACTGAACAATGTTGGATACAATTCTTGGTTTCTTCTATTGAGGTGGCTCTACCACTTTTCAAAGGCAAAAATTTCTAACAACCATTTTTTCCTCTATCATTCACTTGTCTCCAATGTCGGGCGAAAGAATTGGATCAATAGGAGTGATGAAGGTACAGCTAACGAGATTCAAGAGAGGATTCACTTTGATCAACGGCTTCGCGCAGTGGGATATGGAGACAGCGATGCGTCTCCTTCACTATGTGGGGAGAGAGCAGGACGGCGTGGAGAGAGGGATGGGTGGTGAGAGCGGGACGAGTTGTGGGAGTTTAATAGTACTACTCATACTCTTAGGACTCTTTTACATCATCACGAGTGGGACCAGGAAGAGCAGGAATAAATCTATTCCTAAGTAGCACTTGTGCATCATGATCTGCCTGAATGTTTTTGCGCCTTTGGCACACCCAACAGATTACCTGATGATGTTCCTCCTGGTGTGAAGTGATGGTCAACGGCAGCTGGCTTCTTGGGAGATGATGCAGTAAACAACCCTCCCGAGTCCGATTCGTCGGCCGCCGATTCTCCATTTGACCGTGATTCGTCGGAGGTCACGATGTCCACCGGTCCCGTTGGAGCAGCTAAATTTCGTGTGTCCCTCGAGTCGGACGGCCCAAGATTAGCATTTCTTAACCTAGCCCAAGCTCCGCGCGCCCCGTTCAAATTTCCCGCCTCGTCCGCTAGGGTACCATCTGTAGTACCTCCTTTGGTGTCTCCCATACCCTTCCTAAGTGAGGCTATCTTGTTGGTAAACTCGTTCACCGCTATTATCATCTTGTGCCTCTCGGCTCTCCGATGCCGCTGAGCTACCTTCTTCACGATTTTATTCAAAACGTCCGTCCGATTGTATTCCGAAATGTTTTGCGCGATTTCTATGCAAGTTTCACCCTTGTTGTTCTTTTCGGCAAAGAACGCCTTCATCAAGCCGCATACTCGCAATCGCTGTTGTGGTATGAGGAGAAAAGAATGTGTCGTGGACCTGAATGATATTGACAGCGTGTTCAAAAAATAAGTCCTTCAAAGAATAAAAGTGAATATCATAAAGAAATAAAGGTTTAAGTTATAGGCAGTACCACAAGGAGCTCGTCAACTGCTACCATATTCTGGTAAATGAGCGCAGTGTGTAAGAGTGTGTCTCCTGTGTCCTTGGCTTTTCTAAGGAGGAAGCTTTTGTCGAATTCCGGGAATTCCGCTAGCTGCAGAAAGAACTCATTTGCGTCCACTGGGGATAGCCGCAAACACTCCTCTAGTGGGTTTAGGCCGTCACCGTTTTCTATCTTGATCACCGTGTCCCACGTCGCGTACTTCACTAGCATCAGCACAGCGTTCGGCATGCCATGCTGGATGAAGAGTGAGGGAAGACTTGTGTTCAAGTTGTTCCTGATCCACACAAGGTCTAACGGCGAGCCGCTCAGGATGGCCTGGTGCACGGCCTTCACGTTCCCTGCTTCACTCAACCGCTGAAACCGCTTTCCTGCTTCTACTTTCTCCATCGTCCTGGCACGGACAGAAGACCGCAACAGGATGCGCTGCGCAGGCGTAAAGCTCTTCAACACTTCTCGCCGCCTCATTTTCTCTTTCTCCAGCGCCTGTTTCCGCGCCAGCTCCTGCCTGTCCGCAGAAGAAGTAGGAGGTGTGACGGAGCCTCCAGCCGCCCTGTCTACTGACGTGTCCGAGACGCCGTGCAGTGTCGACAGTGGGCCACCACTAGGAGGTGAAGAACCTCCCTGCGCACCACGACCGCCTCGAAAGTTGAGCACACTGCCCGCCTCGTCGGTTACCTCTCGCTGCAAAGACGCAGCGGGTAAGCGCCCCGAGCTTGTTGGATCTCCCGCCTGCCGCGCCCGGTCGGACAATACTGAAGCCCCGCTAGGTCTGCTCGGCAAAGACATGAGACTTTGGCACGACTTTTTACCGAATGCTGTACTGTTCCCTGGGCTCTGATTCGGGGTCACCCTGGGACTGCCCATGGGACTAGTGCCTATTCGGCCGGCAGCCGTTGTGGAAAGCTGCGGATTCCGCATACCAGTACTACTTGATGTCCCGGCAGACCTTGGCCCGGGACTTGGCGGAGACAGCTGGCCGCCACTTTCCCCACCAAGGTGCCCCGGTTGAGCCGACACATTAGTTGCACCGCCTGACGAGCCTCCTGCTCCCTCTAGAGCTACTCCGCTAGCTGGTCCTTGTGATGCTTGCGTCAGGTCGTCCTTTGACGGCTTTCTTCTTAGAAACTCACCTTGTGTCTTGTACACATCTCGCCAGACCGAGAAACGAGCAAATATCCTCTGAATCACCTCCGGAAGCATGCCTCTCTCCATATTTTCTTCCTCTCCTAAGATCTCAGATATAGACCTGAAAATGTTCAGAAGTGTATAGAAACGCTGATGATCGTTCCTCCTGAGGAATAAGACTACCATCAAGCCTGATGCGATCTCAGTGTGACCTTCCTAGTCACTTATGATAAACATGGCAGTTGTAAGAGTGTTGAAGGAAGTGAGATACTCTTGATACAGGCACCACGAACAAGTAACAAGTCGTCGTGTTTCTAGTTCAGCAAGAGTAAAAAAAGTACGCTTCTATAGCAGGCGGTGGGGCCGCACTTGAATCTGCCTGTTGTTCTGCTAGGTGTGTAATATGCAGCTCGCTCGGTGTGTTTGAGATTGGCGGGGGCACGACGGAGAGGTCTGACATGCTAACGTTTGCGCTGGGGACCGGGGAAAACCTACGTGCTGTTCCACTCCTTTGTGAGGTGTTCCCATCCGGATCCCGTAGTTCGGCTGGTTTTGCACGCGCTTCCGCGAGCTGCTTTTGCCTCAACATTTCCTTGTCTTTCAGTTCTTTGGCTAATTTCAGCTCCACCTCGCGGATCTTCTCGTTCACGAGGCCTGAAAGCCCATGCTCGAACAGTCTAGGGATGTCCAAGCCGTCCATTTTCTCGATGCGCTCCTGCAGCTCGTGCTCGCAGACGTGATCCGCGCAGACGTAGGTGATCAAACTTGTCAAAATGATCGGATACAAACTCGCGTCGTACATACCCCGCTTACCCAAGCCAGTCAGCTCGAAAGTCACAAGAATACCTGATAGATGCTTCATTGAAGGTTATAAAAAAAATCTAAATTATTGAACTTCATAGAGTATGATTTCAGAGAGCTTGAACCAACTTGATATAGACTTCGCCCACACATAACAGAACTACCAAACACTGCGACGGAACATAAATGTCCTCATCATTTTCTTTCCAAGTACCTGTGAGTGGCACCCGAAACATTGCCACGAAGAGCCCGCACATGCCACAGTAGATGCAGATGCGGTGGTTCTCCGCGTTTTCTGGCGCGTCGAGCCACTGCAGCAGGCACATTACGCTCCCTCCTAAGCAGCCACCAAGCAACAGTGCTGGGTAGAAGATACCTCCGGGTGAACCGGAGGCCGCCGCCATGATAATAGCCGCCAGCTTCAGGAAGAAGTAGGCAATGTATTCCTTGAATTCCACGTAGTGCACGTCGTTCAGGGCCTTGAAGTTCCAATCCGTGGGCATCCTCTCATTCTTTCGCGCTCCCTGATCGTACTCTGCCTTAGAGGGAATCACGAGCAATTGCGTGAACATTTTTCGGCCCGGACCCCACACGCTTGGTTCGTCTAAAGTCAGGTAGGCTATGGAACCCAACACGCCACACGTCGCGCCAGTCGCGAGGGCCGCGTTCCACTTGGACAGCCGCGTTTGCAATCGTAGAAACCTTCGCATAGCGAGCAAATTTACTGCCCAGAGCTCGGCGAAGAAGACCGCTAGAAGACTAATGAGGATGGCGTGGCCCCACATTCGCAGGTAGTTAGGATCCTCGGTCTCTGTCATCTCCACTAAATACGAATGGCTGTTGTGCACATGCAGCCAGTCATTCAGGAAACGGCTCTTCGCTTCCACGGTCAGATAGGTGCTCACAGAGGCGCCAATGCCGATTAAGCACACACTAAGTCCGATCTTCCGCATCATCATCACCTCCTCCACGGCGTATGTGATACCTCAAAAGATTGGATATGTGATGCAGATAGATACTGACTACAGCAACACTTCAACTTGTGAATTTCGAGAAACGATCGGTACTCGAATCTACCTTCGACTGAAAAAATTGCGTTATAGTAGATAGCGATAGCACACTACAACCACAAGCACAAGTTGTCTTCAAAAATAAAAAGCTTTCTTCTGTCCGTGTACCTGCCAGCGGTGCCTCGAAAGCAGCTGCGAGCCCACTTGTTATCCCCACTAGGACCCAAGTCGCAAGATCCTCCCATCGCATGAAGTGGCCAAAGTATTGCATAAAAAGTCCCAGACTAGCGCTTGCGCATACGGCACATATATGCAAGATCGGTGCCTCCATACCCAACCTGAGGCCGTGTGGATAATTCACATTGATTTTTTGATTCAAATCTAATTAAAAGTCCAAGTCACATGAATGAGCGCCATTGGGTTATCAATAAGACATGATCATCCGGATGGCCAGCACAGCTAAATGAACGACATAAACCACAGGTACTGCATCAACATCGCAAAAATTCTTTTTAGTTTTAGAAATTATTATTTCAATAAATATTATAACTACACGAGTCCTTCTGCTTGTGAAACAACTTGTTCTCATGAGAGACAAAAGTCAAAATCTACAATAGCAATAGAGAGTACGGATTTCCCATGCCGATGTAAATGCCGGAGAGGAAGATACGGGCGAAGGCAATGCGGAGTTGGATGGGACTAGCTATGGCCATGGAGATTCGTGCAGCATCGGTTCCCGCTCCGCTACACTCCGGAATGCTTGTTCTCACGAAGTAGTTGCATACGGCAGTGCTAAGGGCGCAGCCGATGATCATCTGCGCGCAGAAGACGAGCTTTTTACCTAAGTAATCGTCCGCCTTGTCGCCGTCTTCTGTTTTCAACTCGTCATCGCCGAATATGAGGGCTTTCAGCCATTTAGCGAAATACTTGCTCCACAAGTCTGCGATCTTATGCTCCACAACGTCAAAAAGAAGGATCATGCAGGTCGCGAAGAAGCCGACGCAGACTGTCAAGCTGAATATGACCACTAGAAACTGCGATCGCATGGCCGTTTTCTGCTTTCCAATAAGAAAATCGAAACTGCGCCCTTTCTGCGCCACTTGCTTCTGCTGCTGTGCGCGAGTACTCGACGTAGCCTTGGCTACTTCGGCACGCTCCCAACTATAGCCCCTCATCTTCTCAAACCACTCTGGACTTCCTTCTCGGTCTGAGGCGCCGATCCAGGCCAGCCCCCTCGCCATCCCTGAGGCATTTTGGGCCAAGCCGGCTAGATCTGCTGGGTCCATGCGGCTAGCCCGACTCCCAAGACTATAGGAGGATCCCATGCTGCTTAGTGAACTTCTTCTGCGGGCCGTCGATACGCTGGCGTCTCCGCTGTCAGCAGACCGCAGGCCGAGACGCCGAAGACAAGAGTCGCAACAGCGACCGCCTCTTCGTGCACCGGTACTACTGCTACTTATGCCTTTTCCAAACTGAGAACCGTCGCTCTTTCGGCTGAAGGGTATGTCCTCGTCCGAGTAGTCGTCTCCTGAGCCTTGTTTGTTGGAGCCAACAGCGGACCAATCGGCTCCCTCTAGTAGATCTCCTCCAGGCTCGCCTGGTGCCTCTCCCCCGGACCCTGTCAGGCTCATACTGGAGACCGCACGTTTGAACCGTACCCTTAGTTCGCCTTTCCAGTCCCTCTCCCCGTCCTCTCCTTCCCGATCATGATCCCCTGTAGTTGTACCATCGAGACCGACATCTAGAGGCAGCGCGCCGCTGGTCGCCGACCGTCCGAAAGAGCGTCTGCTAGACATAGCGCTTCCTCCTGCTGGGTTGTTCATACCTGCGGTAGGACTCTCAGGACCCATGCTGGGTGAGTCTATCCTGGTTCCGGTCACTGACCCCGGTCGACCAGCTAACAAAGAAGGCGGAGCAGTGTCCGATCGACGTAGAGCAGCTACTGGAGCCCTGTTGCTCGCAGCTTCCTCCAATCTGATCGAATCGCCGCCGGTGGATGAAGCTCCACCATCTGCACGGTGCCGACCTTCTACTCCTCCCTCTAATTGCAGCCTATGCATATCTTCATTTAGTCCATATGAATACGTGGATGGACTAGATCCTACTCCCTCCTGTAGCCGTTCTTTCAAGAATTCACTTGGGGAGTAAAGGGATCCCGCTCGCTTCGGAGGGGAAGCCAGAGGCACGAGCCACGCTGCCGCGTCAAGCTCACAGAATTCATCGTCATCCACCTGCCCAGATAGGTCCATATCGCTACTCATCCACGAACCGTCTAACGGGAGCACTTCACTCCAGGCTTGTACCATTCTTGAACCATCATTTTCTTGAGGAGCTGCTCTCGCTGCTCTCGTTCTCCCTGGTGGAGGCTGCTGCGGTCCGTCCCCAGCCGCGACCATAGTACTTTCTACTTCATAATCTCTAATATTTCTGCTCCTTTTCCTTGCTCCAGCAGACCCTGAGGATAAACCACGACCTTCAACATCTTTTGAAGAGGAAGAAAACGCTTCTGCATCTTCATCCGACTCCAAGAAATTATTACAATTCGACGAGGATTGAAGATGGTCTTGATAATCTGCCTCATCGTCACTACAGAAGTCATCGCTTCCCAGGTTTCCATCTAGATCTCCTCCAGAGCTATCAGGCCGCCGTCTTGAGGAGTCTGATAACCTCCTAAGTCTCGACCGCACTCGATCTTGCTCCATCTTCTCTTCCTTCGCGGCCCCGTAATGTAAGTAGAAACTTCGTTCTGCGCGACTTCAGAGCACCAGAATTATGAACCAGCCCTGGCCCTGCCTGCCAGTCAATAAACTTGAGCAGGTGCCAGTTGTAGTATCTAGTTCCAGAAAGAGGCTTCAAAAAGGCTAGTAGAGGCAGAGCGGAGGGCATCAAATACAGCTAGAAGATGATCAGGCTGCAGCCGGTTGTGCGTAGTATACGAAGAGCAGATATCCACATGCAGGACTATTGTACGACTACAAATCCACTTCTCTCGTCAACTGCAGATCGACGGCTGCTTTCCTCTCTGCGATTCCGGGAAATCAGTAATCGAAAGCCAGGAACGAAGGAACGCGCAACTAGTGTAAAAAACAAATTCTCAAGTTCTTTCAACAAAACAAACAGAGTGAGAATACGCGTACCCAGTCAAAGGCAAAACTTATCAATCAAATGTAACAAAACAACTACAGGTTGAGCAAAACAAGAAAATCCAAAACAGATGAATACATTGAATAAAGAATGTATCATACAGAATCAGGAATCAGCATGAATAGGCGCCACTTTTAAAGTGAACAGGGCGGATCTTCTTCGCCACCCTAGCATATATCTTGATAATCCAGCACCAACTCTTGTAGTGTACTAGTTGATCCACAACGCGAACCAGGCACCTAGCGTTTTCTTTCGAATTTCACAATGTCCTATGCACAAGAAGAAATAGATATAGAAGATGAGTCACCAAGTATAATTGAGTGCTGAGGTTTGTTCGCCATACATTAAGATTGATTTATGCCTACGGGTACGAAAAGGATTAATTTTGAGTGAGGTAAATGGGCATCCAAAAGCTATTGTAGCAGCATGGGGAAGGACAGGTCCTGCATTGTTGTTGAAAGAAAACAACTATAGGACACAAAGTAAAAACATGCTAAGTGTATGTAAGGAAGTAGCTACTTACATCAAGACCACTTTGGCTATAGACTGATGGCCCGGAATGTAGCGAAAATCGCTCACCCTCTGTCGCGCTTTATCGTATACCGGGCAGAGTGATACACCAGACACAATCATCCTCAGACAGAACCTCTATGCGTTGAGAACGCTACTCCTCCTGTACTCAACATCCATAAAGCGGAGCACCTACTCACTACAGAGATTACTCTCATCATTCTCTCAGACAGAATTGCCCTTCCAGTTATCTCATCATCCTCGTAATAGTTTCATCGACAGGAGACGGAAGGCGCGCACGCTCATTTTCTATGTGAAGATTCGGATTCCGATTCGCCTCTTTGTCCTCTAACTCGTTTTCTCTCACTCGCGTAGAACACCACGACGACCTCAATGTCGATTATTCCTTATATATACAACTGCTTTTTTCTTATGGAACTGGAGCTGAGGTTTTCTACGTGGTTAGTGCTACATTCAACTTAGCATTGTGACGATCGTTAGATGTAGCGGAGGAGGAGGATGCTAAACTTCAGGGGAAGACTTCATCAGTTCACTCGCGAACGATATGCAATGTTTGGTGTCGGTTCTGGGCTTGTAAGCTTTTATTGGTTCATTAGGATTGATCATCTTGCAGAAGCAGCTCTGAGATCGTTGGATGTGCGTGAATTATTGAAGTGCTACGCTTTCTTGAGTCCTCCACTCTTAAGTTCTAGGATTGCTTGCCATGGCCACCAAGCGTCTTCCCTGGACCATGTTATTCGTCGAAATTCTCTAACTATCTCTATCTGGGTTATTTGCTCTCCTTATCATCATGGCGTCTCAAATGGTCACTCTCTACCATCAGCAAGACCGAACAGTTCCTGATAGGATCCCGAAGGATGTTAAGAGGTAGAGGAAGCGCACAGCCTACTATAAGTTTTAGTAGTTTTACTAGTAGCTGTAGTTGTCCAACTTTCCACCACCACCTATCGCCCCAAGAGAGTTCCAGGAAAGTCCAACACTGAAGTAATTAGTTTCAATTGAAAGCGAATCTATCATCGTCAAATTTCAGTTCATATTCCGATTATGACATCTCCCAATCGTAACAAAGTTCGTTTTGCAATTCGGGTACAACTTCAATCACACTGATCATCAGACTGATCACAATTACTCCATACCCTTGGTTTCTCTCGAGAGGGTTCGGATGATGAGCCCAGCTTTTTTCTGGTCTTCCTTGTGATACAGGAAGACAATGGTAAAAATCACCAGGGACGCGGGGACGAGCAAGCAACTGGCGTAATAGGGCAAGGCCATCCAAATAAACCGCTCATAATCGTTGTGCTTGAAGTTCCTGAAAGAAAACAAGTGAGCCAGATTTAGTCAGTTTTAGACCAGCAAAATCAGCAAAAACCAACATGAATATCTATCACGATGAAGAAAGCAGTACCTGACAGGCGCCAAGTCTTCGACGTGCAATGTGTTGTATCCCAAGCGGGCGTAGTGAATGCGAAATTTGAAAACGCCGTAGACGTCTGGGGATTTAAAAGTCTTGGAGTAAGTGATGCTCTTGCCATCATTCGCAGGAGGATCCAAGAAAGTCCGGATGTAGGGGTCTAACATAACTTAGTAGTGGTCACCCTGATCCATCTCGAAGTCCATCCTGAGACTGTTTTCAACTTCGGTGGAACCGTTTTCAACTTCAAACAAAATAAAAACGTCTCGCACTTTAGGATGGATCATGCTTGCAAAGAATAAAAAAGATTTGAGATGGATTAGGTTTAGGGGAAGCCTTAAATCACGAATTCCATCTGCACGTCGTCCCGAATGAAGGGAACCCATTGCTGGTCCTTCCACTCCTCGATATCGATTTTGAAGGTTATGTGATCCATCATTCGGTACATATACGGCTGCACATCTTCTCCCACCTTGTGCGATCGCAACGATGACATGCGTAAAACACCTGTGTGATCTCTCTGATGAGAATGAGTGAATGGGAGTGAAAGATGGTGATCAGAGTGAATGATCTCGATCATCCTCTTCGAACAATACATCCAAGTACAGTGGCATCAATATGAGCATGATACTAGATTGTGACAACATAAGACAAGAAATACGCGCTCCAAAAAAAAACTGAGTAAGTAGAGCTACCTTTTTCTCGGAATGTCCATTTGGCGAGCTCGGTGCAAAACGCGTCGTTCTCAGCATTTGCGGTGAAAAATTCATTTGAGCATAGGTTGTGCGAACCCGCGAAAACCGTACGTGCCTGAGGTTTTACCATGATAGATGCACGGTAAATTTAGTTGTACAAATACGCAGTGCCGAGCGGAAGAAGAAAGTAGTAGCACAAGACCTCCACGGGTGCTACTCCTACAACAATATCTTGACAACAAGAAAATGGCCCAACTATCTACATCGCGATGAGCACGTCTTCATTTTCGAACAATTACAATACAACTTGACAGTATTGAATAATAGTACAGAGTTGCGAGCCTGCATTGCAGAGACGAGTGCGACATTCTCGCCGTGTGCGACAGCCCCTACTTCTCCCTCTGCGTCCTTCTTTTTGTTCTGAACGAAAGCTGTCGGTGACCCAGACAAGACATTGAACGTAAGCTCAGAACCGCCAGCCACAAGAGGTAGACCCTCAAACAAAATGCTCTTACCTGTGAAGATACATTAGACTCACATAGAAAATGGTAAGTAGTTGTAGGTAAGTCCTAGCGACTGCTAGATCGACTGTTCTTATTATCCATTTGTCGGGGCACGAATACGAAGGTGAATGAAAAAAGATGAAGGTCACTCGAAGTTCGGGTGATTGATTGGAGTTTTCTTCAAGAAGATTATAAATTCGAAGAAACCAGCAACATCAATTACTAATACACATCAGATAAGAATTACATAGAAGGTGGTAGTAGTCGTAGGTCAATGGAAAGGCTTCATCCGAAGAAAGAATCAGCACGGACGAGAACAAGAGTAGGAACAAATGAAATAAGGCAAGAGATATCTAGAACAGATAATAGAATTAGATTGTTTACACCGAGGTAACCAATCTTGGTTTGCGGTCGGGCTGTGCCGGCGCAGGTACGGAACTTGTATCTACGAGAAAGGAACTTAATAAGACACGCGAGGGCCCCAGATGAAGAGAGAATGGCACTACATGAAGGAAAAACGGATATAGAGGAGAGAAAGGTCGCGCAGCCACCACTCATCCACAGAAAGAATATCGGGTCACTCCATAAAAGAATATGAAATAGGAACAGACGGAGACTCATGACAGATGAGAGGAACACACGATCGCTCAATGCAAAGGAAGAGGTCTCGATTAACAGAGGGAGAGGAACAGAGAGGATGCACGAGCATGATAAACTCACACAGCTGAGATCGCTCCACGGACTCAACGCTCAGACAGAAGTTGTCAAATTGTGGCCACTCAGTTATCAAATCGTTGTTTTTTAGGCACTATAGGACAATTTTGGTTAACGGAAGTGATCTCTCAGATTTTAGTCAATGCTTAAGTTAGGCTTTTGGACACTTTAGTAAAAACATTTATTTGTCCTCGGCAGGCATTATATATTCATAAATTCGAAGAAAGAAATAACTTACTTACCTGCTTCCACCACTACGCCCGACTCCCTCCGTGTTTCGGCTAAAATAGCTGGCGACTTTCGGCCGAGAGCACCCTCCGCTGCGGACTGGGAGAAGTGGTCTACGATTTGCGCTGTTTCCTTGTGGAAATCCACGCCACACTCATTGGCGAACTTCCGCATATCCCGAGTCGGCTTCTCAGCAAAGGTAAGCACATTACCGCCTGCGTCAACAAATTTCAATAATTCCGACAAAGAGAGCTTCAGGGACCTGTCGGCCCCTTTCACGCGCTCTCGCGCCTCAGCCTCAATATCGGCTTGCGTCGTCTTGTAGCCGCCCTGAAGTAGAAAGGGTTTTAGTTCTTTAATAAATCAAAAATCAATCTTCCCTGCATGTACAACATGCTACAGACGGCTATGGAAAGTTGAACTGATCCTCCAGTACATCACTGCGGAAAGTAATAGTACCGATCTGACGGCAGTGCTCGGAAACGACGCACCCTCTGGAAAGAGCAAAACATGGTCGTAAGCCCGCTCCCCGTACAAAAACAAAGTGGTAGTCTTCTGACTCAAGGGCACGTAAGCTAGCTCGTGCCCACGATTTGTCAAGCCCTTGAGAAATTCACTGTGCGTTTTCTGAACCTCTTCTGGGTTCTTGGCGAGTACCAGCGTACGCGGAGTCGTGTACACGGGTGGCAAGTCTCAAATTAGAACGATTGACGCTCTCCTAAGTACTTAATCGGAACTGAGATCAATTATAGCTCCGTCCATCCCAGCTACTAAGTAATGTGCAACCATCCTCCGATCGACTCTGAATAGTGTGTTTGTTCTGAACAATCTTCATGGATCTACTTTCAGTACTTATAATATTAAATATTTCATCACAGGTCAACAGAAACATTGGAAGAGAAGGTCATGATTGTATGCAGATCCAGTGTTATCATAATGCGAAGAACACGTGTTTGTCTACGACCGCCTCCACACCAACAATCGAGAACGTAAAGAAGCACGTGAGTGCAATGAGCGCTGACACTGCCACGCTTGCACCCAGTGCGAGAGCCATGGGAGACTTGTCGTTCAACACTCTTCGCCATGCTCTGTCTCCGGACTTAGCTTTGGTCGATGCCGCTCCTGCATGTTTGTTCGCTGCTACCTCAGGAGGCTGCGTGTGCGTTGCCGCGTCCTTGGTATGTCGTCGGTCTGCTGCAACTCGCTTCGCCTCCAGCGCCGCACTTTGCACAGCAGGTCGTGTAGGCTTTCCACTCGCTCTTTTGTGCACACCAGCATGATCAGACGATCGATGCTGGTGACCATTTGGGGCATCAGCACCCGTCATCCTTATGATTTTTTGTCAACAAAGAAAAAGCCGGAAGGTTCTTTGAATAAGGATCAAGTTTCTCAACTACATAAATTTAAGGATAAGAAAAAGATGAGGAGGAACATCTATATCTTCTTGTAACTTGCTAGTACGTTCAGTCACTCCGCTTGTCTTCTCGGATGCTGATAATCCAAACGGCGCTCGTTGTGGACAGGACATGCAAGCGGATGATCATGAAAGAAAACAGGAGATCAGATACATAGGGATCCTGAACAGCATAAAACCTCGTCTAATAGAGCCAGCACGATGCATTGCAGTCGCGAATATCATGTGTAACCACGCTCAGCTGTGTCAAGCATAGCCACCAGCTTCTACTTCAGACACCGATGCATGGATCCGGTGGCCTCCTCGTCGGTGGCTTCCCCTTCCTTAGGTTGGATCCCGTTCTACAACACTCTCGCTGTGTGATTTGTACAGCAGCACGCATCATGCTTGTGCCATTTATGTATCAAGCCACCGGTAGATATTATATCGCCATACCACAAAAGAAGAGTCACCAGCAAAGAGCGGTATAATCATATGCTCTCCTTGCATAGCTTCCGAATTCTGCACATGGAGCCACGCCTCAGTGTCATAAACATAATCATTTTCGCTTGACACCCCTAAGTTTGAATTGCGGAAGAAAACCGTTATCTCCATCAACCAAGATCATTATTTTTCGAAGGCGCATCAAGTGTTGCAATCAACCCAAATCATCTTCAAAGAACAACCAAGATTGGTCAGTACATCGATCAGTACCATCTTCTTCAGCAGTTTCCTAATATGTGTACAGCGTATTCTCGAAAATCTGAATGCAGCTTGTTGCTGTTGAAAAAGCTCTCCACTAGATGATTTCGCGTGCTCTGCGAGCCTCCACTGACTTCCGCCTCAAGTTCCCCTCGTACCGTTCTGCCCACGCTTCCCGTAGCCGGTAGAGATCTAGCTGTTTCGTCATCTCTAGGTATTTCAGTCGTCTGCGGTGCAGCCATCGACTGGTACTAGTGATGTAGGGACTCCACTGCCGGTGCATCTCCGGCCCAACACGGCCTTCATACAGTGCTAGACGCATATCAGTAGTGAGGGTGGTCGGGACTTTGCCAATGACGTAGGCTTTTTGAAAAAACTCCTCTAGCGTCATCTCCCGGATTCCGACTTTGATGTGATTACGGGGTGATCGGACTATACCAATCTGAGAGGTTCTTGAAAGACACATACCAGATGAAGATGAAAATATTTGCCATATTACCTATACTAGCAATCTCAACAATTTATCTTTATGATGATACGAATCTACTCGGCTATCTGCCTAAGATTTCCCTAACAATTTATCTTTATATCGAAGAGGAAGTACTACATGTACATCTTCTGTGATGTATTTCATCTTCTTCATCAAAGACGGAAGAAGCAACTTCTACCTAGATGTTAACTCCACAGCATCTCATCGATTAGATGTTAACAGCACATCGAAGATGATAAGTACTTTTGCTTTGGAATGAAAGCGCAGCGACTTGACATAGCGCCCACGCAGTGACTGGAACCGTTGAATGACGAGACGGGCGGGATCCTTTTTGTGAATGTTGACCAAGTTGTCGCGTGCGTTTCGGAGGCATTCCACTACAGGGTCCGTGTAGGGTCGAGCCAAGGATTCTAAGAAATCGATGCCGTCTTGCAGGTTCCTATGCATAATGGGCCTTCCGCACTCCCACACTAGCCGCTTTAGACTCACCCGCACCTCTCGCTTTCGAAAAACGCAAATGAAGAAAAACTTTTCTACTTCTAGATAAAGACCACAAAATTTCAAACAGTTTCCTTCCTAGTAAACGGCGCCATAGTTGTGTCTGTGAGTGTGTCTGTGTGTGTGAACCATGAGACTACCAATGAAAGTCACTTTGTTCATCACCCGGAGAAAAAACGAAATATGAACAACGAGCGGATACATTAAATCTCATAATGTAGAGGTAGTCCGCCGCTGTGCTATTTTCCACCTGCTTCTGGTTACGTTCGTAATCGACGTATCTGGGTTTTAGATTTCTGGAGGCCTTGAGTTGTCGCCTCCACGCGTAGACCCGTCTTCGACGTGTTGGAAACCAGTTTGCTCTCCTAAAGTAGTAGCCCCTTCTCTGCTCCAAGAAACAACTAAAACCACTCATCACCATATGATCACCACCAAGTTGTAGAAGCTTGTTGTGATGATGACTCGTCACAACCGGTGTACTGCAACTTCCATTCAACCGAGAGAACGATGGTGAACAACAGCTAGAATGTTGCTTTTGGCCTCCTCGTACCACTGAAGCATTGGATCTAGGGAATGTTGAAGGTTGTGACGGAGAAGAGGGGAAGCTCTGCTGTGCCAACAGCGCCAAGTAGTTCCTAGCCGACGACCCCGAGCCTGGCTGGGGGAGACACCCAACAACAGACGGCAACTTCATTCTTTTCCTTATTGTAAAATAAATCGCTCTAAAGTATCTATCGTACACATTCCCGAAAACAGAGATCTAGCTCTCTCTCAAGAAACTCACCAGAATCCACGGCCATCTCAATCTCTCAAGCAAAAACTTTCCAAATATGTGTAATCTCAGCAGGTGTATGTGGCAACCGCAAACCACGTTGATGATCTTGCGTGAGTTCCCCTCGTCACGAACACGATGCTTATGCAGGCCGCCTTTTCGCGTTCGCTTGTTTTCCATAGAACTTGGCCAAAACGAAGGCAAGGCGTTTGCGGGAGGGTCTCTAAAGATGTTGTAGCGACTTCGTGAAACTAAGCGCATATCGACAAAACTATCATGATATAGCATTTATTCTTCCACATCATCAAACAAGAAGCCCCTCAACCAAGGTACAAGCATAATATAAAAAGGCAGGATGACAACTCATCCTTTGTTGTTCGACTTGTAATTACATTGACAGGCTGAGTACTGTAAGTTGCGATTTCACGACTCAAGCATACGCGAACGAAGTACAACATTGTAGACAAAACCGGAGGAGCACGTTGTAGATAAATATTGTAGATGACTATCAATATGATCCTATTCTCCGCGTGTGTAGGTTGGATTGCTTGTTCCGGTCACCGGCGTGGAGTTTCGGACACACACAAAGAAGCGCGCATGATATCTGCTACTGCGGGCTCCGTACTTGTCGTTGACGTAACCACAGTCCCGGAGGATGCTCTCCTCTTTTACATCGAAGTATTGACGTATGATTGGAAGCAAATCCGTGTACGAAAGCTCGATGCTGTGCTCGTCCGGTGATTCCGCAAAATGGTACAGCAGAGGGCCTAGGTTACCCCACATTCCCCCACGCGGGATAATCAGGGCCAAGGTTCGAATATACTGGATCACATTGCGGGCCGTGTCCAAGAAAAAACACGTCAACACAGCGTGCCTAAAAATAATATTTGTGGTTAGGGGTAAGTAAAGCAACGGTAGTCTCACATATTAATTTGCGACTGGCCATTGGCTTAGTTTTATGTAGACACTTATCAAACCACTTTACCGAAGGTAGAGCAGTTAGAGAGAGTAGCTGTTAAGAACCCACGAAAAATGAATATACTTAAAACATAGCCGTACCATCTCTCAGGCTGTCTGCGATAAATCTCCACGAACTCACCGGCTGCCATTCCGAACTGGATATTAGGATTGCGTCCTGGTTTCGCGAGTTCCACACCTGGACACACATCTGGAAACTGCACTCTTCGAAGTCGGGCGCTGTGATTTATTCATATCAATATTATTTCCAGTTGTAACTAAAAACAACATGATTATCGGACATACGTAAACGAAGAGACTCTAATCACTCGAGGGTTCATTTTCCAAGTTGTAGTATATCAGGAAAAGTTAACATAGTGAAAGCCGATAAAGTGCACGAGCAAAGAAGGCAATTATCATGAGCGGAAGTTTGTAAGGGTACCCATTTCTCACTTGGTCGCCGTACGTGGTTGCGAATGGATACACAATTTCGCACTCGGTCTCACTGGTCGAATTCAGGATGTAGTCGGATACCAGAAGCATATGATAGGAAAACTCGTTGCCCTGGCCAGAATAGCCCATGTTTACGACCTGGCACAATGAATGAGGAAGCGAATTCTTTCCAGTTGGTTTTATTCATCAAACAAACTATACGATGGATGCAAGACAGCCTGAGGCTAAGCGATTTCCTTGTTTCGGTTGTAAACTGAGAGAAGGAGCTGCGAAACCGTAATCAAGACCTATAAACTAAACTACTAGAACAAGCCACCAGTGGGCCAAAGCAAGGGGTGCACTAAGATATATACGAAAGAGGGAAGGAGATGAGAGAAAGAAAGCCAGAACGGGTGGAAAACTGACCATCACCAGAAAAAAAAAGATAGAAGGGGAGGGCGAGGCCTCCTGGACCAGCGAATGGCAAAGCCATCCAGACAACCAAGGCGACGCGTGAGCTTTAGCGCCCATGCCCAGAGCAATGCCGCAGCGCTTGCTCTCTTGCGAGATTTCCTTAACCTCCACGCCCCGACTTCCGTCGAACCACTTCGGCGCCCCTCCAGCAGCTGCAGCTCATTGTGACCGCACAGACAGCCAAAGACCCACCCGCCCCTCGGCCGACTACTTGCCGGCCCAGTTTAGCTACGGAGCAAGTTCGACGGATTGCGGCCAGGGTTTGCTCTAGCCGAGGCCCTCCGGATCCGGAGAGCAGTAAGCCGCGCCCGCTCCTATGACGAATTTCGCCTGCCCCTCATCATTCCACAAAGCACACAGAGAGCGGGGCAGCGACTACCACGAGCCACACCCCCCCGTGCAAAGCGCGTGAGTTTGTGGCAGGTCTTGCATTCACTGCAGTCCTGAGTCTGGGCGACGGCGCCGGCTGCTTTCTTTGCCCGTCCCTGTTCTTTCAACGCAGCCCGTAGCAGTCCCTTTGGGGGGATACCTCCTCAACAAGTGCCGACGATGTTGGGCGCCATGATAGATTTGGGGGAGCTGATGGCCTTGCCTCTTGCAATGCGGTGGCGTCGGCGTTGCAGCTCGTAGATGTCCGCACCAATATAAGTGGCACGAAGGTGCAAGCTAAGAAGGCGCCGCCCCTTCTTTTGCATCTCACGGAAATACCTGGCCGCGCACTGCGGAAAGCCGTTGAGGGTTTTGTCTGCACTGAGTAGCGTCAGCGCTCTCTATTCGTCAGGCCTGTAAGCTCCCGAAAAATTTGGCGCCAAATGTTCGCCAATTGCTTGCAGCCTACTGACAGCAGTACAGTACGCGCAGCACTCTCCCGCATCTTGCGTTTTTTGGTGAAATGGGCTGGCCCTTTCTGCGAAGTGCTACTGCTTTGCGCCTCGTGTGAAAAAAGCCACAGCCTCACTTCAGCGCAGATGGTGGGAGCGTTCTCTTTCGAAGAGGGTGCGCCAGCTAATCATACGGGGGCTCTTGGGGTGCAAGTAATGCTCTGCCATTGTTTTGGCGTATAGAAGAGGGTCAGCGCATGACTATCGGACTAGTGAACCAAGATAAGCGCGCTTACCTCAAAGAGAAGTCTGCCCAGCCCGCTTCCCGGCACGAGGACGTCAAACGGAGGACGCCCCCCGCTTTTCATCTCCTCCGTCAGAGGTAGGTATCGCTGAAGTGCATCCAAGAGTGGTCGGTAGCTCTTTTCCCGCTCTTCCCGTCCCTCTGCTGACCAGTCTCTTACGATTTGCCGCAAGGTTGACGAGGTTTTTGACATGTTCTCTGGCTTTACTCTATGCGCATCCGGTACTCCTACATCGCAGAAATTTTGTGGCAGGTCAGGACGCTCTCGCAGCACTTGCTCAAAAAATACAGTGTTCCACTCTATTGCGCATTTCGTATTTTCTTCATGCACTAGTGCTTTACGCGTCTCTGCGAGTGCGCGCGGCCAATCATGCTTTTCGCTCCTTTGACTGCCTGACGACGACGTGGCACCACCAGCACTCGTGACGCCAGTCAGAAGTTTTTCCGCTACTGCACAACCGTCATCCGGCGAAATGTTTCTAGCACTATCTGATACATCCACATCCGCGCCTCCAACAGCCGACGTTGAACTATGAAGAAAGGGATCACTGTCGATATCAAGCCGGCCAGCAGTTGTACTGTTTTTACAGCCTGAAGACGTAGATATAGATGGCGCAGCACTATCAGGAGGATCGTCCTTGCTTACTGACCCGTCACTGTTGACCTGTAACAATAAGTAGTCTGGTTTCCTCGACTCGACCAGTAGCGATCGTTCTTCCGGACCTATGAAATTATCAAAAACCTGCATGATATTCTCCTGTAGATCGTTGAGGCATGACTGCTCATACGCTAGCATGGAATAGCAGACATCTAAAAAGTGCTTCCTTTCGCCCACGTCACCTTGGTCATCAAACTTCCAAAAATCCTCAAGAGCATAAGCCGGATCGTATTGAGGCCAGGGTCGTCTTCTTACTTGCTCTTGTTCTGCAGCTGGAAACCCACATAAAATGTCCGAACTGGAAGCTGCAGCCTGCTCAACATGTGATGCATCATAGAGGCCGCCAAGCGGAGGACAAAAATCGCCGTGTTGTGGCTGGCCGTTGGACGCCCCGCCCTGGTCGTTGTGTCTTGAGCTACCACTTCGAGAAGTAAAATGGTCACCAGAGGACGAATCAGCAGCAGCAGAAGCAGGAACGTCTCCCTCTTCTATTTCCCTTCGTTGTACCACAGCAGCTTTGTCGAGATCTTCGTTTCTGCTGGCGTCGTTTCTCCCCCACGGTGAGTACTTACCCAAACCTGCCATTTTCTCCCGCAAAAGCGTTGGAAGGTTCGCCAAGAATCTGGGCGAGAGCCTGCTCACTCCTCGGCCTCCACCACCAGCGTTTTCTGCAGCGGTATGGTTTTCTGCACTCTCTCCTTGTGTATTTGGTATCTGGAGTCCTCTATCACTGCCGTGCAAGGATTGAGCGGGAGCGTCACTTTCCCTCAGGGAATCAGATCCAGAAGAAATGGAAGTCATCCTTGTGGTGCCATCATTTCAAGGGTCATCAACATCAATAAACATCGATAGTACATTTTACATCAATAGCGAAACATAACCACATCAAATTACTTAGATCAATCATGATAAAAGCCCAACGATATGGTACCGCATAAACAAGTAGTTGTCTATGCGATGACGCCGAAAAGGCGCCAAGTAAATGTAACACATATGAGGGTACTATTTGTCGCCTGCGCCCATTAACAACCATTACCAAATAGGGTGATTTGAAACTGCGAGAGCGAGGGAGGTCAAGAATGGTAACCTCAAAAATGAAAAACAAACAAAGTAGTTGTGTCAATGTTGTACCGATTGCACGCCTTATTTTCTTCATGTCAATTTGTAACTTCCAGTGTCCGAGGTCATAGTTCCTCATACAGAAGACATACTCCTATGATCAACACGCGTGCTCACAAGAGTCGAAGTTGAGGAGGCGAGGCAGCAACTTGGAACCTGCAATTTCACAATCAGGACACTCAGACACCTAGTTGTATTGACCACTGTGATCTTGTCTGTGATCATATCTGTGATCATGCGTTAATATAATCGACTGTGCATCGGCATCATGCGAACACGTTTCTATCTTTCTTAGAAGAAACTTGAAATGTCGGAAGAATATTCGCGAGCAACGAAAAAATGCGTGTCGTGTTTGTCATGCCTACGAATAGTAAAAAAAACGAAGCGCTGTTCGTAGTTGGGTCGTATGATGTCGTTAGATTGTCCTATGATGTCGTCAAGGAGCACGGGTGTGCACTTTGCGTTTGGTTACCTCAGTTTGGGAATATCAACATTTTCTTCCACTAGAAGTTGTATCATCTTCACCATGAAGGAGATATCGTTTTCGATGATCGATCATCTAGTCATCTTCCCTGAAGAACCTGAACTTCGCACCTTCAATAACGGTATCTTCCATAGTACGTCATTCTTCCCTTCGATGCCGCGCGTGAACCGTACAAGACACTTATGAGTGATTGTCTTGTTGCCGCACGCAACGCATGAAGAAGAAATTAAGAAGCAACATTTAGAGGTTTTTCAAATCGTCAAACTTGACATCCTTTTCTTTCTTGTCTTTGTCCTCCTCATGCAGGTCCTTGATGCGGACTTCGCCCTTCTCCCACTCACCCGGCGCGACTAGTGCAACATACTGCGCGCCAACTCTGTCCGCATAGCTGAACGCATTGCCGATTTTCTTGGCCACTTGTTGGTAGAAAAGAACGGTTTTACCGGCTTTTCGGAGCTCGCGCGCAACAGACATAGCTGGTCCCATCATGTCCTTGTTGAAGGCGCAAACCTGAAGGGAGAGGCAACAAAATAAAGTTTATTCCAACATGCTTGTTATTAGCTAGAGATCATAGCAGAAACGGAAGTCACTGATGAACGGATGCAATTGCAAAGTAGAAACTTTTCTAACTATCTAAGTTGTACAAGGTATTCCGTTTGCTGTCCGATTTTCGGTAGGAGGCCTCTTTCTTTGAGGAGTTCCATGATAACGCAATCGCCGAAACCGAACCCGACCATCGGGATGGGTTTGGTTGCGCCGTAGAGCGACAAAAGCCTATCGTAACGACCGCCACCGCAGATCGCACGGAACTCACCCTTGCGGTCGTTGGCCTCAAACACTATACCCGTGTAGTACGCCAAACCCCGAACAACCGAAGCGTCGAACACCAGCCTGATTTGCAGAGAAGGGAAGGGGATTGGTACGATTTGTGCGGGATTGAGAGCAAGCGAGTCGCGAGATGTTCATGGAAAAAGTTAATTAATCTGCAGAGGAACACCAACTTTTTCTTTAAGGGCTTGTTTATCCTCTCACAAGCGGCGGGTGCTTCGTTCTACTCCTGCAACCTTGAGCCAAAATGGCTTCTACGGTTGAGATGTACTACGCACAGAAAAAAAAATTCTTGTTTGATAACAAACTTCCACTTCGGTAGTTAAGTAGCAAGAAATTCTAGAAGCTGTAGTACCAGTCCACCCAGCCGCCGTCCTTGGCGAATGAGAAGAGTTCCTGGAGTTCTCTTACTTCTTCGGATTCGGTCGCCTCTGCGATTTCAGCGAACCTCTCTATCGTTTCTGCGGCAGTGGCATCCACAATTCTGTCGCAGGTATCCGGTGCAAGACCTAGGCACTCATTCAACTGCTTCTTGCACTCAGCAGCGCCGATCTTGTCCTGCTTATCGATAATTACAGTGGCAGCCGCGAATTGCTCGTCAGATACGCCAGCCTTGGCGAGAACGAAACCTAAAAATTGGTTAGTCGAGGTGGAAGTACTAGAAATCAGAAGTTGCGAGGATATTATGCTTGCAGAGGGTATAGTCCGACACTATGCAACGAGCTGACCCGGCAGCAAGGTGCCTAAAGAAGAAAACTCAGGAAGAAAATGTCTCGAATGTCTCAGCAGAGAATCAGTAACAGCATAGTCTATTCTATATAAATGAGTACCTAAAACTTTCCTTGAGTTGACTTTGATCTTGATGTCCTCGCTGGTGAGGCCTACGGACTCGAAGAAGTCTACAACCGCGGCTAGGAGTTCGGCCTCCGCCGTTATGTTTTCCACTCCAATCATGTCCATGTTCCACTGGTAGTGCTCGCGCTTACGGCCTCTCTGCGTGGTCTCGAACCGCCAGCACTGCGGAATGGAATACCATTTCAACGGCAGGATGGCACTCATCTGTCCGGTCTCTTCCCGCATCAGGTTCAAAACCATGCGTGCAAGCGACGGCGTCATTTCGGGTCGTAGCGTTACGCTTGCGCCATCTTTGTCGATGAAATTGTACATCTGCTCCGTAATCTCTTCACCCGCTTTGCGCTCATACAAAGCGACGTTCTCCAAGACAGGAGCATCATATAGCTCGAACCCGAATCTTTTCGCGGTCCCGCTGAACTTATCGAACAACCTTAGTAGTATGTAGAACGAGGATCACCTCCCTGAGAAGTTGTCTTTGAACAAACCTAGGAGATCACGAATTACAAGTAGTTCATGCGAAAGTCATCTTCATCATCTTCATCATCACGTCTCACGTTTACCAACTTCCACAAGATAAATCAGATTATTTGGTCTGCTGCGAGACGAGTTCTTCTACTTAGTTGTGTTCGTGGAAGATCTTGTAGTTTGTGTTAGAACCCAAAAGCAAAAGAAACAATACCATTTCTGTGATCTCATTTCCTCTGGGAAGAAGTCTCGTGTGCCATGCGGTGGCGCGAGATCGATCATTTGCTTCTTTTCGCCCTTCTTATTTTTCTTTCCTGCCTTGGTGTTACCACCTCCAGGTACAGCCCCTACAACTGCGGAGGCTGCAGCGCCGCCTCCGTTCGGCACAGCAGGCTCTCCTCCGGTTTCCGGCATTCTCGCTGTTGATGACGAGGCACGAGTCGATGAGGCGCACGTTGAGAGTCCGATCTGAGTCAAATACTCGACTGAAAGACGCGGTGAAGGACTGCTCATCCAGTGTCTTTTGCAGCTGAACCACTGTCGTTGCGCGGAACCCGCTCTTCCAAATAGTAATAAACACGTAATTCTTCAATGATTCAATCAGATTGAAGATAGATGTTAAAACGGTCACCACGTAGTTGTTGAGAACACAAAAAAAAATCTGCTAGAAGTAGTTTTCAACGTGCTGGTATGATACTAATATTTTGAAAAACAAGAACCTGCATCAGCAAATATTGATTGGAAGATGATCATAACACATTTTACACGATGAGGCAGCTAAACAGAAGTTGAAGTCCATCTTGGTGGAAGAGATCCATTTACTGTTTGCAGACTTCGAGAGATCCTTATGGTATGGATGGTATGGTATGGATCGCCGTTCCTGGCAGATGAATTGGATCTAAACCTGCATCCCTCTCGGATCTTCGTGTATTCTTCAATACTGTGGATCTCGATGATCTCATAGGCATTTTTTATTGCCACTCAGTTTGATCTCGAAGGCGGGTGACCCCTGAAGATTGCTTGGAACTTTTAATGCAAAATAATACGATGTTGACCGGGACTGTCTGAGTGCATCCTGTATCACTAAGTAAAAACATGGTGATCCTCAGACACCTCTCTTTCCACCCGGTGTTTGCTAGTCAGAATGGAATATCAACGCACCGTAGAGTGCTCGAATGCGCCACAAATAGGAGTATTTTCCCCATGGAGAAACTGTGAAGCAGAAAAATGATGTGAATGTGAGCGCACAATGAAGAGTTCTTCTTCTGGTATAGTCTAATTAGAAGTCATCTCGTGTTGAGAAGTCTTGTTTTGTAAGAGTAGTAGAAAAAAATGAAATCAAATGTGCTTATGGATTCCTATCGGCGTAATTGTGATTGTCGAAATCGGAGGTAGAGCAAGTCATTATGTGGCTACAGCAACAACTACACAAATGGAGCCCTATGGAATCTACATGAATCCCTAAAGCTAGTTCTATATTGAATGCAGGGACATGCCTAGGAGTTATGAGGGAAAAAAGTGTTCATCTCCTCTTGGAGGTTTTAGTTGATACATTGGAGTTTCCCGTATGCGCATTTCCAGTATGTGGCGTCGCCGTTGCTTTCACCTCAGCTAGTTTGGAATTTGAACTTCCACTAAAGTCGTCTAAGAGCAAAACGTTTGATATGTCGCGGCCTCCTGTCCCACGCAGACCATCTGTGATCCGAACGGACAAACGCGCTACTGTTGACAGATTAGAGGCGGAGGACTCCGGTTGTGCTGCCCAAGAGATTCTTGTTTCACATCTTCTAAAGGAGAGTGGTCTATTAGTCTTATTTTTTCATGTGTGGAAGTTTTTAAGGGAGAAAGCACGAGATCAACGATCATACAGGACGATGCGTCTGAAGATAAAAATGAATTAGGGTAAAAAGCCTTAAAGAGACCAAACACTAGAAGGCAGAGCCGCTGCTGGTGGTTCAATGGCCACAACGACTCTCCCTCTCCGTCGTGGTCGTGGTCGCGCCAGATTTCCGATATAAAGCGTGTTGTGGCGTGCAAGATGAACATCAGACTCGTTTGATCGCTGCGGAATGCCAAAGCGATATGCCGTCGCTTCCACAGATACAGAAAAACTAGTGCCGAAAGTGTCAGCTCGGGAATTAGACGACGACACACTGAAATAGGTTCTTTTACATAGATTGTTGTAAAAAACTTCTTGGTGATTTAGAAAAATAAGAGATTTTAGTAGACTTTGATGACGCAAAGATATCGATTCATTGACCCAAGGAAATGGAAAATGCAACCAAAAAATAAAAAAGTGCTTACGACGTTGCGTCCTCTGTTCGAGAGCAAGTGGTCTTATGATATAAAAATCATCTGCCAATCTTAAATAAAGTGGCGTCGGATGTACAGGTAGTTTTGTTGGCAGCCGGCCATTCGGGAAGCTCATGGCCATGAACCAATGGGACCGAGGCCCGTAGCAGCCGTCCCCACTCAAAAAGCATCCGATTTTTCCCAGAGTTAAAGGTTGCAATATTACACTCTTCAGAACATCCCTGACTTCTCTTTTACTGGAAAAGGAGCCACGGATGGTAGTGGAGGATGTAAGGTGGGAACCCTTAATAGAGCATGCCCCAGTGGTAAAAGAGGCGCACTAACGTCGAGAACTCTACTTAGCTGCTCGGATGTGTATATCTGATTTCAGTTGAGAGATCAATTTCAATGTAGGCAAGTTAGTGAGCTAAATCACGAGGGTTTACAGCGGCTGCTAGTGCTACTGTGTGCCTTGATGGTGTACTCGGCACTTCAGTGTAAAAACGTGAGGGATGAGGAGGAAACCCAAAAAACAAGATCTCAATTACCATAAAATTGTGAATATTACCTTGACAAATGCTGTGACTATGAGCGTGCCTCCTGCCGCTCCCCCTTGCCATATGAGGCCAGGCGCCCACCAGGCATTCTGATCGTCACTGTCTTGGTGTGCGTAGACATAGTGAAGCTTCGCTCCGAGGAGGCCGCCTATCGTTGCTGCAATCAACAACATACCCGGATCGCATCGCACCTTATGTCAATTATGCAATCGTAGTTATCAGTACTTTCAGTAGTGTACTATCCATTTATGGGGTGTAAAAGACCATCAGTAGCAGTAGTAGTAGTGTACCCAATCATGGGGTATAATTTGAGCAGGTATGGTATGACTACTCTCGCCTCTTATTCGATGCTTATGCGAAGCAGAGGCCATTCATGATGGAATCGATCAAACAACAGAATCGGCGAAAAAATTGATCTAAAGACCTTGTGCGAACTGAACTCCGTAACTGCTACTTCGTGGCACACACAGAAGGCCAGTGCCATACACGCACCGAAACTCTGTACGGATATTCCCACGACTGGTATCGTAAAAAGTATTGGTCTGACCCACGTCACTTCCCACTTTTAGCGCAGGCAAAAATTCATCTTTTGAGGTCATAGATATCCTCAGACAGAAACCAAGGAAAGGAGAAACTGAGAAGAAGTCTATGCGAAGATGAATTAGCATGGGCCTTAACAGTGTGTCGTTGGGTACCATATCGCTTCACTGCACTTTGTTAAGGACACAATCAAAACGCTCGTGAGCACTATGACGTCGAGCCCGAGTTTGCCAGCCTGTTCCGTCGCAAGTAGAAAGGCGTAGATCCCGAAAACAAGGAAGAATTAGAAGAAAAACGTCAAAAGTGTACGAGTACAAGGACATATCAAACGCCTTACTTAAATGCTTGTTGCTCGTGTGAACGTTTTTTGCTCTAGATGATGGGACCAAATATCCTACCCGTGTCGCATCTTGGCATAAACAGAAGAACCACTAGAAAGCAGTGAGTCCTGGTAGATCGATGTACTCTGATTGAAGCCTTAAAAAAAGAAGCTTAGGAAGTCTGCTCGTGTCGCGGCCGGTCCACTCCCTGGCGTCTGGAGGGAGATTACCAACCCAATTACAAAGCCCACGAAGCAGTAGAAGGTGTACTGATTTTGGCATATCCGGACCGTTTCCCCATATACTGTGGAGGCGCTACTCCTGCCATGACTCGAAACAAACGCGGTCAGGGAGTACTTCTTGTCGGAAGCAATGGGGTTAGAAGGTTTCGAGGTAAAAATGGAAAAAGGGATTCTACTTGTTCAGAAGGAGAGTTATACCATTCATAGGAAGCAAACACAGTACCGATTCAAGAGTATCAGAGTCGTTTCAGATGAGCTACTTCTGAACCAAAGTAGCAAAGTGATCTTCTGCTTATTTTAAAATGACATCTGACGAACAACATCCCATAAAACTGGAGCCACCTCCTCCTCCTCTGCTCCCGCCGCCATCGCGCCTTCCTGCGCCGGCAACAGAGTCGCGGTTGCGTACACCCATTTTGCGCCCAGCCTGGAAGACGAGAGCCTCTCACAGCATGAAGGCTAGTTCCTTCTCGGCATACTGTTCGCCCTTCATCTTGCGTCCTAATCGTAATTTCAATGCTAGAATGGACAAGAAAAAAAGCCTTCCACTTGTATGCGTCAAAGCACAAATTCAAGACCTCAAATTTGAAGATGCACTAAAACTAGTAATCAGTAAAAACCCATCAGTGACCCAAAAGAGTTGCGCCATTGTCTCCCCAGGTGTCCTGTCGTGAAGGTAACGCATCATCCGAACGATTTTCCGTATTCCACATAACTGAATTGGGTGATCTATGAGAATATCAACCGGTTAAAGGCTCTTGAACATATTGGTCGACAGGCAAACAACGGCCGCCGTCAGAGATCGCGCTTGTATTAGCCGCCAGCCGACACATCTAAAAAGAAAGGCGCCCCTGTGGTCCACATCACGGAACATGCGATGTCGATAATTGCTTACTCAGTAAAAGCCCGCCTTCGATATCACTTACCATGAAAGTTTAAATCTGCTAGTGCGAGGTCCCCGCAGGCATATCAACCCTTTCATGCACAGCGTGTTTAGCATCACTATCGACACACGGGCTCGCGTCGTCTCCACGCCAGACAGTTGCGTAGTGTCCCTCGGTAACGCGTCTCAAGAAACAAGAAACACAGATGAGACAGATAATCAAACACATAATCAATGTGACGTTTATGGTATATTTTCAACGCTAATTTTCCTGATTTATCTGCTAGTTGTAAGCGGGACAGGTACGACTAGTGGGGACGACCTATTATAGCTTTATTGAATATAAGTTGTGGTTATTTATTAGTTTTCGCTTGGCGGTAACGTCATTATTGTACAGCATGCATTTGAACTTCAATGAAAACCAGGATATTTTCAAGGGAGCGACATTGATCAGTAGTTGTGGATCATCATTTACTCAACCAACTGGGAGATGCAACAAGTAACGCCTAGAATCAGCGCAGAGCCTAAGCCTATTCTAGTTACAACAAGTACTTCCTTCTAAGGAGAACCTGATCTTAAACTTAATAGTAACTATCAATTTCACAATTTATAGTTGGACTGCCTTATCAACACTATCGGAAAAAAACCAACCAGCAGCATTTACCCTAGTTCTTTCAGGAGGTATCTTCACAACCCACTTGAGATACTGGCTCCAGGATGGCCAGCGCTGGAGTCAATGCGGCATCGCGTCTCAAATGCGCCACCGCATCCGCCACTTGCTTCCATTCGACCTGCGGACTTCGGGATAACACTTACGGATAAATACGGAATAGAAATGGTTCTTGAATGGATGGAGCGTATCTTTGAGGAATGCAACCTAGTATGTTAGTGACGATAGTACCTTCAACATCATCTCATTTTTTACCTCGACAAAGTTGGCTCCGGTCTCGGGAATACATCCCCATTTGACCATGATCGCGTTTCCGTGTGGCAACTGATCATCGAAATGCACGATCGGGGTAAACCATGTAGGGTCTCTGCTGTCCCTACTTTCGGGTGAAGAAGTTCTCACACCTCCTGCATCTCCTGTCGTAATCCTACTTCTTCATGTTCCTTCTACAAAAATTGACGACGTAGTAGGTTCGTCTAGTACTGATCCCGAAGAAGTCTCAACAACAGACTCGACTACCCCAACTGGGGCTTCCCGTAGTGCTCCTGCCAAGTCATCTTCACCCTCGTCCAAACGCGCGAGCATATCCGAGTGTCGCCAATGATCAGTCTCTGTCTCCAATTTCGTAGCAACATCGTTATTAAACATCATCTGCTGTCCTGACGCGCCTGTTTTTGTTTCTTGTCCCTCCATAACACGCTGCTCCTGTCGCTCCTTTTCTGCTAGGATTGCATGACTAAAAGGACCCGCTAGTTGTACAGGATACCCTGAACTTCCTGTTCCCATTAACAGTGACGGCTGCTGTTGTTGAATCTTGGTTGTTTCGTCCAGCCAGCCCCACTGTGCCCGATCACGCTGCACGCTACACGAAGCTGGCAGAAGGCGCACAGGACCAGTAGTGAGATGTGGTCTCTCCTGTCGACGCAGACTATCCCACGAAACAGTCAGTGTCTCTGCAGGCTTTATTCGATCACCCGTTTCTTCTTTTGCGGAGTAACATTTTAGAAATTCTCCATGAACGGTGGAATAGTAGCTTTCAAACCCAAATTCAATTACTTCTTTCATCTATACTAGAACTAGAAGAGGAACAATTACACCTAATAAATATAGAGTGAATCTTTATCTCAACATAGACTCCTCTTTCCTTCTTTTTAACATAAGTTGTAGTGGTAACGGGAGCACTTGTAGACGTCGGCTCGTTGGCTCACATCTGCCACTGCCAGTACGTGCCACGTACCTTCGATATTCGACGGCCAGCCCTTCCCGAAGCCACGCTGCGTAACTGTTTCATCCTACAGAAATTCCAAGCTGTGCTCCGGCACCACTTGCGGACACGTGTACGGCGTCCAACCAGCATCGAGCCATCGTCTAGACAGCGCATCTGACGTCTTGCCCATTGCGTCCTCTTGTATCTGCCGAGGTTCATAGAAGGACGAGGATGAAGCAGTGTTGCTGTTACTGTTTGCGCCAAAGAAAGGGCCAAAGACTTGGTACAGACTACGGCTAGGTGTCGTTGCAGTAGCAGGAGCCTGGGAGGCCAGGAAGCGACGCTCTTATGATCCTTGGCCCGCGCCACTTTCTCTATCAGGTGCGACGGCCGTTGTACTGTTTGCGCTTACAGCGGAATCAGCAAGACAATAGCGATTCAGGCAAGCGGCGCTCAACAGGCCAAAACGCGTGACAGCAGAAGGCGTAGAACAGCGCTTTTTTACGCACGAAGAAGATAAAGATCTTCTGTCTGTTCCGCGTCCCATGGGTTTTTGCTGCACGGGTGAAGCCAGTGTAAGCTCCCCTACGGCTGTCACCGGGAATGTCATGAGCAAGGTGCGCGAACCCATGCGGGTTCTGCAACACCCCGCTGTCGACGTAAGAGCAATTCTCATTTTTCTATTGAACGCAAATAGAGACTCATCTCTTCTTCTTCTACTTAACAAATGTACATATAAATGTATCTACAAATATCTAGTTGTGCACTAACTCAGGAACTAGTCACGCACATACACGATGCTGGAACCCCCCAACTTTCATGTATGAAGTTGGTACCTACTAAATTCTTTGTAGCAGAAGGTGAAATGCGTCGGTGTATTCGGAAGAACAAGGCATGATAATCCGTCGAAATATTCGGAAGAACCAGGCATGAAACAACGCAGACGCATTTGGATTTGGACTCGGAGACTTCACACAAGACTTAGACTCTTCTTTTGTTGTAATGCCGGGCAGATTGAAAGAATCTCCTGACCTAAATCCAGTTCGCAAGTCGGCGGTAGGCGGAAATTAGTGCTCCTCTATTCTTTTTTTTTGTAACCTGGGGCTACTGAAAGAGCCAACAATCACATGGGGCGCAGTACGGTTCGCAGTCAACAGCAAGGCATGCAAAAGAAAATGCCAAAAGGAATACAAAACTACTTTACGACCAGCAACAGCAAACCACTCACAAACTCAATAACCCGGACTAGTCCTAACTTTAAGCCAACCCAGGCAACTCGAGATAGGAGTGATGACTGAGCGCCACCAGCCAAGTAAGAGTAGACAGGACCAACAGCAGTATGGCTCGCGAGAGTTCTGTCACCCGGTGGATGCTGCCTGAGTGCTCATCCTCGTCTTGAAGCGGCGCTTCTGTCTTCGCTTTTGTCGGCGCTTTTGATGTCGTCGTCGTCTCAGTGCCTAAAACCTTCACTTCATCCACTTCCAAGACCCGCCCGCTTTCCGATTCCGCTGCAACACCAGGAAGATCTACTACGCCGATTTTATTACCACATTGCACGGCGGCTGTCCGGGTGTTCTCGGGTGATCCAGGTTCAAACCGCTCCACACCGGCTCCGCCAGCATACTTGATAACTTCGCATACCTGCAGCGCTGCGCCGTCAGGAGTGGGACAGGTAGGTCCTCTGGAAGTCGCATGACTAATCGATGCGCAGTACGTCACATCCTGTTCGGTCTTATCGCTGCATGTCGCCGCATTGGAACGGGCTGCGTTCGCGACCAGGACGCGCACCCCGACGTCCACGTTTGCTCCCCCTCTGGAAGAGTAGGAGTCGTGGCGTCCCATGGCTCGTCAATCCACGAGCCCACGTCGAAGAAGCGCCGCCGCCACCCTCCGCTTAGGTCCCTGGCAGTGATGTTGACGCTCGCAATTTGCTTGCTTTCTCCGAGATCGATCTGCAGCCAGGGGCAACGCTGAGACCCACCTGACACACCCGTTTTGAAACTTTCTGTGTAATCTCCATCCGTTATATAAATGAGAGGCAAACGAGAACCAGCCGCGAAGGATGGAAACGGGGCACTCGCCCGCGTCTTGTTCGTGAAGATGATTGATGTCATTCAAACGCCCCCTCGCATCTACAACCACGACCTCACCGTCACCAGGTGGGGCCTCCCCGTCATCCGCCACCACCGCGCCCGACGACGACCGTGGTAAACGTCGCTGCAGGTGCTTGCAGGACGAGAGGAGACCTCGACGTGGACGTCGTCAGCGTGTTGTTCTGACTGGTGTGACCGTTTCAGGACACTGTAGTCCTCTTCCTCTGCTGGAGCACTGTCGACTGCTTTGTCGCCTCCAGGTCCTGAAAAGTGTGCTTTTGCACTTGTTTTGTCTACATGAGATGATAAGACTTGGTCTGTGCTCAACGATTCCTGTCGAAGGTGCTGACCACGCTTCACAGACGCTAAAACCAAGAGGCCCAGCTCCAAGAAAAGGCTCACTGCGACGCTATGGACAACTGGCATGTAAAGAGGGTAGTTGATCAGGCGCCGCATCTTTCGGCCGGCTAATCGCGCAGAGGCGAGGGAGGTGGGCTTGGACATGTTCCCGTTACCACACACTTGTTATCTTCTATTACCACACACTTGTTATCTTCTATTACCACACACTTGTTATCTTCTATTACCTCACACTTGTTATCTTCTATTACCACACACTTGTTAACTTCTATTACCACACACTTGTTACCTTCTATCAAAAAAGAATGAACTCATCTAAGTACCTTCCATCAAGAATCCAGCAGGAAGAAATGAAATACCAACATGTTGAACCAGAAAGTTCTCCAGATTCTTCTATATTTTCTTCATCTCTTCACCACTACTTTCATCACCCTTATCATCTGCTTCAAGATAAAACAAGACCGACACGAAAATTCGATGCGCGGAACCGGAGTGCTTTTTCATCTAGCCCCCACTTACAGCAACGCCGCTCTTTATCTCTGGCGGAGAAAAGTCATTTTTTCAAGTTTGCAATCGTTTTGCTGTTAGTGTTTAAGTAGTCGAGAGCTGTCAGCGAACGGATCGACTATTATTTGGACTTACCGCGAGCTACTATTATTTGGACTTACTGGCAAGAACACCACCAAACCATGGAGCACTCTCGTCGGCCACCTTTGATGCTAAAAAGCATTGCTCTTCCACATGGAGGAGTGATGGCTCCTTGATGACGGAGCATTGCATTGTTCTAGTGTCCACTTTTGGAAAAAACAAGGAAAAAACCAGCGAGCATGTGTGAGGCTCTGATTCCACGAATGTGTTCTATCGTCCTCTGTGTTCATCTGTGATTCCAAGAACTCAACAGTTTGACCGCCCAAAACAACATGAACCTTCGTAATTCTTCAGAATTTATGCTATAATCACCGCGCCAACGGCGTGGCGATCTGGTTTACATTTCCGCCCGTGGCTGCATTAACAGCTGCTGTCGCAGTCGCCGCTGCACCCGCTGCGGCAGATGCTAGCGCTCCAGCCTGCGATCCAATCGCGGTGTGCACATCGGCTCTCGCTTCCGACAAAACACGCAACTTTTCGTCTAAATTGGCTGCATGGTTTAGAACTCATACGAATCCATCTGATGGAGGTGTTTACACCTACTTACTTCTGGGAGAGCTCCTCCAAGATGATGTACTCCTATGTATCTGACGATAGAGGCAAATGTAAGTACTATCTGAAGAAGATGGAAAATTAGACGAAGATGTACTACCTGAGGAAGTTCTTGCAAAATCAAGAAAGCAGGCCATACGTGGTCACGCGCCACGCGCGCCTCGTCCATGGCTTCCTTCGCCCACATAAGCGCCTGGTACTCCCGTTTGCTAGGCGCATTCGGGTCGGTCGCGTCGGAGGAGTCTCCAGCCGATCCTCCTTCTGGAGCATTAGAGGTGGCCCATATTGTTCCTAGTAACTGCGCAACAAAAGTCTTGCTCTCATAAAAGAATAGGATCACTGAGGGACAAACACGTATACATTTAGGTTCCTTTCAAGGGTGGTCGATGCAGTTGGTAAGAGAGATGACGATTCTTCATTTAGAAGCCTGCTTAACACGACCAGTTGGGCTAACACTCGGCTGCGCGGCAACTTCCTCACGTACTGCTGCGCGTAGAGCCACCGGCCGCCCATTCAGCGGCCGCGTTGCGCGGTTGTTACCGTGACCACCAGTGATCGTCAAGATTACAATGAAAGAAAAATGTAAAGCATGTCCATAAAAAAACTGATGAAAACAGTGACGTCGAAGACTGAAGATTCCACCAAAGACGAGGCGATAAGGTGCAACTATTCGAGTCCATATTCTATTTCTCTCAGTAGTTGTAAAAACCCTGCAAGAAGTCTAAATAGAAGATGTTCTTTGGCCTTCTCTTTCGCAAATTCATCAAGTGTCACGAGTCCACTGACCGTATCGATATGAGTCCAATAATCATCTCTTAATCGCTTGCTGCAACTTGTGTACCTCCAGCTCGTCTCCGTCTACTGGTGCGGTGCGCACAAACCAGGTGGCAGTCTCCGCGCATGGGGGGGCCGTGAGAGAGCCGGAATACTCGATGAACTGCCCGTCTCCACCATAAAAGTCGGAGGTTAGAGCTGCTCCTAAATATTTATAACTCATCCCCGTGGAGATTGGATCTCTCAGAAGTTGAATCTATACCTTGGATATGGAAGAGGGATCCCGCTAGACATAGAGATGGATTTTCATTACTGGTAGCCTTAAGGAGAGGTCCATTGGAGGCGACGCGAAGACTGTCTGTCCGACGATTTCAGGTACATTCAACGCGAAAGCTGATATGGGTCCCGGTTTTGCCGCGGCCTTGCCGCTCCCAGCCTCGCTTCCAGCCGCCGGCAAGGAGGCAGCGCCAGCAGGGGCAGCGGGCGCCTGCGAGCCTCGTCTAGTTGTTGTAGCATCAGAAGACGAAGATGTTGATGTCCGACTGTTCATTTGCTCCGAACTTGTTGTACTCAAAAAAGCGGGTACTGGTCGTCGTTGGAGAAATTCTGGTGCGCTTCCTGCTCCCGCTGGTTCAGCAGGCAGCGGCTTACCAAAAGGAACTGCAACCATGATGAGATGATCACTATCCGAACGTTTGTGAACTAAATGGGCCTCAAGCGGAAACTGCATCCCATCCCACACATGTTCCGAAGGCGAATGGAAATTTACACTCAACACGTTGTACCTGTTATCGGTTGTATCAATCATTGTGTCAAAGAAAAGCTGAATTTTCATCATCGAACGCGGCTAGAATTAGTAGTATTTCGCACGAATATACATAAAAAACAGAAGGAGCGTAGCGCGCAAAGCTATTAGGAAGGGGCCCTCGTCAACTAGTAAGCCAACAACGCTAAGAAGCCTGGCGACACAATTTTGCAGATGAAGACGTAAGGAGAGGACACAGAGCCGCCTACCCGTACCCTCAGAAAAAACCAACAAGACAAGGAGACAGCAGAACGTACGAATGCCGAAACCCGGCAGAAGAGCCAGGCACCCGCTTGGAAGCCGTGAGCCCCAGCCACGACTGGTGGCCTCCACAGTGGTGGAGGATGAACGCGCCCCCATCTGCCTGGAGGGTGTTCGTGAGCTCCGTGCGCACTTCAGCGCTTACGCCATCATCCGCGGGCGCCCCGCCGGTTCCTGCTTCTTCTTGCCATGGTGCCCCAAGCAGTCGCCAAAGCCGCCCGCGCTTTGTCGCTTGGCCCCCCCATGGCTTCGGCCTTTCTGTCCGTCCGCTCTCCTGTGCCCGTCTCTGCAGGGGCGAGCCCCTTCCGGCTTCCTGCCTTTCTTTGGGTCGTGGCAACACGTCCCAACTGCAGCGCCAAGCCGCAAGAATGCGCGCTGCCCCAAAAGCAAAACGCCGAGGCCCCTCGACTGAGCGGGGCTACGTGCTGGCCCTCCGCTGTTCCACGTCGCTCCCGCAAGTTCATACGGCGCCGCGCCAGTCTCCGCTATGTATGGCCAGCACGGTGCCGCCCTTTTCGTTCTGGTAGCTGGACAGCCACGGCCGCGCGCATGCGGAGCGCAAAGAGATCCCCCAGGCCATCAGCCGTGGACCGTAGTCCCCCCGCACCGCGTCGGCCGCTCAGGAAGATGCGCTTGCGCAGCACATCGACCGGAACCGCCTCGCAAGTGTCGCCGCCGCAATGATGATTTGACTGGGCGGGCATACCTAGAATTCTGCGGGCTGCGCGGTGCTCCGATCGGGGAAGGGCTGCAACTTCAGGGAGGATAGTACGCGAGCCCATCGCCAACGCATGCCGCGCCCCCCTCAGTGGCCGGCCCCCCTGCCTGGTGGCGTTTGCCTATTGCCGCAATGCGATCGGCAAAAGGCGGGCGCGGCAAGTGTCTATGCCGCAATGGGTTGACCCTCAGCAGGGCCCTGCCGGCCGCGCCTCCCGCTCACTGCCAGGCGCCGTGCTTCCGCGCCAGCGAGTCTCCCTTTCTTGGCCGACCGCTCAAGTGTCGAATTGTAAACAAATAACGCCAGTTGTTATGCCTAGAGGTACCACCCATTTCCGTAGCTAATGCCTCCAAGCCCCAGTCCCATAAGGTCGCCGGACAGCGTGTGGCCGTTGTTTTTGAGCTCAAAGCTGTTCTCCAATGGCACATAGGAGTACGGAAGATTTCCCGTCGGCGTTAGTCCCGCGGTTTGTAGAGATACTGGTGACTGCCGCTCTGTTGAAGAGCACATCCCAGCGACCCAATCCGCACCATGCTTGTTATAGTCGTAACTGAAACCCCCTTCGTCAAGACCGGTCGCAAAGACGGCCAGTCGGGTTAGATAGAACAAAGTCAAGCAGTAAGTTGTTTTCAGATGGCAAAAATGCGAATGATGTTCCAATTCCATCCAAGTAGCTCCGCGTTGTGGATGTCAACTATTAGAAACTGACAAATCGAGCAATGTCCGTATTTCTCGCATCAATCAGTCCTTCTGAAGGCACCTTCGTGGTGGCCATGTGGTTAAGGGGACTCTATGAAGGAGATACGTCTAATGAAAAACAATCCATAAATTCAGAATGACCGCTGAGAATGTGGCATGCTTTTGTGCCGGTCTCCTCTGAGCCGGCGCAAGTCCCTTCGAATCTTGGCCCATCTTGCACCCGCAACCACGTAGGACGACCTCAAGGGCGACGACGCCGAAGGAGCAGAGCAGCCATGGCAAAATACTCAAACAAAACCCATAGTCTCCAGTAGAGCATTGACGAGACTTCTGTACAATGAAACAAAACTTCAGGTCATGATAAGTACCAATTGCTTATGGCAAACATGGGATTTCCGTGGAATTTTTCTCTGACACAAAATGAATTCACTGAACTGTCACTCTCGCTCTCTCTCTCTCTCTTATTTCCACTTCAACTTTTTTTGGCCCAGGCCGTCAGATGAAGCCTTAGACACTACACCGACCATGATGATGTACACAACAAAGGATCGCGATCCATGATGATGTACACAACAAAGGAACACAACCACGATCACTTGAAAAATCTCCACATAATTTAGATTTCAACAACGCGGACGCGCGGCGTCGTTTTTCCTCATCATTGTGGTTTCAATAGAAGCTTTCACTTCTTTGTGATTCGTGGGAGATGCCTCTCGCCAGAGGAAAATTCCTTGGTGCTGTAAATAATCACGTCCAAATTCACCATCCTCACAGCCGCAACGCTTCTTCGAAGTAGAACAAGATATTGATTGTTCTTATTCAGAAACACAATACATAAATTCATTTTGTGAATGTCAAGCATGTTCATCTGGAATCCGTCAATGACAGAGTGCTGTCCACCATCAAACGCTATTCTTCTATCAGACTCATCCAGCATCAAGCAACTCTTCTTATATCAAAATCTTTCATCAAACGAGGAAGTTGCTTTTAGATTTCGTCGAAGTCAATCGGTGACCCATCGGCGATCATAGCTGGGCGACCTGGTAGATCCCTTATTTCGTTCATAGGGCCTTCAATTGCGTTCACCCGACGCCGTTTTGAGGCATTGGAATCACCATCCTCTTCCACCTCCTCAGTGTCTTCCTCGTAGCCCTCGTTCGTTTCCCGATTCACCAAGAAGTGGAAATTAGAAGTAGATGACCTAATTAACATAGGTAGTTGCAGTTGCTTGGTTCACTCTTGAGTTATTTCTATACTCAGTGAGTCTACCAGTATGAGGTTCTCCCTTCAGTAATTCATATTATATTCTTCATTAAGTCTGCTCGTCGGGTGTAAAACTTGCTACAACTACTACATATTCACAAGTTATGGTCGTTGCTAACTTCTACCTGGTTCACTTATCATAGAGTTGTGGGTCGTTTCTAGGTGTTCACAGGAGCTGGAACAAAAACTACATTAACCATTTAAGTTTAACATTATTCACACAGTACTAACAATTTGTTGCCTTAACAAAAGCAGCAAATATGTCTGCGAACTTGGCTACGTCCCCTGCCAGCTCGGTCTGTTCCACGAAGGCACGCGAGAGACTCTTAGGATGCTGCTTTTGCTGTCGTTCATTCTCCTTCATCGCGATTCGGTTCTTGTCTACGTTTTCGTCGACGATTCGGAGTAATTCCATCCCCGCTTCCAGATTCTTCTCGAGGCGATTGTACTCCTCGTCCGCGGTGACGACCTTCTGCTCTGCGTCGGCTTCTCGACCACCTTGGTTCCCGATTTTGAACTCCGTATCGAGCACATAATTGCGGACCTGCTTCTTCACCTCTTGCACGGTCACTTCGTCGAAGGGACCACGGCTGCTAGGCTGTTGATTATGTATCCAGTAGTCTTATCATGAATCTTACTCTTTTATATGATGACGATGTAAATCTACTCGGCAATCTGCCTAAGATTTTTTCCCTTACTCTTTTATATACTTCATCAAAATAGAACCTTAATATTGCACAGTAGGAGATCGAGATAGGGAGAAAACTTCCAATAATTAGTAGTACCGCTTTCCGTAACGCACTCGGCAACGCAGCGAGTACGGAATGGTCCAAGACCACTATTTTTTCGAGGACCGCTTTTACCGTGTTCATCAACTTTTGGAACTGGTTATTGCTCTGTGGAGGATCCGTCAGCAGTCTCTGCAAAGCATTTTCCTCCATCTCCTTGACTTGACCAAGATCCTTCGACAACGTTGTCGCCGAATTGTACCTGATGAAGGGCGACGAGGACGATCGGAAGTACGGAAACGTGGGGTCATCTCACTAAATATTGGATGAAGGGACTCACCTAGGATACATGAGGGTACCTGTAAACTATACATAAACACGTTTGAAGATTGGTGGACAGTAAATCTTCAATCTGTCTCGTTTAATCCGAAAAGAAGCTACGAACTGCAAGTACAGGATGAAACTAGCTAGCAGGACTAGAATAAACGACGAGTTTTTAAAGACAAATACCATAAAGCGAGAAACAAAAGACGCAATCACGTATGCATAGATATGTGTTATCTAAGTTTGAAAAACAGACAACCCATCAAAATTACACATTGCCGTGGCTATCTTCTATTGAGTGAGGGTATACTTATCGTATTAAACGACCTAAAAATTATATTAATTTTGTATAGATACACTTCACTCCGGAATGCTTTCGCTTCGTTGCATGCTTTTATTGCCCGTTTTTGATTCGTTTCGTCCTCTGCGATTTTTTTCTTCAGGCCGTCAGCCTGATCGTGTAGGTTCTCCATTTGCTGCTTTAGCAGTGTGCCAGTCTGCTTCAGGTCGGCCTCGATCATCTGCGCGTTATGAATGAACTCAGTCTTTTTCGCTAATCGTGCACTCAAGGCCTCCCGCATGCTGTTCATCTGCTTGCGGAGCATCTCTACGCCCTTCCGCTGCAAGGGTTGCCTTTCTGCGTTACACACGGAGAGACAGGGGTGCAGCATCTTCTCTAAAATGGGGTGCCGGGGACAGCCGTACCCGAAAGTGAGCGCTGCCTCTACTTTCTTCAACGCATTTTCGGCAGGTGAGGGTCCGCTTCTCTTCGCACGAGCATGCCCATTCTTTTTCCCGGCTCTTGGGGTGCTTGGACCACTCTTTTTGGCAGAAGACGCGCCGCCACTTTTCCGTCCACCTGCTGATTTTTTCATAGAAGCAGGACTCGGGGACGATCCCATTTTTTTCATGGCAGGACTAGGCGATCCCATTTTTTTCATCGCAGGACTAGGCGACCCCATTTTCTTCATCGCAGGACTAGGCGACCCCATTTTCTTCATCGCCGGGCTTTTCGCCGCTTGTTTCATCACCTTTTTGGGCGGCATTTTTCAGGTCCCAGCGACCCTACTGAGTACGAGTACCGTCTTTGATCTAAAAGTCGACAAATGGAAAGCTTTGATTAAGCATAGAGAGGGATAAAGAATGCTTAGATAGAGTCTTTTGTTGATAAAGATAGGAACCCTGAAAAAATAGATTCCTAATCTAATGTACTAGTCACCGTCAAATACAAGTCACTCCATATCAAGAAAAGCCAACACAAGGAAAGAAAGTAGTACTGCTACAAAAGCAACATCTACACCTCGTCAAACTCAGTCACTCAGGGGGGAAAGGCGAGATTAAATTTTTCGCAAGCGACCTGCGACATGGAACCATAATTTCACAGGTAACGGGAGAATTTCTCATCTCTCTTTCTCAACGTTTAATACAGTACTTAGGTCGCGTGCGACCAAGCAAAAAACAGAAAATCAAAATTTACGATTTGTTACTCCAACAGAACTCACACACTTCGTTAATCCTAGGGAACAAAAATCACACACATACAGGGAGTCAGAGTGAACACTATCCGAAATAGCATGCCCTGCTCTAACTCTCTCTCTCTCTTGAAACAGAAGATTTCCACGACAGGTCAGGAACGCGGCATCTCTCCTACTCTACAAGGTGCATCTCAACCAACGTCGTGTAAAAGAAGCATTTTCTCTCGTTGGAACCGATAGAGGAGACCCTTTTACCCGCAACCAGACAATTCAATCGCCCAAAACAAAGCGTAAAAAAAAATTCAGAAATTTTGACGGAACGAAAGTACAAGAAGCCAGTACCAGGGAAGAATTTACACTGTAAATGTTCTTGACCAAGCGCTGCTGCGCTGTCAAAACACTTCTGATCTCGTTTTACCTACTTTCCCCTGCCGATCTGGGCATGCTGCGTTTACTCCTATAGGAAGAAGTAAGTGCTGCCGCCTGACGTTTGGATTTGTATTTTTAACCACATGGGACAATATTTACATGTGAGATGTTCGTAGTTGCATTTGTGATACGGGATGGCGACCCGTCCAACACACGAAGACAAGTACAGTAGGTCCCTCCCTTGTGGCTAAGCATATCGTTTTCAGATAGCGCTCTGAATAATTCATGTTCCTTAAGAACTTAGCTTATTAAGCTGTAAAGACGTCCGCTATTTACGTTTTTTCTATTACTAGCTGGAGCAGCTGCACACGACTAAAACCGACTATTGCAAGAATAACTTCGAATCACTTCGCTACTATTGTTGAGTAATACGTCTTTCCTATGAAATACTTTGTTATCACTTTTAGGTATCTATGATGGTCATATCAATTACTGCTAAGAAGCTGATAGCCGCGATCAGAATATAACCTCTATTCGCAGCCGCCGCCACTCGTCTTCCATCCCTCGATCATTAAAGTTTTCAAAATGATCTGTCATACAGCTGGCGCTGGAAACGGAAAAAGATCTCAGCTTCAAACTAAGTATTAAAAACACTCAGATTTCTGTTTCTCTTTTCAGCTAAACAGCATGCTTCACACAGATTCGCACGACGGTTTTCTGACTTGCAAAAAAAGGTGGACCACGAAGACCGAAACAAAGTGCTTTTCGTCCTTCAGATTGGATTGAACACTTCTTCGATGTATCTCTTCAAGAAAATCGACGCGTCTGCGTTACACCGCGACGAGGTGTTCCCTATCTACCAATATCTCCTGTTCATTTCCTCCAATGAATCTCTTATGCGTACACTTCTGACTGCAAGCATGTAGAAAAAGTATGTTGCGAGTGCATTGTGCGTCCGCAATTAACGGCGTTCCTCGTTACAGCCCATTTTTGATCTTGGCTAAGCCTATCTGCATTTCCTATCCGAAAGCAGTCGTGTTGATAATCTACAAGTTGATCGTCTTCGTCTTCGTCTTCTACAACGAAGACCACACAACATCATGATTATAATATGATCTTCGCCGCAGCATAATTATAGTCTCCACCACGTGGTCTCTACTACTAGTACCATTAGGTTACGGGGGCAACGAAGCGGAGGTGCTGCTGTTTCTATAGATAAAAAAATGCTCTTAAGTGAGGACTCCTCGATGAAGTCTTCACATCGACCCTATCATGATCGTAAGTCGACATTTCTGCTAGAGAACCGGTCCAGCTTCTCGATGCAGCATAAGATCGAACCTGGACTGGTGTGCTACTCCAACTGCTCTTACAGGAGAATAAAGGTCAGAGAATAATCACTAAAGTTCATAGAATGATCACTAACTCTCGTGCTTAGTACTGAGTCCTGATTCAAACTAGCAAGAAATTTCGAGCAAGAACCCTGACCAGCCTACGCCTAGAAAAAATACCATGCAGTTAAACTGATATTGATCATGAGTAAAACAAATTTGAAAAGTTTCCGAGGACCGACTCAAGGAATTACAGCACTCATGAGCGCTGGCATTCACTCGTTACGATCGAAAAAAAAGCTATACACTGAGGTATACAGAAGTAATCAATAAAACAAAGCAAGTACAAACATTGGTGTAAGATATGAATGTGTTTTTGTTTTGATAGGACTTGAACACTTGTTAAAATTGGGAATAAACCTAATAGTTATAGTAGTAGTTCGTAAACTCGTAAACTGGTAAACGTAAATAGTGAATAAGAATGAATGAACTCGTCGTTGATGTTTTAGCATGTTAGAAGTATTATCGAAAGATATTCCAATTATGTTGAATACAGCCATAGCACAACCCCAAAAACATTATGAGAATTTGTTAAACCGAAAACCATTAACCTTGTAGAAAGACGCATTGATTTAGCGAGAAATCGTCCGTTTTGCATTTAGTCAGCATCTTTTTAGCATTATTTTGTTTTTCATGAAGAAGCATTATAATTTCATGTTGTCAAGCATTAAGAAGTATCATTATAAGCAAAGAGTTCGATTCATATATGTCGATAAGCATGAGAAAATACGAAATTGAGAAGCTTTGTACGAGAATCAGGAAAAAGAACAAGAACAGAGTATCTTTATGAATCAGGTATATTCATCAAGGATATAATGACTTATAAACGGCTATAGGGTTTTTACCTATAGTACATTCCGAGTTACACCCAGGTATAAGGAGTTGAGCAAGCCAACAACTTTTTATTCATGTGAGCGCATACTTCCCGTATTTCCGAGCCCAGCGTTTGAGAAGTAGAGCTGTTCGACCATTCTTACCATCTCCGACACCTGCGTTCTCACTGTGTCCATGTCTGAGCTCATCCGTGACAGGTCAGATAGTGTCGCTGGTGTAGAAGGGTCGCGTCCGCTGTACTTCTTGCGCTCCTCGCGTTTCGCCATTTCCTGGAGAGGAGTAAAAAAATTTTTATCCAAACAGTTATCTTGTTCTTCTTGTCCTGTGACAAAATGTTGAAAGGTACTCAAGATTGGGAGGAAGAAGAAGTAGTAAGCTGTGCATCTTTACTAGAGGAAACAACAAACATAGGATAGGATTTGGCTCGCCTCGGAGAGGTGAGCGTTCACGACTATGAAAACGCCGAAAAAGAATCTACTGCACTAGACCGAGCTGTGCTTCAGCTGCACGCGAGGACTGACCTGTCTAGAAAATACCGAAAATGCTGCAACAATACTAGGCAACCTAATAAACCAGCTCTACTCGTAAACAATGAAACACAGCATGCTGTAGCCCATGTTCTCGTCGTTTATGAAGGCCGTAGAGACGTGGTCTGACAGTAGATTTTCTAGAAGTCAACAAAAAAATGTGGTACCTTGAAGAGATCAGCTTTTCTAGAAGTCAACAAAAAAATGTGGTACCTTGAAGAGATCAGCTTTTCTAGAAGTCAACAAAAAAATATGGTACCTTGAAGAGATCAGCCTTCGACATTTCCAAGGCAGTCCTATCGCTCTTTCCGAGCACAGCCCGCGCCGCTATCTTATGCACTTTATTGAACGTCCGCTTCATTTTCGCTGTTATTTTTGTTTCAAGAGGATGAGTAAATGCGACGCAATCATATTGGATGTCTCCATCTCGAAATCGATACCACGCAAACATTGGACGAGATCCCTCGACAATTGACATTCTTACATCGAAGATCTTCAAAGTAGGCACGAAAAAATGAACTAGTCTATAAGTTTTTTACTTCGACTACTGGCACTGTGCTGTCGGAAGTCTATCTGTAATTATTCCTGTGGACCTATATGAAGCTATAAAAACGTTAGGAGATAGATCAAAAGTTTTTTAGAAAATCTAAATCACAATTCGTCACTCAGATGAAGTACCTTTTGCTCTTCTTTTCTTGACCTCTAACCATGTGGCGCGAATGGTGTTCGCAGCCAGTTCCTTGTAGTCGTTGGGCGCTGTGTGCTTCCGGAACCTGAGCAGTCGGCGTTCTTCTCGTCGCCTGGCGTGTCCCCTAAGGTTCTCTAGGATCGTGGGGTAACTGTAGCACAGTATGATGAAGTCCCCGCGGTTCAGCGTCAAGATCTCGGACCTCGTTTCTGCACGCAGACACGACTTCCTAGAGGACGCGACGATGAGCTCCCACTCGCCCACGTAGCCGTTGCGGCAAAACAGCGTGTAGGGATGTCTTTTCACCAATCCCGTTCCGACGTCGAGTTCCACTAGGTTCTCGATCATCCTCACGTTCGCTATGCCCCCCATCTCGGACGGCACGGCGCAAAACGATAAAACGCCGCTCAGCACGAAGTACAAGCTCTGCGCCTGTTCTCCTATGCGATAAAAGACGAAGCCTCGTTCGCACATCCGCTTCTGGAGGAAAATGCTCAACAGCAAAGGGACGCCTTCTTCCTGCAGTTTCGAGTGTTTCACGAATTGGTTGTTCCACACCCCACCGTTAAACGCGCGCTTCGCCACTACTCGCTGCAAAGAGCCGCTCATGCTCGAACAGATTTCCCAAAACGCCCTCCACTGGTCCGTGGTTTCCTCTCCGCTCGCGGCGTACTTTTCCCGGGTCTGGTACTCCGCCACCTTGCGGATCTTGTTCTCGATGGCCGTGTCTTGCACGTTGGCTCTCCTGAAAAAGGAACTAATAGACGCGGTCTTGCGGCTCAGTTCCTGGTTGCTCTGGTCCACGCGGGACAACACCGCGATCACCTCGGACACGATCATGCTGTTGATCACGGCACCAAACAGCATCAAAGCGGTCACGAAAACGAGTTCGCCACTGGTGAATGGCGTAATGTCTCCGAAACCAACAGTGGTACAAACCGTCAGAATAAAATACACGCAAGTCAGCCACTGATACGTCGGACCCTGCTCCAACATGTACCTATGATCATGTTGGTCAAAAGAAATTCAAATAAGTACTGACGTTCATGGGTTGAAAGACAAAAATTTACACTGTAAATTTTCATTTGCAGTGGTTGAAGGAAGTAAGAGAGAATAGAAAAGATTGGAGAGAACGAATCATTCTTCTGATTGGTACTAGCAGTGCTGGCTGTACTACCTAAAAATATGATAGTTCAAGAATACCTTTTAAAAAAGAGTCATAGTCCAAGAGGAGGCACAGTATCATATTAAAAATGAATTGATGCACAGCAGTAATAACCCTGTATTTGAAGTTTGAAGTAAGTGTAGCTGGGAAAATTAAAAGAAATTACGTGACTTCTCCGTCTGGGTTCACTTTTTCTAACAAAGGTTTCAAAAAGAGTAAGTACGTGACTTCTCCGTCTGGGTTCACTTGTTTTCGCTGTCCTACCCAAGTTTGTAGCGGGTCGCTTTCCATCGCTGCGCTAAGGTACCAGAAACATCCTAAGATGTGGGCTATGAAGAGCAAGACTAATAGAAACTTGCTCACGTTCGCTAGTCGACTTTTCCCCAGTGTGCTACTGAGGTAAAATATCGCTGGTTGCTGCTGCAGTCTCCGTATAAAGGCCTGGGAAAAGGTTTTCACCTTCCCCATCTTGCCTAACCGAGCGAGGCGGCCAATGCGGTACAGCTGCGGCAAACGCGTGATCTTATTCGCATTCGTGTCGCTGCCCATCGCGATAAACACCGCGTAAAACTCCGCAGGCAAACACGCTAAGAGGTCCATCGTGAACCACCCTGTTACGAGTTCATGTTAGGGGAGAAATATTTCTTTGGTTGGCATAAAGATAAACGTAGTCAGCTGGTCCAGTTGTGAGTTCTTGGCACAGCAACGAACTATATTAGTAGAAGTTCTGTTACATCCTGCCTGCTCCTGTACCAGCATACTAAATCATTGTGCTGATGAAACGCATAGTACTATAAGTAATACCGGTTAGATATGCATGCCAGATATCGGTGGGGTGCGTGTGCAGGATGCCTCGGTAGTCAAAGTAGGCCACGAAGAAGTTGAAGAACAGGTCCAGCCAGAAACTTATATCCAAGACCAAGTCGCATCCTGCCCAGAAGCTATTTTCGGATACACTTTCTACGTTGAACATCGGATCATCCGGATAAATGCGAAAATCCACAAAAGCCAGCCGAAACGGTACCACGGTTCCCATATACATCAGAGGGAAAACCATCAAAACCTGGGAGTGTCCGTGTGTGCGTGTCCATTGGAGAAGTTTCTTTTTGGATGAGATTGAAAAGTTCAGATCATTTGGTGACGGATTCATTTTTTAGTCTGAGTGATGAGCGAAAAACTGAGTTTTTGATCATAATGGTGATAGTGGAGCGATTCATTTTTTCTAGTAGAAATAGTTCTAGTTGCTTGAAAAATTAGGAAGAGAGTACGTACAGACGAAAAAGAACTGTCACTCAGGATTGCAAACACATACATTCTTATATCAGTTGTAGTACCTGCCACGCTACTCGTGCATTTGCATCCGGGTGGAAGATGGGGACGTAGCCTAACCATCCCGTTCTGCCTTCGCGCCACTTCTGGTTCCACAACTGCCATTCGTCTCTCCCCAATAACTCCGCTTCCTCTCGTTCTTTCTCGATTTCTGTCTGGGCCAAAGAATGCGCTAGAATCTTCGTTCGTTTGGTTACGTCCAACCCGGTTTTGTAGAACTGCCGTTTTTCGACGGCCTGTTCCTCGGAAGTTTTTTCGTCATGGGCCGATAAATGCTTGGACTGGCGAAGGGTGTCGACCTCCTTGGGCGAAGAAGTGTTGTTTTGCTGCCCGTACGTCATCGACATCTTCCGTTTCCCACGCAGGATGCCTGCTCCTATCAGATTCGTTATGTAGGTCCACCTTCCTAGCGCTCCACCACTAATCAGTTCCTCGTTTGACGCACCTTTACTACTTTCTGCTCCTGTAGTCCCTCCACTTGCTGCTGGTATTGTACCATTCTTATTACCGTTTCCGTTTGTTGTAGTTGTTGTTGCTCCCGTGGTCGCTGTATTAGCTGCTCCGAGTGGCCCACTGCTGCCAGAGAATGGCGATAATGGGGCTCCCTTCTCGCCTGCACCGGGAACATCTTTCTCCCCCATTGTCATCCCTCCATTCCTACCTCCGTCGGGGTCTAATTTTTTGAAAATCCGCGAACCAGTCTTCTTCATTGGTGCAGGTGCCGCGTCCGCAGGTTCTGCTTGTGCTTTTATGCTAGCACCTCCATTTTCAGCTTGATCCTGTTTGTTAGTCCAATCTAGCAAGTCGGTAATATCCACTCCACTGTTCCTTCGACCTAGCATGGGCTTCGGTTGCTCCGAGTTAGTGCTGCTAGGCGCTGTCTTATTTTCGTATCCCGCGGCTGCTCCGGCTCCCCCACTGGTGGTGCTACTGCTTGCAGTATTCACCATACTACCTAGTCCCTTATTTCCTGCTCCGAACAAAGCCGGCATTGGAGCTGCGTCGCCCGCAGCGGCGTTGTATCCAGGTCTGCCCGGGCGCTTGTTCGAGCTGAGTCCTGCTAGCAACGACCCGGCGGCTAGTGCCCCTTGACTCTGGTTGAGTCTATTCGCGAGGTCTTCATCTAGTGGCGCTTTCGGAGAAGTTGCAGGAGCTTGCTTGTGCTCTAACAATGCAGAAGCGGCGTTAATCTTGCGCTTCAATGCTTCATCCGCAGACCGGCCATCGTCTACAGCGACCAACAAATCCTTGTTCACCGTCTCGAGGACGCCCCGCCGACTACCACTGGTGCTCGGCGACAACACCGATGGTGGTGAAGCAGAAGCTCCTCCATCACTGCCACTACCTCCCGGTGCGGCCGACGACGAGGACATCTTCCTCTTCGACGACCTTTTGATGAGAACCAGGACTCGGTAGAAGTCGAAGGAGCTCTTTTTCTTGTCTTGTTCGAAGGGGAGCTGGCTCCCCTTTTGAAGATCCTTCCAGCTGACTGGAAGTTGATGCTGACTGGTGATGAATACGTATATCTACGCGCGGCAAGATAGAACTGCTCAACCAGACGAGTTGTTCACCGTGAGCTCACTCTCTCGCAAGGCCAAGCGCGGCTCCATCAACACAGCTCATGGACATGATTTTATCTTAAAGTAGGTAGACCACATGATAAGTATATAATGGTAAAACAACATATTCATAAAAGGGTTTCTTAATTTCTTGTTTCAACAAGGAAGTGGTAGGATGTCGATGTGGCGCGACGCTAGCTTAGAAAACGCAATACTTGGCGTCTTGTTGCTGTTATTGACAGCTTCCTTAAACACCGATGAATACTTCATGCGCAGTCAATCATAAAAAAAGTTCAGTGTTGTCGTGGCCCCCCTGGCCACGGACCAAAAAATAGTCCAGGAAAAGTAATTTTCATAGGCTTTCACAAAAGCTTGTCACGGTGTAAGGGAAGGAATCAATACTATGGGACAACACAAAGTAACTATAATATCATTCATGAGGTCCTGCGAATTTTCAAGAGATCGTAATTTCGGAAGATCCTATTATCGTGTGAAGAAAGATTGCATTTAACAACTTCACGTCCACGGTAGATAGATTTATACAATCATCTAGATATTAGCTCGCAAAGAGATACATAGACATTCGCAACAGTCTTTGTATTTCCTCACTTACTGTAAAGCTCTGCAAGATTACACAGTTGCTCGCTCATGAGACAGATTCGCTCAGCTCTACTCTGGACCGAACCTTTATGCACTTCTTGCGTCTCTCCATTTGATCTTTCTCTCCTCTCAAGTCTAGTCTGCTGCCAGATCTTCAGTATGCTCTGTCTCTCAGCATCAGAATCAAAATGTTCCATCCGAGGTGACATTCTTCTCGAAGGACAGACGAATGGTTGCATGTCTTCATTCCCTCATAGTTAGACCACTCGCTACTACATGTGAAAATTTTCTCGACGAGCACAACAGAGCATCAGCTAATGTTTCACATTCAGACTACGTGACAAGATGATTCAGATGAATTTTTGCAGCGATCTTTGTTCACTCAACCGAAGACTCATTTTAGAAATGACATCAGTGCGCCAATGCCACAAAAAAATTTTCAGTGAGGAACACAACAGCAAAGCCGTTTTCATGATGTGCCAGCATGCTCCAGGTGCTTTCCGCACATTGTCTAGTACTTTGCTTAGACGCTTATCTCATTGCAATGCACGTACATTTTCAGTTTCATGATGATGTCGAAATCTTCCGAGAAAAGGATTGACCTTCCAAGAAAATGATTGTAGAAAAACTGACGTAGGGGTCCGCCAGCAAGAGCAACGTAGCAGTTGTGTAGAATAATACAAAATATAACGTTATATGATCGTACGAAGGCAGAAGCACGACCACGTCAGTGTGGCTTTTTTACTTTGCCTTCCTTCTTTTTTTGGTGCCCACATCGTGAGCCCGAATTTCTGCCTCTTCAATTTCGAATTCGGGGTTCGAAAATAGTTTCGCGAATCGGTCGTCTGCCAATAACCGTTTCTGATTACTCTCTGGTAGTTGTACACCTTCCGGCTCAACAAGTCCTCCGGAGGAAAGTTTGCAAGAAGTCGCGGTCTTGTCAGACAACTGTTCTTGTAGTTGTTGGGTAGTACTACTAGTGCCTCTTGCCTTCTTCTTTTGGCGGAGAACTTCGCCAGCTTGTTCCACTTTTTCACTGAGCTTGTCGAACAAAGCCTGGTTCGCTTGGACTCTGGCGGTTGTTCCTGAGGCGGCCTTGTCGGGTGCCGGCACTCGCATCGGTCGCTTCGCGGCGGCAAGCTCCTGGCGTTTCGCGGCGAGCCTTTCCTCGAAGTCGAAGAGGCCTGCAGCACTGTTCTTGCCTCCTCCAGACTGTGAAGCCCGTGGCCGCTCTTCCTCCAACGCGCGCTTGAACTTCTCGAAGATGCTAATCTGCATCAAGAACCCGTGATGGAACGGCAGCAGAAACTTGGTCCCGAGGAGTTCCTCCGCGCGCAGGTCGTGCACCTGCTGCTTCGACAAGAAGGTGTGCTCTTCGTAGATGTGCTTGGATACCGTCTCCGCCAATTCCTGGGTCATGCTGTCCAGGAAGCCGCACCAGCTGGGTGCCGGACCCAGCGTCGGCAGGAAGTAGCTGCCTACCCTTGGTTCGTCCTGAGCGGCGAAGAGCAAAGAACTATTCGGGAAAAAGCAAATGTCGTTCAGCACGGCCTCTGCGCTCTCGAACGCGGCCACGAGTCGGGAGCTGGTCTGCTGCAATAAGGCTCCACCCCCCGCTGTCGTTGTCGTACATGTGGCGGTATTAGAAGGGCCTCTACTGCTACTGCTGGAGAAACTATTTTGCGCCCCTTGCGAATAATCCCATAGTTTCACGCACCGGGCATCGCAACTCGCGATCACATAGGAATTGCTGCCTGATTGTCCGACTCCTAGTGACACGCTACTATTCGTGCGATCCTGCTCATCTAATATTGACGTTTTATTTGCAGAGGAGGTGGATGAAGATGCAGATGGTCCCGGTAGTACAGAAGCGCCTAGTCCCAGCTGGGATTCGTCGATGCCGACGTCTTCGGATCGCACCTCTTGTTCTCCTGCTGTGGTACTATTGCTTTGATGGATGGCGGCCGCGGCGTTCACCACGCCACCATTGGAGGCCTGGAAGTACTTCACTGCTTTGATGGGCAGCTCGTTATTGTGGCAGCGCTCGGCAAGTGGCCGTCGGGATCGAATGTCGTACACGCGTACCACCCCACGGTCGTCGCCGACGCAGAGGTGCATGCCAGAGGGCGAAAATTCTATCGCAGTGGCAGCGGTGGCGCCACCCGGCAACTCGAGCACGCCGACCGAGCGGCCTTCTCCGCGCAAATCCCACAGTTCTACCAGCGCCACCGGACCATCGTCCTCGCCGTTTTTCTCGTCAGCTTTTTTACTTTTTTTCGAGGACCGTTTCGACGGCGCGTCTTCGGAACTAGTAGATGACAGCGCGGACCCTGCAACTGCAAGCAGCGGCATCCGCGGGCTCAAGCACAGCTGGTTCACGTTGTCCAAGCCATACTCGGACTCCAACGGCGTCAGGAAGCTGCCTTGCTCTAGATCGATACGGTACACCTCCGCAGAGGAACCAGCCGCAAGAAGGACGCACTGGGAGATCTCGTAAGCCAGGGAGCGGCAGAATTTGGGAACGCGAAGCTTATGGTGCAGCCCGTATTGGGCATGGAACTCGATCGTTCGGTCGCCTGAATTTCAAAGAAAATATCTTCCAAGCAGAAGGAATCCTTCACTCCTGTTACTGAATTTCAAAGAAAATAACGTCCAAGCAGAAGGAATCCTTCACTCCTGTTACTGTTCTTACATCAGTAGGATTATATGGGGATAACTTTTTAGTTACCCTTCGCACGTGAGAATCCGTAAGAACAAGTAATTTGCAGTTGAGGTAAATATGCAAGAGTAAGTAACCATAAATCGACGACAGGTAGAAGTAGTACTTTGTAGGAATGCCAGTTTTCGGTAGTCGTCGCTGAGAAAGACAAAGTCCAAAATTTCGTGATCCACCCTTCGGCAGAATTTCATACCCAGGTCTTCCACGTCGAACATTTTCATCTCCCAGGGATACCCTCCGGTGGCGCAAATGTACCTGCCATCTTTTGAACAGCGCACGCGTCCGCTGGCACCCTGTTCAAACTCGAAGTCCTGGAGTAACTCTACCCGGTTCCGGAATTCCTCGTTGTACCGCAAGCTCTTGTTCTGCTTCGCGGCCTCCTGGAGAAACTGCGGCGTCGACCTCCCGGCGGACAGGTTGTACACAGGCGTATCGTTGAAATAGCTCACGGAAAGCGTGCCTGCACCCGAAGCACCTAGGCCACCACCAGAAGTAGTCGCTGCAGAAGTAGACATGTTGATGTTGCTAGTTTGTTACTTTTTAGTACTTATACGGTGTTGGCGTAGTTACTACTTCTATATACTTATTTCTTGTGGTCTTAATATGCTGAGGTGAACTCAAAGATCAAAGCTTTTCATACCTTAGCAAAGAGGAAGATGAAAGGACAGATGTATGTCTTTGCGTTGACTTGCTTTCCTCCAAGGGTAGCCTGATGGGGATAGATACCACGCGAATAATTAATGCACTAGCTTATCTCGTCGTCAAAATTGCTCAATACATGTTCTGCAGCAACTCGAAGTTTGTTGTAGCAATCGAATGTGACATAGATCTTTGGATGCTCGTGCACCACCTGTAATTTATAGGAAATCAGCAATTGTAACGGCGCGTCGGTCTTTGGTGTATGCAAGGAGCATGAAATATAATTGTTGTGGACGGGTCGTCAATAGAAATAGTGGCACGGAAACTACTTGTCCGGAAAGACGTATTGAAAAAAGGATCCCTCCCTCCCGTGGGTGTCTGATTGTAAGATTCAAGGGCACAGACGAGCTGGATGAGAGGTGTAGGCTACAGACTATACAAAGATATGGATGAAAATGCACTGGACCACAGAAAAGAAGATATGAATGAAAATACGAGACGGCATGGCAACCTAGGTGGCGTAGATAGGAAATTACCTTGGAAGCTACCGGAATGATTAAATGCACTTAACAATGATACTGCAGAGTTATATCTGATCGTCCGCGATCGTTGCCAATAGCCGCACACCAGATTGGGAACATTAAGATCGTGAGGTCTAGATCTTCGACAGCGTGAGCGTACGCCACAGGTTGATCCTCATTGCAATGATGCCTTCTTTTTCTAACTTTTTTGCGCTGTGTGATCACGGACTTGCTTTTCCTTTTGGATATTTTGGACCCTGATCGAGAACTCGATTTGTTGCTTTGGTAGGAGAGAAAAAAATGACACCGGGAACATAATCTTCATTGGATCATTAGCGTAATAAGATCTTCGAAGTCTTAGTGGAGCGAGAATTACTTCTTCTCTTTTTCAACAAGGAGCACGACTTGATTTAACCAAACGTGAGAGAGTTGACTATTTTCCCTTCTCAATAATCTTCAACCCTGTGACCTCTTCATTGAATAGTTTCAGTTCTTGCAGGTACAAGAAAACTATCCTCGCCAGGGTAGAACAAGGAGATCCTACGAATCCACTATTTTTTCGAAGTCCCGACAGTAAGCGAACCTCTCACGATTTCATGAACCGCCTTTTTTCTGCTCGTTACATGTTGTGGTAGAGCCCTAACTACGTTCATTACATAAATAGAGTGAGAAATACTCAAATAGAAGACGGTTTTAGATAACTACAATGAAGTCGACTTATCTTCATCTTCATAATTACCCGCTTACTGTAAATTTCGAAACTCGAGGCCCTCATCGTCGGTGCCCTGTTGTTGCTGCGCCTCACCTCTTCATGCGAAGCAACACCTCTAGTGCAACAATTCTCGCAAAAGAGATCTGTGCAGGCTACCTGGTAGAAATTCTATCATCCTCGTCCACGTCCAAATCGCTCGCCAGAAAGTTGGGCTACATATGGCGGTCGCACAACACAATGAAGGTGTGAGAAGGTCCTTGCGCGTTCGTCGAGTCGGTGCCAAAAAATTTTAGAAAAATGCTTATTTGTTTGAAAATTGAAACGCGAAAGTAACGGGTGGCGCATTTCCATTTCTTAATTCAAACACAAGGGTTGCGCGGTGTATTGGTTTCGGCCTTCTAGCAGCTAGCTAGGGGCCTCGGGTGTTTAGGAGGTTGAGGGGAAAATAGTGGCCGGGCTGCAAGGCTTCTCACCCAAGCCCTGCCAATACTTTCTGGGGGGCCTTCGCTAGGGGCTCCGCCGCCCTCTATAGCGGCCTACGGGGAAAGGCGTCGACGCTTTTCGCCGGCGATTAGCAAAAGCCCCCACGGTACGGCGACGAACAAAACCGCCTACAGCCTTCCCAACGTGGCGTAAGGAATTACTCTTGCGCCCACGTTGTCCCGGAAAACGTCCCCCGAAACCTCTCCACGGAGGGGCCCGCCTCTGGCGCCCGAGGTTTTCCTGCTAATCTTGCCGCCGATGAGTCCCCGCGCCCCTCCAGAATCCAGCAAGCACCACACAAGCGAGCGGCGGACGCGTTTGAGGATTCTGGAGGGGCGCGGGGACCCGGCGACGACCAAGGGCGCAGGCAGAGGGACGCGCCCGCCGGCGAAGCTGCGTGGCCGGGCATCGGGCCGAGGTGCGGCCATTGTGGTAGGGGGCGCCCTTGGGCGGGCGTTGGAGCATCAGGGAGCGAGCCGGCGCGGGCTCATCTATTAGGTTCTTCGTGAAATCGTTGCCCGAATTGAGTAGACCCCTCCACTGTGTACCGCATTCCCAGATGGGATGCTACTTCTACAAAAAAACCTCAAGACTTCGCCTCCCTTTTTTTTTCTCGAAAATAGCACCTCGCCGGGGGATGCGGTACACAGTAGAGGGGTCCTCTCGGTTTTTGGAACCATTTCAAGAAGACGACAAAGGGAGACACGAGCCGAAAGAAAGCAAGGAAGCACCGAGGGGCGGGCGACCTTCGACGAGGCCATCCCCGTCCCTTAGCCGTCTCACCCATCGGCCTCGCGCGGTGAAAAGTGTGCGGAAGAATTCCGCGCGGCAACGTGTCTACAATTCACCTCCGCCAGGTTGAGGCGCACGGCTGCGGCGGACAGGGGGAAAACAAGTCGACGGAAAACCAGCCGCCAAAAAGGCGAAGAAAGCGAAAGGACCTTGCTGGTTTTGGCTCAGATTTTCGCGGCTTTCTCTGCCTCGCCTGTCCGCTCCTAAGGCGGTCGAACGCGGTCAAGGCGTTTCCGCGCCCCTCCAGAATCCAGCACGCAGCCACGAGCAGCAGCGGAACGCCCCGGAGGATTCTGGGGGGGAGCGGGGACGCGGGTGGCCGCGATTAGCAAGGGTTAAGCTTACGCGGCAGCGCGGTCGCCCGCACCGGCACCACACTGAAGCACAAGCTTGCGCAGTGCGGTGGTGGCATGTGGTGCCATTGGCCGGCGTTCGAGTATCATGGAGCGACCCGGTAGGCCCCAGAAGACCCTCGATAGAGGCGCACGGGGCCGAACGTTACAAACTTCAATTGAGGAACTGAGAAAGCCTCCACTGAATTCTGCAGCATCCCTTTTTTTGGCTTTTACAGTGTGAGGCCGCAAGAAGTCGCGACCCTGGTGGGCGTTGTTCCACTTCCAAAGAGGCGCCCCCATGGTCAAACTTGAAACTTCATACATGCCTGTCTAGCATTTTGGAGAAGCTTGAAACAGATGGAATGTCTCTGCCACAAGCTTCGGGACTTCTTCAAGGCCTTGGCTCGCTTTGGTAGGTCTCCGGCGCGGGTCCTCTTCGATGTGGGTGCTCTTCGCGGCGGAGGCCATTCCAAAGCGCAGCGGTCGCCCTTGGTGTCCATGCAGTCCTTGGAATACCTTGCCGCGTGTCGCGGGTGGCGTAGTGACAGGCTACCAGCCTACGCGCGTGGCCCTTCGGTGGCAATTCATAAGATAGAAAAGTAGGGCAGCAAATTCATTCCCGTGGAGACTATAAAAGAAAAGCACCCCGCTCAGCTTTTTCGGCTCAGAATCTAGAGGGGGGCCCTAGGGCTGAGGACTCTTTTCAGTTGGGATAAAAAAGCAGAACACTTTTCAACTTTTTTGGCTTAGGATCTAGGTTGAGGGGGGGGATTTGGCTGCGAATCTATTCCAGAGGGGACTGAAAAAAACGAAACCCTTTCCCCCTTCTCGGTCCAGACTCTAGGCGGGAGAGCGTGGGCGGTGAATTTAATCCATTTGGGGCCGGAAAGCTGTCCGGGGCACTTCCCTCATTTTTCCGCTTAGAATCTAGGGGGAAGGGCTTCGGCTGTGGGCTTTTTTCAGTGGGGGCCGGAAAAGGTTGAGCGCGTCCCAGTTTTTTGGTTGAATTACTGGAGGGGGGTGCCTAAGCTGTAAACCTATTCCATTTGGGCTCAGAAAAAAGGAAACCCTTTCCACTTTTTTGGTGCAATTACTGGAGGCGAGTGCTTTGGTTGCGAATTTATTCCATTGGGGACCACCCTTTTGGTTCAATTACTAGAGGGGGGCGCTTGGGCTACGAGCTCTCTCCACTGGGGCGGGCGCTTTTTGTTGGCTCCTTTTTCCAAGTTTTTCTCTTGAGGTTGAGGCTGCTAGGAATTTTCGCCAGTGCTGTCCCACGTCAAAGATGGGCTTTTTTGAATTGCCCAGCGATCTGCTCCACGCTCGAAAATTGGACGCGGCTGACATCCTTCCCCCCGGGCGTATGTGCCTCCCATCCGGGCAGCGTCGTAATTTCTAAGAAATAAAAGGAGGGGCCTTTGTCTATTTCCTAGAGGGTAGGGGGCTGCTCGGCTCCGAGATTGAGACTATAGGGGAAAGCAATCAGCCGCGTCAAATTATTGTAGACCCCTGGGCCGCCTTAGCAAAAAGCTAGCCGCTTTCCATTCGCAGCCGAGTAATTATCTTGCCCCCACTGGATCCCGCGACGAATAAGATCGGGCGACAATGTTAGGCCGCTGCTTTATTTCGGCCGCGTTTTTTTGTTCTTTGGATTTTCGAGATCGGTCCTCTTGGCTTGTTGTTTTTAATTAGCTCGCTGCGCGGCTTCGGCGCCCGATTAATGACGCTGGCGCGGCTTTTTTTTGATGCGATTGCCCAAGCGATTTGATTTCGCTGCATTTTTTTAAGGAGGGCAGTTTTTTGCGTCAGCGATCCACCCGCTTGCAATAATTCAGCGCGGCCGACACCTTCCCCCCGGAGGATGTATTTCCCAGGTGGGCAGCTGCCTACTTTCCAAAAAAATTAGACAGAGCTGCCTACTTTCTAAAAAGTTTAGAGAGTCCTCGCGAAACTCTTAAGCGAAACCGCTAAGGGACAGTGGCACTCCTGGGCCGTTTTCGATATTTTGCCACTTTTCTTCACAGTTTGGCACGCCAGTCCCTAGATCGCGAGGCCAGTCCGTCTCTCTCCTCTTCCCGTTTCCTTATCGGTTTCGCCTCGGTCTTTCCGGGCTCTGTTCAGATGCTTCCGCCATTCTCTCATCGGTTTCGCCGCTCGCTCGGCGTGCCCGACTCCTCTGCAATCCCTCCGGCTACCGATACAAACCGAACGAGACGACAGGCGACACCATGAGGCATGGGCTCGCCCTCCTTTTTACGAGTCCGGAGCTTCATTACAGGCAAAGGCTAGCCCTGTGCGCCTGTAGCTCTCAGAAGCGCGCCCGGTATAGGTAGCACACGCACACGGAGAGAGCCAAGGGGATAACTTCAATCGCGAACGTCTTCCGATAAGACCGCAGAAGCTTGGCAAGACGCCCCGTCTGGCGCATCGGCCGCCAGCGGGGCGATAGGGCATGCCTTAGCTCTTCAGTTACGCGGGCGACAGTTTGGCTGACGCATCCCCCCGCCTCCCGTTGTACCCCGCCCCCCTTGCACAAGGTTACACGGTTGGGAACAGTCCGGAGGCGCACTCTTCGGCGCAGGCTCGTTAAAGGGATTCGCAGCCGCGCAAACACTTAACCTTGTACAAGGGGGGCGGGGGGCGAGTTGGTCACGGCCGCCAGAGGGACGACGCGCCGCGCTGCGCTGGTGAGCGCTGGCGGGCGCGTGGTTTGCGCCGCATAATCCAGCGCGGACAGCCCAGCAGGGCAACCCGCTGCCCCCTCGTCCCTGGCGGCCCACCAGTGAGACGGCGCGCCACGGCGCAGAGATTAGGCACGCGGCAAGAGCACACGAGGAGAGCAAACGAGAAGACGCAGAACATAAGAGCAGCCAGGCCAGAAGAACACAGGCCGACCAAACTGGAGCAAAAACGAGCCAAGCCAGGGGAACACAAGACGGCGACGACCTCACTCGCGTATCTCGCGAAGTGAAAGAAGTGGAAGCAGATGGATTACAGAGGCGCGCGCGATTTTATCGAAAAGCCCCCACATGGAGACCGATGAGACCCCCCGCCCGTGGCCAATCTTTTGGAAGAATACGACGAAGCGAAACCAATAGCGGGACCCTGGAAACCCTTCCAGCGGCGGCGTTTCCCTTTTTTGTTTTCTTAATATTTGGCAGCAGTCCAATACTTTGCGAATATCTGAGAACATTTGGAGAATATTTACGAATATTCGCCGAATATTTCAAAGCAATTCCTTGAGTGCGGGAATCGTTTTCGCGCGAATATTTTGAAATAAGCTGAAAGGCTGCGCATCCCCTTCGCGCCATGCAGGGACCGAACTCGACGCGAGGGCTTCGGCATGCTCGTCGA